TAGTTACTATAAGTATATAGTTATACCCTTTAGCTTAACTAACGCACTAGTTATATTTTAGCGTCTGATTAATAATATTTTACAGCCTTACTTAGATGTAATATATATATACTATTTAGATAATATACTAATCTACTCTAAATTAGAAGAGTAATATATAAAGGATATTATAGCTATCCTTTAAAAGCTAAAAGACGCTTACTTATTACTTAAACTAAAGAAGTGTAACTTCTATATAGATAAGGTTATTTTCTTAAGCTATATAGTTACTACTATAAAGTTAGCTATAGATCTTAAAAAGATTAAAGTAATTATTAAGTAAATAGGGCCTATGAATATTAAGGAAGTATAATTATTCCTTAGGTTTACTAACTTCTATAAGCGATTTATTAAGGACTACTTAAAAATCGCTAGGCTACTTACAGAGTTAACTTATAAGAATAAGGAATTTTACTAGTCTAATAGTACGCGAAAAGCGTTTAAGGTACTTAAAGTAGCTTTTATCGCAGAACTAGTATTTACTTCTTTTACTTCTAATAAAGAAATATATATAAAGATAGATTCTTCAGATTACGCTATTAGAGCTATACTTAGCTAGCTAGGTAAGGATAAAAGATAGTAACTAGTTATTTACTATTCGCGGAAACTATTACTAGTAGAACTTAATTATAATATATATAATAAAAAGTTATTAGTAATTATAGATATAGTACGCGAATAAAAGATCTACCTTAAAGGCGTTACTTATAAAGTATAGATCTTAATAGATTATAAGAATCTTATTTACTTTATAACTACTAAGGAATTAAACTAATAGTAGGTTCACTAGTATAAAATACTTTTTATTATTAAGCTTTAAATTTCCTATATTAAGGGAACAGAAAATACTTAAGCTAATACTTTAAGTTAGAAACTAGAATATCTTATAAATAAGACTTACGAATCTTATATTATACTACAGAAAGATAGCGATTTACTAGTTATTAATAGCTGATAGCTAGCTATAATAAGATAGCTAGTTATAAAGAGAATCTAGAAAAGCTATACTAATAACTTAGTTATAGCTAAATAGTAATAATAACTAGGTAAAGGATTCTTCTTCTTCCTAGAAAGGACTCTCTTATTCTAAAGATAAATATATATACTTACTTAAGACTAAGCTAAATTTATTATAGATTTCTACGGGCTACTTACTTATAGATATTAAGGGTTAGCTAAGACGCTATCTAAGCTATCTAGGGAATATTACTTCCTAGGAATAAAGAAAGTAGTTAAAGATATAGTAGTATCATGCGATTTATATATCCGGAATAAGGTATCTTATTACGCTTTATATAAACTTATAAAGTTACTAATAATACTACTTCGCCTATAGAAATTAATTACTCTAGATTTCGTAGTTAAACTATTACCCTTAAAAGATCTAGTTATAAGAGTCGTATACGACTCGATCTATATAATAACAAATAGGTTTATAAAGTACGTGTATATAATACTAGTACTTAGAATATAAGACGCGCTTATAATAGCGTAAGTATTCCTTAGAATAATTCTTATAAGCTATAAAATACTAGAAGAGATTATCTTAGATAGAGATAAGCTTTTTATCTTAAAGTTCTAGAAAATTCTTATTATGCTCTTAGGAATAAAATAGAAAATATTAATTATATTCTATCTTTAGACTAATATATAGATAAAACGAATTAACTAGATAATAGAGACTTATCTTTGATATTATATAAATTATAAATAAGATAACTAGGTGTAGCTACTTCTACTTACTTAGTTTATATATAATAGCGCGAATTAGGAGACTATTAGAGTATTACTATTTTACGTGAATTATAAGTATAATCTTATAGTATATAACTCACTAATAGCTAGTTAAGGTACCGCGTAAGAAGCTATACTATAAGTAAGTAAGCTTAAGTAGCTCTATAAAGAGTTATTAGCTAATATTCTTTTTATTATATAAAGATCTATGATCTACTATAATAGGAAGCGTAGTATAAGACTAACGCTAAAAGAGAAAGATAAAGTCTACTTACTTAAAAAGAATATTATAACTAAATAACTAAGTTATAAATTAGATTATAAGAAGCTAGGACTATTTAAAATTATAAAAGTTAAGGGACTAGTTAATTATTAACTAGCTCTACTAAAGATAATAAATATCTACTTAGTATTCTATATATCCCTTCTTAAACTAGTATTACTAGGAGTACCGCCTACTTTTATTACTAAAATATAACTAATTAATTTGAACGCTAAGTATAAAGTAGAAGCTATCCTTAACTATTAGAACTTCTATAATAAACTAAAATATTTAATTAAGTAGAAAGAGTACTTATAATTAGAAAACACTTAAAAACCTAAGTCTAACCTCTATTACCTTAAGCTTCTTTAAGACTTCTATTAATAAAATCTAGGTTTACTTAGAAGGAAAGAGACCTAAGGTTAAAGACTAGGCCCTTAAAGAAAGACACTAGATAAGTATTAAGCTTAAAAGTAAAGAACTAGAGGTTAAGGTTATTCTTAATAAGCTTAGAAGAAAGCGTTAAAAGGTAAGTAAGAGTTATAATCTTTCCTATCTTAAATCGATATATAAGCTATTTAAGAGTGAACTTCTTAATATACTCTAAAGAGTTATAATTATAACGCTTTAAGTAAACGTACTTAGAGTATCTTCTTAAAATAGATAAATCTAAGAAGTAAGTATAAGAAAAGCTATAATAAAAGAAATAAAGCTTTATAAGTCGTGTAGTACGCTTAATACGAAGCGTAAGCTAGATACTTTATTTCTTCTTTATCTAGGTAATACTTGATTTCTTTATAATACTAGATATAATAGATAAGGAAGATAGCTATTAGTAGCTATTAATATTTCCTAGGTTATACTTAAGCGTAAGAACTACGCTAGTATAGAAAGGGGATAGTATTACGAACTACTTAAGAGCTTAGCGCTCTTAGAAGGATTCCCTTAAGAGCCTAAAGACTCTTAAGTAGAAGAAGCTAAGAGATTATAAACTTAAGGAGATACTTATTCTTAAAAGAAGTCTTTTAAGAGAAAAGAGCTCTTAAAAGAATTTCTCTCTTAAGATTTTATAATACTATAGTAGCTATATATATTATATAATCTAAGTACTATAGTTAAAAGCGCTAGTTTTAGTGACCTAATATTATATAATAGATCCTTAGATCTCTGGATCTTATAGTAAAAGAAAAGATCTAAGGATTTATAGATCTATTCTTAAGGGATTTATAAGAATAAAAGTTCTATATAAGACTAATATATCTATTATTAGATAAGAGCTTTATACTTAACTTTAAATAGTATTCTAATACTTAGTAACTATTTTCTTATCTATATAATATACCTACTTCTCGATTATTAGAGATTAACTACAGCCTTTTGTATTTATAGTAAGTAAATACCGGACAGTTACAGAAAGATTATAACTTCTATTAAATATACTTACGAATATTAAGAGTTATTTAAAGAGAGTTATAATAAATATAAAGCTTTAGAAGATATTCCTAAAGATTTCAATATTAAGAAAATTCCTTTAGATAATATAACTAGATAGAATTCTACTTATAAAATATTAAATATATCTATTACTTTAAAGAAAGTAATAAATTATATATTTAATAATACTTCTAATAATCACTTTAAACGATATATATTATCTGAAGACGAGTAGATTATTTTAAGTCAGTTAAGAGATATTTTTTATATATTTATTTCTCTTAGTATTAAATTATAAGGATAAATATATACTACTATTAACTATAGTTTATTATATATTTATACGATATATAATAAACTAAGTAAGTAAATTAATAAGCTTAAAACTAATATAAGTTTATTAAGTAGTAGTATTAATATTAATAACTTTATCGAAGCTATTAATATAAGTATATTAAAATTTGAAAAATTTTTCCCTAAAGAATTAGATTCTAATTCTTTAAAAAAAATATAAACCTTATATAATAGGCTTAATATTAGATCCTAGATTTAAATTAAGTTATTTTAATAGAAATAGTTTATTATGTTTTTATTCTACTATTAAAGAAGATATTATAAAGTTATTTAAAGAAGAATACTTAATAATAAAAGCTTCTTTAAATAATACTACTATTAATACTTCTTTAGATATTTAAGAATCTTCTGATTCTAAGGATATAGATAAAGACTTTTTTATTAATAAAAAAGAAGCTAAAGAAGAAGAATATTTATCTTATCTTAAAGAGAATATTTCTAACTCTAAAGTTAAACCTTTAGATTATTAGAAAGTTAATAAAAATAACTATTCTTTAATTTATATATTAGTTAGAAAGTATCTAATAATACCTGCTACTTCAGCTTCTATAGAAAGGGTTTTTAGTATTAGTAATAATATTATTACTAAAACTAGAAATAATTTAGATCCTTAAGAGCTTAAAAAGACTATATTATTAAAAAGTTAGAAAATTAAAGATATATTAGAGTTAAATAACTCTATTATAGAAGAAGAGGAAGAAGATAATTAAATTAATATAATTTCTTTATATTATAGTTACTTTATTATATTTACTTATAAGAATACTTTATAAATATACTATTAAATCATATTTTATAAGATCTTAAATTATAATTAATTTTTTTTAATTTTTCTTAGTTTAATTTTAGTATACTAAAAAATAATTTAATTAATTTAAAAACAATATTAATTAGTATTAATTTTCAGTTCCTTATACTAAAGGTAATTAATTTAGTACTAATTAAATTAATTAAAAAAAGTACTAATTAATTTCACAACCCTGTTCTAGGGGGTTTCTCTTCCACAAAAGAACTATTCTGATGAAGCCATTGGATAGTAGCCCTTGCTGAGGCTCGTGCTGATAGAGACAAGGCAAGGGTTTATTTATCCCTACCACAAGTATAATCCATCTATTTTTGCTCCTTTATCACTGAAGGCACATCCGTCCTCTGGTTCAAAAATATCATCCATTTAACTCTACGCGACACCAGAAGCCGATGCGACACCAAAATCCAATGATGGGGTAATAGTGAACTCCTGAAGTGGTGCAACGAACTGGTTGTAAATCGAGGTCGCATTACCAGTGTAATTGTAGTAAGAGTTCCTGTTTCTCATTAGTCATGTTCACACCATCATAGCCGCTCCTCTTCTCAACAAAAGAACTCTACACGCCGACCGAAACTGCAAAATCACAGAGAAGATGGGGACATGAAAAAGAAGGAAGTACTCACGGCTGATCCAAATCCGTCCACTGCAAGCTGACCTCAATATGCGCCCCAGTCCCCGTCTCAGCCTCCAGCAAATGTGCTGCAACACCACGGTTTCCAGGCAGATCATCGAAGATGTCGCATGGCTTGAAGGCGGCACCTTCGGGTCCGCCGGAGCAGTAAGCTGAGAAGGCGGGGATGTCGTCGTATGCTGGTGCGGTGATGTTGAAGTCTGTTGAATATTAGTTTGGAATTTCGTATTTTGAGTTTTGGTGTTCTGGGATTGGGAGAGAAAGTTCGGAAAGGGACTTTGGAACAGAAGTTGGTGAACTTACCATAGAAACATCCTGATCTGGCACAGCCGGCACTCCATCCTGTTACGGACCAGCTGTAGTTTGGGTCGTTGACACCGTCTCCTACTTGGGGAGCTGGTGTTGGTGCTGCGAAGGCTGTAGCGGAGAGGAGGGAGAGGGCAAGGATGTTGATGTTGTTGAACATGATGAAGGATTGTGTGAAGACTTTTGTGTGGAGTAAAACTTTTGATTGATGTGTTTGGAGCTCGAAATTGAGGTTGAATGATGATGTGATTGTGATGGTAGCACCAGAAGAGCAGAGGAACATATTTATATACTTCTCCTCCAATGTGACGACATGCTCGCTTATTTCATGTAAACGTTGTATATTTTTGGACAAAGTCACCTGCTGTCAATACGAGAAAGCTGTGGAGTCGTGCAACGATGTTACCTTGTCGATCCCTTGGCCGTTGAGGTTGTTTGGTGCGGCAGTGGAACCCCGCGAGGCCGATCTCAATGAGGCTGTTCTCCATGATCGGCAGTTGCAAGACCCTCTTTTGTTTGGACATCTCGGCAAACTCTGTTTTTGCGACTCGCAAAGGTCAAGGAAGAACAGTGGACTATTGGGATTAAATTGGACTTGATGCGAAATGACAAGACTTGAGGCTCCGAAATACTGTCTTTTCATAAATTCTGTACAAAATATGTAGATTTGAATCCATGCGAAGCATTTAACAGGTTCGGTCGGCCAATTCGACGTCATAAGGGACTTCTCCTGGATAGTGGCAAGTTCAAGTTATCTTGGCATACCCACCCCGTCTAGCCGAACCAGCCTCCTCTCTGGAAGTCATTTGTGTATGCCCGGACGACGATCTCTTCCAAATGTCCGCTGCTGCCAGGATAGGACGATTCAAAACATACGACGAATACGGGAGATATCAGATGGAAAGTTGAAATGGATGTTCGGATGGTGCTAGCCAGTTCGGGAAGGAAAGTCAGAATAACCAGTCTGGCTTGCCTGCCACGAATTGAGACTTTCCTTTTCTGATGCATTCCCTACCATCCAAGGTTTGACGACTGCATCTTTCTGCCTTCGAATCTTCAATTCGACAAGACCGAGACCACTGCATCGTTGTCGAAGAAGTTTTCAGACATCTGGAAGGTGTCCTGGGGGACATGAACCCTGCTATCCCATCACGTACACAGACTTGGACTTGAAGCTTTTCCTTGGGCGTCACTCTGAGTTTGAGAATAGGCTGCAGACTTCGCCGAGGTGCGGTGGGAAGTGTGCGAGACGCAGGCTGGTCGTGCAGGAGGTGCTCGGGTGGGAATTTCGAATACATCGACTGAGCTTTGGTCCGAGAGCGTGTAGACTTCAATGGGAGTTGGTGAGTTGTGGTGATCTCCCCAGGAGTCGAACGCTTGAGAGACGGTATTGAGAGATGGAGTCGGTGGAACTGATTGCTATTTTTAGCGTGGAAGCTCAATTTTCTGGATTGTAAGCGCGGCTCTCCAGCTAGCCAGAAGAGCGGCGAATGTCCATGTATGGCATCGTACACATGATAGCATCAGACCCTCTTCTCACCCCACAAGTCACTCCAAAACTCCTTAAATCCATACAACGGCTTCTTAGAATCATAGATCACAGCCTTATCGCTTGCAAATCTCTCCAGGACACCACCTGGTCTATGCCCTATTTTCTCCACCAACTCTTTGGCAGGTCTCGCCGCCCGTTCCTTTATGGCTTGAGAAAGTTGCGGTGCGACATCTGCATAGCATGATTTGAGTTCTCGTTCGAGAGAGAAGTATGGCTTCTTGGCTAGATCAGGCGCCATTAGGTTGTAGGATCTGGTGAGGGTGTTGAGGTTTTGGATAGCAAGTGTGAGGTAGGAATTCTCTGCTTGTTCCCATGACGGTATTCGGAACAGGGCAGGTAATGGTGCAGACGTTTGCTGGATTTGGAGACTGGGAACTTCCGGTAAAGTACTTTCAGCAGTTATAACACCATTTTGGGTTTCCGCAGAGTTCTCTAGACCACTTGCGGCTGGTGTAGATGTCGCTTCTGTGGAAGCAATGACATCCTCTTTGGTCTCGAGCGAGACTTGAATCGGAGGGCTTTCAGTAGGTGTTGACGGTGCTTCTTGGACAATATTGACCAAAACGGAATCGCTCGTAGCTTTCGACGGAAGAGAAATCTGTTCCACAGCTTTTTTCCTTGGGTTATAAACACTCTCAGCTTGAGCATAACGATCGGCCATTCGCATTTGTTCTTCCAAACTCCCACCACGACTGGCGATTGTCCTTGCAGCATGCCGCTTCCAATCGTTTCGTAACCTAGCCCGAAATATATTCGCTGTCTTTACTAGCTCCTGCTGCTTCTCAATCCACGGTGGGACAATATCTTGTCTTTGTATCATCTTGTTCATGATGTACTCTGTGGTATCGATAAATGGGTTGTCTGCTCGAGTGTCTCTTACTATTCCTTTGCCACGAGGTATATTCTACGGTATGGTTAGTAAAACCTCCAAGCCATAAATGTAGGGGCCTACCTTGAACTGTCCTCTCGCAATTGCATCCTCAATTCTCTCATTTGCCAACGCAGCCAGACCACGAAAAGAGTTTGGCATTGTCCCAACCCCAGGCCCAAACCTCTCCTTGAAGTCCCTCCTCATTTGTTCCCTCTCCTTATCAGTCATCTGCGAATCCTTCGAGATAGCATAAATCGACGTCTTATCCCTCGCATTCGCCAGCCTCTCCCCCGGCCTCTGCTTCGGCTTCGGGCTCAGTCTCAAATCAATAACAGGACTTGGTATCTTTGCCGGCCCCCTTAGACTCGATTTCAACGGCTTCCGCGCATCGTCCAACATCCTCAGCATCGCATCTTGTGGATTCTCGTCCCCAGTCCATGCTTCCCCAGTAGCAATCTGCCGCGAGCCCTGTCCGACTTTGGAGCTGAGTCCTGCTTCTGCGAATGCGGCTGCGTTCTCTGCACGGAACTTTGCGGTTTCTACGCGATCGAGGAGTTTGTTCTTCAGTTCTTCAGAGAAGCCGGCTTCTTCGACGGCTTTCCTGCCTGCGCGACCGCCTTCAATGAGAGCTTCTTCGGTGGCTTCGGCAAGTCGCCGGGACATTGCTCCTTGTTCTGGGACCGCATTGCTCTGGGGAGCTTCGGGCGAAGTTTCTGGAGCTGAGTTAAGTATTTTCGATTCGATTGATGAATGGTCCTCGTTGCCCTTCAGCTTGCCCGTGTTGTCCTGCTGAGGGCTTCGAAGTGGCGAATGTTGGGACAGTTGGCGGGAAGTGGTTCTGGGACCAATTGGGAAGACATGGTGTTGCTGGTAGCCTCGCAGACAGCGGGCACATACGTATGGTGATTGATATTTGATTCCGGGCATATAGGAAGACAATGCGTGATTTTAGTTGAGGGTTTGGGAGATTGAATGTTGAATTGGAGTTGGAAGGCGGGTGGCATTTGTTATCCCTGTAAGACTTTTGATAGGCGATTAGATTACCGAACGCTGGGTCTTAAATCCGAACAACTTTGGTGGAGAAGATAGTATGTCTGACAGAGAATCAAAGTATCTATAATGAATTTCTAAGCATATTTTGGAATTTTAATAACAAAGTTATCTAGAACGGTGGTACTTGTCTATTGAAAACCTTCTCAATCGGCCATCTCGTCCATCTCTCCCAACCGCTTCCTAGAACATCGATCATCGTCTGCAACAGATTCTCTGCCTTCCCTTTCATCCACCAAGCATTATCTAAAAGCTGTAGCGCCACACAGTAATACATGACAATAAGCATTGCCTGCGGAAATTTTTGCTCCAACAAGTCCAGGTATTCATCTGAAACTGCGGTAAACCAAGCCATGATAATTTCAATCCTGCTCTGTTCTGGAAAGGCTTCTAACATACTGAATATCCTCCTCGTCTGCTTCAGTGCTCCATCCAAGATGGTCTTCTTTTCTTCTGGAACCGTGAACCATGACTCTGCTAACTCCTGGAAGCGTCTCTCTTCCTCCTCTGGTAAGGGGTCCGGTCTGTTTGGATCCAGACCCTTCCATGGTACGAACATCGCTGCTAAGGGTCCATTCACAAGACTGGGCCATGCTGTACTGATCAGGGTTTTGGTGCCGCGCTGTAACTTAATCCATTTGATCTGCTCATAGTCCTCTTCGCCACTGGACGCAGAAAAGAATAGCGTTGATGGTTTATTGACATCCTGGGAAGCCCATGCATTTGTGAAGATCAAAGCCGAGAAAGCTAAACAAGCATGGCAATTGTGCTCGTTGAGTTTCGATACTTCTATTTGAAAGAGGGAAAGTCCTGTCGCAGCATGTGTATCTGATAAATGGAGATAGGAAGTTCGTTTCTGTGGCCTGAGAATGGCGAGATTCAGCGCTGCGACAGACATTATCTCGTGCATCAAGAAGGGATAGTCGAAGGCCAGCTGTACGACTGTCGTCCTGTAGATTTCGAGGAGTTTCGGATTTTCGAAGAAGTTATCTGAGTATGTCGTTGTGTAGAAGTGCAGAAGCTCGAGATCCTGCATCGTGAAGCTTTCTGGTGGCGGTGGTGAAGAACGACGCAGGGGACTTGATATTGCTGGGCTAGAGCCCTGGGTTGTGTTGATTTCAGGAGAAAGCATTGATTGAATGGTAGGTTCTCGTGATCCTGTTGGTGCTGGCTTAGGATCTGTCCAAGTTGGAACTACAGCCTGTAGAGGTGGCGGAGGTACTCTTTGGAGCGGATGTGTTTGAAGAAAGGAGCATTCTGTTCCATAGCTTTGGCATTTCTTGCATGTTGGCTTCTCTTCGCCACACTGACTGTTCGTTAGCGAGCATCAATATTGAGTCAACATTGAGTGATCTGAGCGAAAGACCGTAGGAAGAGATTCTCAGAGCAGGAGCAAAAATGTAGCTACCACCTATTGTGGCCAAAACGACATTGATTCAAAATATCGAATCCGATACAAAGCAAATTATCATGGTTCTACTGGACCTGTCCAAAGCAGCAAAATTAAACGGGATTTTAGACAATTCCGAAACTCCGGTTTGGACAAAAATACCCTGTCATAAAATGAAGCTTAAATAGCCTTGATAGGATGGCACTGACCAAGAATCGACCACAAGCGCTGCCCAGGAACTTTCTCTGAACGTCGTGAATTTCCTAAATCGTACAGAAAGCCCCATCATCCAGCGGACATAGATGAAATTCTCATCCAAACAGGCCTTACAAGCAATGCCTAGGCCTAAAGTTCCCCCGGATGCACATCATCTATCTCATCGGCCCACATCAAAACCACATTCCAGGCTGCTCAGCCTCAACGACTGACGACTCAGGCAATACATGAAATTACAGAACACGAGAACGAGCAGTGCTCAACAGATCACAGGAGGCTCGCTCTAACGCACCTTTATCTTCCGAGCCTTGCATTGTACACAGCCATTCCGACTTTTGTGATGAGGACGACGCGGCTTCACGCGCTGTGCCGCACCTTCAGCAGCAGCACCTCCAGCTGGCGCTGACTCCATACGTTGTAGGTAAGCAGACAGGGACGTGTACCTCGCACGATCGACGAGCGAACGCCGCTGCGGTCAGAGAAGAGACTCGTTATTGAGCGCGCCCGGGGATAAGAGTGAACCAGGAAGAAGTGGAACCACGAGTAAGGGGATATCGGTATTCGGTTTCTGATGAGCGTCGAATGAGAAGGCGTTCTATGCGACGAAGGTGGTCGGGAAGCTAGCTTGGTTCTGACAGATGAGGTTCTGCCCAGCGCCTGTCAGACACGGGAGACGACGTTGGGGGCGCAGTTGCAGTGAGCGATCTCATTCGCTGGATCGGACAGCATTGGGGTTTGGATGCTGCCAAGCGAGCCCCTATTCTGAGGCACGGATAAGGTAGGTAAATATCCACATTCCAGGGCAGTATCTTATTGATTATTTCCTTATTGGGCTTTCGCGCTTACGTCTCCAGGCTTTCTTGACCGTTCGCTTGTCAGATGCCAATGACCTGAGGCTATGTACGAGGAGGTAAGGGGAGGAAAGTCGGAGGCTGTCATACCCGTTCGATCCCTGCCATGACGGATGGTTTTGGATGGAAGAAGTACAAGATATTGATAGTCCCGTGTAGAGATGCTCTGTTTTCAACTGTGCTCTCTCTAAATCGCGTCTTATTCATCAACTCTTTGAGCTTTTACTCTATCTCCTATTCCGATCATGACCTATTCTTCTATCCTTATTGCTCGTGATGACGACGATTTCTCCTTCTACCAGTCTGTAACCCTGAAATATCACCGTCGAAATGACTATACTTACTAACAACTCCCAGATATGACCCTTCCGTTGTAGCAGCAGCGATATTCGCCGTCCTCTTCTTCGCCACTACAGCATACCACTGCTGGCAAGCCTGGACGAAACGAACCTTCTATTTCATCCCCCTCCTCATTGGTGGCCATTGTCAGTCCCCTCAACACATTCCACTACTCTCTCTTCTCAATTGCTCACAAGCAAACAGTCGAATGGACAGGCTATGTCTTTCGAATTATATCCCATTACAACATAACCAGCATGGCTATATTCATCATCCAAACACTCCTCCTCCTACTCCCGCCTTCCCTCTTTGCAGCAAGCATCTACATGGTCCTCGGTCGCATTATTCTATTCACGAACGGTGAAAGCATGGCGCCCATTCGTGCGAACTGGCTCACCAAGATCTTCGTCATCGGCGACGTCTTTTCATTCCTTGTGCAAGCAGGAGGTACGTCTTTCCTTTCCTTCACCATTCCACTCGTCCCCACCCCACCTGTGACAATCAGCTGACACTACACAAACAGGCGGCTCCATGATGGCCTCCGCCTCCTCCCAAAACCTCGGCAAAACCCTCGTCATCATCGGCCTCGTCCTCCAGATCCTCTTCTTCGGCCTCTTCGTCACCACATCCATCATCTTCCACCTCCGACTCCGCCGCTCACCCACCTCCGCCTCGCTTCGCGCCCCCTGGCAGAAATACCTCTGGGCTCTGTACGCGGCCAGCTTGTTGATCTTCATCAGGAGTATTTTCAGGATTTTTGAGTTTGCTGGGGGACATGATGGCACGCTCATGAGCAGCGAGGTGTATATTTATGTGTTTGATGCGGTGCTGATGTTGGGGGTTATGGTTGCGTTTAATGTGGTGCATCCTGGGGAGATTATTGGGAGGAGGGGGGATTTGAAGGGTGGGGTGCCGTTGGAGGAGGGGTTGGAGAGTGGGAGTGAGAGATATGTTGGGGGTGGGGGGAGGAGATGAGAGGACAGGTTTGTGATAGTGATCGTAATGTGATTAGAGGGGTTGGATATATAGAAACACTTGAGCACTGATAGATTATGGATTGGGTAGATATATATGGGAATTCGGTAGGCTTGAACTTAGACTGGCGTTATACATAGAGATGATAGAGCAGCTAGAAATAAGAAATATTGACCATTTCACATTGCATCTCTCAGCTACCATTACCGTGCTTCAGACCTTCCCCGGGGTAACCGAGACACGCTTCAGCTCAGAAACCGGAACAATTTAAAATAAACATGAACGACTCGGCCAAAATGTCGTAGGAGATGCTTTTATTAACAATGGAATACTTGCCAAGCGAGACCGGAAAGAGAACCATAATTCGACAGGAAAAGATCAACAGACAAGCGACAGGGAGGAATGCTATCAGAACCCGACGTCGCTGCTCTTCAACCAACTCACTCGCATCCAACACGCAAAATCAAAAACATCCTCACACATTACAACTCCCCCAAGCCAACCCATCCCATCAACTCCAACCTCCATTCCACATTCCAAGCCACTATTCTATCCTTCCATTCAACATCCTCCTTTCCCTCTCCGTCCTAATCCCCAAACCCCAACAACCAGCTTCCTATCGCTATTCCCACGCCCACGAATACCACGGACACCCATACACATATCTTCTTTACCATCTCTCATATCATCTTCATCACTATCAACATCACTGTCTACAACCACGAAGTCCAATTCTGAATCTGAATCCTCTAGCTTCTCCATGTCTGAGTCGAAGTTCGATGCTGAAGTTGAGACTGCAGGTGAGGATAAGAGAGGGGATAGATCGAATGAATGATTCTCAAGTCCATACTCGTCCTCTTCACTATCTTTAGCCTCATCGTCGCTGTCGTGCTCAGTTGCTGGTGCCAGCAGCTTATTCACGAGTCCAAGTCCAAATTCGGACTCCAGACTCGGTAGGCTAAGTCTTGTATCGTCATTCGCACTCCTATCTTTTGGCGACCCGCTGCGAGGCGATGATGATAATTCGGGACTCTCCTCCTCGTTCTCAAACTCATCTCCCGATTCGTCTTCAAGGTGACCAGCACCGGCAAGCGATCCAGACACAGGCAAAACCCCAAGGCTCGTTTCGTAAACTGGATATTCGGGTTGTCGAGAAAATGAGGTTGAAGATGGTGAGTCTCCGACTGGACATTGATTACTGGCACTGATTTCTTCTTCAGGTTGGGACTCGGAATGGGAGATTATGATGGGGAGAGCGTAGTACGGTTCATACGCCCTCGCAATCTCGGTATCGATACTCAGAGTCAGAGCCTTAGTCTTGCTTTTCGGAAGCGTCCTGTTTCGCTTCCCAGACTGGCTGCCTTGTGAACGTCCCGCGAGATAAATGGCATGGAGTTGATCTTCTTCGGTGGGTGCAGAGCAGCGCTGTTCTTTCTCATCTTCTGTATCGTGTGGTATTACGGGATTTGTGTTGGATTCACCGTGGGTGTAAGTCTTAATCTTGAGGAAGGTGTCCATTGGAATTGTGTTCTGGTGAGAGAGCTGATTTTGGGTGTGGTCTTGGTCTCGAAAGGGTGAGGAGGGAATTTTACAGCAGCTTCGTCTGAGTAGGAGTCTGCCCGTGCGGATGGTGAGGAGATGGTGACGATGATTATGTTGGAGGAGGTTGGAGAAGGTGAGGTGGGAATTTGGTAGAGTGTTTGGGATGGGGAGCGGAGCTTGTGGCAATGGGTGACGATGAAGTCAAGGGTAGAGATGGAGAGGAAAGGGGCACTCGACAGAAAGAGGGGTGCTTGGGAATTTATAATAAGCTACTACACTCCCATGGAGGGCATGATGCCGTACTAGTATTAGTATTCTTATTGCCTCAAGCCCATGCAGAGGCTGGAAACGAAGAGACCTTCGCTTGTGCAACATGAACAGAACCATACAGATATCTCTCGGGCGAGGCTGTATGCAGCACATCAGAGCGATGCCCGAGAGCGACCACAGCGGCTGGGCGAGGCTGTGGCTCTTGTCTCATGTAAGATGTGCTGTAATGGCAAGGGCATGCTTGAGTTGTGCCCAACTTCTGAGTTTGAACACTGCCGCTGGGCAAGATTGTATCACCACATTGTTAATGGAAGATTGGTGACGGAGGGGGTCCGCCCTGCAAAAGAAGCAGTACCTGCAAGGAAGAACCGCATGGGTACCCGAAATCAGATGTGTGCAATATGGGAATTATTGGAAACAGAAATTCGAGGTCCTTGCCTCATCATGTCGACGCATAATGAGCAGACAGGTAAGAGGAAAGATAGAAACATATGCCCTTGTCGCTTGCTCGAGAATTATTAGCCATTCGTAAGAAGCTCCAGATTGCCTTCAATCCATAGTTTAAAACTCCATTCAACGCCCCAAAACCAACAGTCAAATTACCTTGACTATCCAGCGGCTTCCTTAACCTGGCCAGTCGTCTGAGGTGGCTCATCGATGAACTGTGGCACCTCATCCACCATGAAACTAGGCGTACTTTCCGCGCCGAAATTCTCAAACTCCACTTCCTCACCCAAAGCCTCCAGTTCAGCATCCAATTCAGCCTCATCGACATCCTCTGGAATATCATAACTGCGACTTATACTCTCCTGGATATCATTTCCAATATCCATCAGATCCGCCATCTCGTCTTGCATGCGCTCAATCTTATCGATGTTGATCTTTCCGTACTGCTGTTTCAAGCTCTTGTTTGTCTGCTTCATGGCGTCTACTGTCGTCATGACGTTCTTGAGGTTATCTTGCATCATGCCCGCTTGTTCCATGTTCCAGACTTGCTGTTGGAGCTGATCGCGTTGTCCTTCGTACATCTTCCTCCGCTGGAGAACCTTTAGTGCTTTCTGCTTGATGGCTGTCTTACCTGGACCGTCGCGCATCTTGGAGAGTTTGGTTTGGTAGCCTTGGAGCTCGGCGTTGATGGCGGCGAGCTTGACGTCGATTGAGGAGACTCGTTCGTCGACCTGGGAGGTTAGCGGGGTAACCTTTGAATTGGGGCTGGTCTTACATTTGAGATGGCAGAGTTTAGAGTTGGCTTGGGAGCCGAACTCTTTGCGCCGAAGAGTCTATTCATATTGTGTATGTCTCCTGGAAAGTTCCAGCTCTGTGAAGTGTACGATTACCCCACGATCGATCGCCAGCTAGTATCACGTCCCACGAGACCGAGGACTGTTTCCAGAACGAGGATAACCTGATATGTTCTGTTCCACTGTCTTCGTAATGCTATCGAGGAACGATCGTTGTACTGCGCCGATGTGCGTGCTTTGTGGAAGGTTGTTCCAAGGAATGATGCGTCGAGGCTACCACACTTGATCCGGCTGTAGCAGGTGAAGCAGACTTGTTGGAGAAGCTGAATAAGCGGTAGCTGTGACGTCTGAATTAGGGAAAGTTGTTTGTGTCCGTGTGGAGAGAAAGCTGTTTCTTGTGTGAATGATCGCTGAATATGGAGAGCTAGGTCTGGTCATAAGGCTGTGTCGCAATCCACAAAGACGTCCTGGCCCAGGTTGCCTCGAAACAGTCAGCCCTTCTAATTGGTGCAACATGACGGATCAAGTTCGGCAAGATCCGATCATCACGTGGCAGCAACGTTCTTGCTCACCTGGCAGTTTCAGAAAGACGTGGCAAAGACAGACAGCACCGCATTGTCGAAGCACATGTGGATAAGGATCAGAGAGATATAGATATGGATTATTAGCTTATGTGAATCATAACAAGTCAACATTGTTGCCGAACGACATTCCTTCAAATCCAGCTAGCTATTTATTTATGTTGCTGCCCGTTGTAAGAACTGGAAAAGGGGCTTTGGCTTTGTATTGCCCTCTCTCTCCGTCCACCAGCATGCTTGGTGGCTGCAGGGATCCGACGGGAAGGGGAGGGGACGAGAAGGGAAGGGAAGAACGCCTGGACGCCAAACCAGATTATCAGCAAACTTACTCGTACCCACGCCTGCGACCTGACCATCCAGGCCGTCCCAACCCAACCCGACCTGACTTTTACTCCCTTTTCCAGACCAAACAATCACGAGCCGCATCTTCCCTCACCTCACCTCACCTACCGCTTCAGCTACCCATCGATACGACCGTCCATTGTACTTCTACGACTGCTTCACTTCACTTCTCTTCTTTCTTGTTGTTGTTCTTTGATACCCGCTCTTTCTTCCTCACCGCACCCTGCCTCTTAATCATCCATCTATCAGCTGTCGACCTGGCGTAGTGCGGCTTCTTTGCCAACTCAGCATTTGAGCCTCAAGAAAATCCCGACGTCTTCCTTATTCCACGGCCCGGCACACGACCCTCGACTGGCCCTCAGCTTGTACATTACAACACCCATTGCAATCCAGATTCTTTGCTTGTATGGCCCCTCTTCTAGTTGTCCCTCTTTTCCCCACATTACACTGTGACCTTGCGCAGAGGCTTCGCGAAAGGCTGAATCGCGCCTGGCCATTCTCAGGCATCAGTCCCACCCACAACCAAACCTCACCGGCGTCAACATCGAGCCTCGTCCTCGAGACCGAGTCCAAGCTGACCTTCAATCTACCAGACTGCCTGCGAAACATCATCCGAAGCCCCCTGCGATAGATAGACCATACCCGCGCATCGCGACCGCGCACCGGCGTTTCTCTTCAACTCAATTTTGCGGCTCCACTAGTAACTCTCGAGAGTACTCGCATGACCAGCTTCCAGCGATTATTTGTCTGCAGAAATACCTCTTACCTCGATCCGCCGCCCAGCTACAGGTGGCAGACGAGCGCCGTCACGTAATTCAAGATGTTTTGGCGATTTGGCGGATACGCCAATATCTCCACTATTGATACCATCCTCGATAAACCCGATGTTACACTCGAGGAGCTGCTAGACGAGAGCGACCTGATACAAGAGCTCAAACAGCACAACACTAAGCTTATCGAATTCTTACGCGAGGACAAGATATTGGAGCGATTGCTGGAATATGTGGTAGCTCCAAAATTAGAAACTGTGGTAGTTGAGGACCCTGAGCCTACGACAACAGAAGAGAAAGAAGAAGATGCCGAGTCAAAGGGAAAGGGTCGATCATTTTCACAGTCCCGCGGACCTGCCGAGGACGACGAAGATGAGAAGGAGAAGAAGCGGAACCGATATGCATACGTTGCTGCAGAGGTCCTATCGTCGGACAACTGGTCAATATGTGAATCTCTCATCGAGAATCAGCCGCTGCTGCGAAAATTCTGGGACTTTCTCAAGCTCCCTCCACCACTCGATCCCCTCCAAGCTAGTTATTTTACCAAGGTTAATGAAGCTCTGCTCGACAAGAAAACCGAGGAAATGCTTGACCTTTTCAAGTCTCTCGATGGAGCAGTGAAAAACATGCTGCAGCATGTGGATTCACCTATGGTTATGGACCTACTGCTGAAGATCATCAGCTTGGAAAAAGCTGAAGGAGGTCAAGGAATTGTAGACGTATGCTCTCCAGACTCGAGATTTGGAGAATTTTCTAACCATAACATTATAGTGGTTACACTCCCAAGATTTGATGCCAATATTACTATCCTTCCTTTCCTCTGAGCATTCTTGGGCTACACAAACATCTGCCGGAGATTTCCTGAAAGCCATCATCACAATATCTGCCAATGCTTCCCAGAATGAACAATCTTGCATTGGTCCGAACGAGTTGACACGACAACTGGTCTCCCAGCCATGTATTGAGAAGTTGATATCAGATATGCTTAAGGGCGGCAACCCACTTACAGTAGGTGTTGGGATTGTTATCGAGGTCATTCGAAAGAACAACTCCGATTATGACCCAGATGTTGGGTCAGAAGCAAACACAGTGCCTTCGAGTCGAGACCCAATCTATCTCGGTACATTGTTACGGATGTTTGCTCAGCGGGTTCCGGATTTCATGGAGCTTATTCTAAGCCCCAATCACACCATTGGAGGGGGAGACGGTCCAGTGACAATTCGAAGAAAGGAACTGAATGCAGCATTTGGGGGCAAAATTGAGCCCTTGGGCTTTGACAGATTCAAGACCTGCGAGCTAATGGCCGAGCTTCTTCATTGCAGTAATATGGGCTTGCTAAACGAAGTTGGCAGTGAAGAGTTTGTCAAGGCCAGAGACGCAGAAAGAGAAAAGCTCAAGGCTGAAGGCAAGCTACTAATATCCGCAAACCAAGCGGGAAACTCCAATGATGACTTAACGATGAAATCCTCGACTCAGACTCGTCTAGGGTCGCCAGATGGATCACGAAAACTCGAAGTACAGAATGCTTCTGATGATGACGGGTTTGAGGAAGTTACGCATGCTGCAGATCTTGGAGACGATGCCAAGGATGACTTTGACGAGAAACCAGACCCAGAAGATCTTCTCAACCCATCAAGTCTCAGGCCTTTTTCATTACGAGCCACAGATGATGAAGAATTTGTCGATGAGCCATTAAGCTCTCCACGATTGAAGATTGAAGATCACCATTTAGAGGATCCTGAAATGGCCGTAATGCCACTCTCACCAACAAAGGAACTGTCTCGGAAAGTTGATTCCCTTGAAATCCAACAGGACACCGCTATGACTTCGCCACCTCCTTCCGTAGATACCACCACCGAAGACAGCGACGTTTCTACCGGTGGAGACAGCAAGCCCTCGCCCGAATCATCAGAGGAATCCGCCGACAGTCCAAAGGTGGAAGGAAAACCAGCTGAGCCGCAAATTCCTGTCACGGAAGTACCTGCAGCCGACTCATTAGATGCTCTGGCACATCCAGAGGATAAGCCAGCGCCGTTATTCGCGAAAAAAGTCGAGCCGGCCCAGGGTATTGTCCCACCACCTGCGCCTGAGGTGACTCAAAGTGTCGAAAGTCTCGACACAACAATGGGAGAAGCTGGAGACAGCTCTAACTCGATCATGATGAGTAACACGGATGAACATAATCTGCAAGCCATGGAGGATGTACAGAGCAGCCCAGTTGTGGGTGACTTTCTCAAGATGCAATTCGTTGAACACAAAGTTGTTCCAACAATAGTAGTAAGTTGAGTAATGCTCACAAGACATTCAATATTAACCTTCATAGGATTTCTTTTTCCGATTTCCTTGGAATAACTTTCTACATAATGTCGTATATGACGTTGTACAACAGGTTTTCAATGGCCCCATGGACCGCGGCTTCAACCGCTCTCTTGCCATCGATCTTTTCGAGACTGGTGACATTACAATGCGTATTGTTGATGGACAGAAGAAGAGCGATGAAGCTCAAGAAAAGAACAAAATGCGCCTGGGATATATGGGTCACCTGACACTTATTGCCGAGGAGGTTGTAAAATTCACAGAAAGACATCCACCCGAGTTATTGTCAGATTCAGTACTGGACAAGGTCATGAATGGGGAATGGGTCACATACGTGGAGGTCACTCTTGCCGAGACACGAGAACGAGACAACGCTATCCTCGGAGGTGTACGACCAGACATGTCGGTAGGACCACGGCAAGCCGTCATGAACGCAGTCAACGCTGCGACGAATTTCGGCGGTGCATCATCTGCTCTCGCGGATGCTGGTCTCAACGGTTCGGCAGGGCTGGACAGCATCGATCTCGCAAATGGCAACGGTACATCAGCGTTCACTCTCAGCGGCGGAACGCTTCTTAGCGGATTCGGGAGTTCAAGCGATGAAGAGGATGACGAGATGGACGAAGACAATGATGACGATGGAGCAAGGAACAATAGTGGCGCAGCTGAAGTGGGTCATTCTGTTCCTCCAGCTCCCAATCTTGATAAGTTCGACGACGAAGAAGTCGACTACGAATATCTGGAGCAACTCGACCGCGAGACCCCCTTGTTTCCCGAGGGTACCGTCCGTGATGAATGAGCTCTGCTTGTGTTTTCTTGTACATTATTGCTATATGGTGGAATGGGCGTTCCCTTTGGCTTGGTTCAGGCGATCTTGTCAATATCGGGAGACAAGTTCCAAAATTTTACCATTTTCGAGCCAGTCTCTCCTTTGCGATTGGTTGCTGAGGATGATTTGACATGTCATATCTTCCCATTCTTTCGCTCCCCAGGGCCGGATATCGATTTCAGTGCCTTCTCATATTATCGTGTGTGAGCTTCTGAAATGTAGAGTTTACTAACTTTTCAACTTTTCTTAGTTCTCACGCTACATCTCCACGCCATCAACTACCACAGCCACGAGCTCCGACCTTGAACCACCTTCCCTTCCACCTCCACCACCGCCTCCTCTCGCCATTCCACCATCTCGTGCGCGTCGCCAATTAGCAGCCAGATTAGCACTGCACTCAAAGCAGAACGCTGAGAATGCTGTGTCACCCAATGGCCAGCAACGAGCTGAAGAAGCTGAGCACCAGAAGAACCTGAACCCTTTCGCTGCAGATGAAGACGATGATTCCGAAAACGATGGCGACTTCAGCATTGGCGATATCGAAGGCGAAGATGAAGGTCTCGGTCTGGTCGGATCTGGGAAGAGGAATCTGAGTAGCGAGGAGCGCGAACTGCTCAAGCTGGCAAGGGAGGACCACGGGAAGAATGTGGGTATCCCTAATTCTGATGATTCCAATTCCAACTACAACTCCGCCTTTGTCTCCATCTCAATCTCCAACGCCAGCGACGCTGGAAATGGAGAGGGGAATGGACATGGAAGTGGAAGTGGCATCTCCTCCCTCCCTACCGTCATTCTGCACCATCCGATCCTCCTCCCCCCAAACACCACATCACCCCACTCTCCTACTGCCCTCGGCATCGGCATTGGTCGAGCAAGTTTTCCCTCGCTGTGGCCGTTCGGTAAAAATGGCATGAGTCCCACGGGCTCGCTGTCAAGATCCAGTTCTGGCTCTTCCGATCCCAGTTCCGAAAGCCATGTCAGAGGCCGCGGCCGTCGGAGAAACAGAAATGTAGATGGAATAAGGAACGGAACTGGAAATCATAGTGGAGACAGTGCTAACGAGGATGATGTACAGAGCGACGATGATGACGACGATGACATCGATAGCGATGACTCCGATGGCGGATATGGCCATGCTCTCGCTTCGGCGTCGCAACTTGACGATGAGTTGGATTTAGGGGGAGGGCTGGATGGTAAAGGTGTGGGTTCGGGATTGAGTAGGGGGAGGAGGAGGTTGAGCGTTACGACTGAGGCGAAGAGGAGGACTAGTCTGGAGGATGACGATGACGATGAGGATGAGGTCGTACATGTCAAGATGGCTGAGGCGGATGTGGAGGATGCGAAGAGGGTGGAAAGTGCAAGTTCGATTGTGGGCGGTGCTGTTGGAGGGGCGGGCGATGATGGGGATGGGGAGTTGGTCGAGATTCAACATGCGGAGATGATGGGTGTTGAGAGTGGTGGGAAGTGAGGTTTCTCTTCCCGCCAGAGTTGAGAGGATGATTCCTGCCTCGCCCGGGGAAGAGGGCGGGAGCTGTACGATAGTAGGTTGCATGTGTGGGGTATTATGAGTGATGGATGGATTGGAAGATGAGAGGACGGGAGGAGGAGGGAACCATTGTACAGTACGGTATTTAGCTGGTGTGGGTATATTATATCAAGATTTAACATCATGTTCGTTTTCGAAAACACCTATGCCACATTTCCCGTCCCCAGCCTCGCTTCTGGGTTGGGATGGGAGACTTCGACGTCCTTTCGCCTCTGGCACATTCCTATCCTGAGCTAAATGTCACGTAAAGTGACAGATTAGCTTCGCTGTTACTAGATATCTTGAGGGTCTAGTATAGATTTAAGCAGCTATTTCATCCTCCCCTCGGAGTTCATGAACGACCGAAGTTCTTAGCGCAGCTGTACAATAGCCCTCGAAAGCTCTGATGAGATCTATGAGGTTTCATTAGAATACGGCGCCTTCTGATATCCAAGTGTCCAAAACATTTCAGGTAACATAAGAAGTGTTGTTAAGAACCTTTAAGAGACGATCTGTGAAAACTCTAATCTTGCAGAGTATACATATATCTATCTGATTCTAGACTCCGCTTCGCTACAAACTCTTGAACAACGACCTTCCCCTATAACTTTAGTATAGGAGTAGTGAACGTCGTACATTGATTGCCACGTGGAGATACTTTCGCGTTGTTAGCAAGCAACACTACGGCTTTTGCTGTTAACAGGCAAGCATGATATTTGGTAAGATGCAATTGCGTCTGCCTTTCAATGCTAAGGACCCAGGTTCACTTTCCTTGGAGAAATGGCTTCGTGGGTAAATGATATTACAAAATTGGCTATGAGCAATGAGATAAGAACTTGCTGTCTGGAGACACAGAAAGTCTGAGATATTGATCGAGAGGGTGGTATACACCTGGAAAAGAACACAAGTAGCGCAATGCATCGTACTGTGGCCATGGTATCAGTTCAGATACATGGCCACAGCACAAGGTTTGTTTATTTCAATTGTGGATCATGTGAAGGTGGCCCGGGTGGGACTGGTCAAAGAAGAGAGTATCGTGTCATTCGATGATACTCCAAATCGGAGCTGTATGGCCGCGCACCAGTCGGAACCCTGTACCAGATAGAAGTACCCTTCGACGACCTTAGCATGGGACGGCATGACCTGAGGCTCTCCTGTTTCTCTTCTCACGAACTCCACCTTTTATCCTACCCCTCAACTTTCCTCTCCGCTCCTCATCTGTAACTACGAATAGACTCAAGCTCGTGTCTACTCTTTTAAGTAGCCTTAGGGCCTGCGTTACTTTTACATGCCCTTTGTCTGTAAAGTAGTTTTTTTTTTTTTTTCAGCTTTCATGCCTGGGCACACCGCACCACCTGAATTTCTCCCATATTCTCCTCCCTCTTCAGCATATACCATATTGTTTCGGTTGTTTCCAATCTAAAACTCAATCAGCATAGTTCATGGCAGCTCAAAGGTGCGTTTTAACGCAAGATATACTTCTTGAGTTTGAAAGGGGGTGTCTTAAAGCACAAAGGCACTAATGCCAACTCACCAACCCACACAAAACCTGTCTCGAGTAATGCCTTCTTGTGTCCGCTTGTAAACTCTAAGAACTTTTCTTATTATCCAGCGAACTACATTGGCACTTTTCTGTCCCGAAGAGGCCTCATAAGGGTACTTCAAAGCTGAAGACTACCTTTGTCCCTTTTTATCCACTATCCCCTCGTGTAGCAGAACGACTTCACAACGGAAAGGATTTTCAGCCACTGAAAAATAACTCAATGCCTGTGGATTAATCATAACACAAATGGGGACATATGTTGAGTTAAGCGTCAGAGCAATCGGGAGACAATTGTCGAACAAGCCGGGTCATGTACCAGTACAGTTGCCGACATTCTATTCGTGTTCATATATTCGAGTTTGGCGACCTCCAAAAGTCAGATAATTCGCATTGGAGGTGGACATATGAGTGTTGACTTACAATTTCGACGCAGGCCATTCCGGGTATTTGTCCTAGAGACGTTGAAAACACACTGCCATGCACGATTCGTAACATTGACAGATGCACAGACGTAGGTGAAGTTTAGTACCAACCCATATCAAAGTGCATCGGAATTTTTCCTTCCTCGCTCAGGTCTTCAGCAGTCAGACGCAACTTCCTCTTAACCTCGTCCGCAGTTGCATCAGCCAAGCCATGCCTGACTATGCTTCCCATGCGGAATGACTCCCAGGCACGGTAGCTCCATTCCCTCGCTCCAGTTAATAGATCGAGCTCTGGAAGTGCATTCGAGTTTGCCTGGTTCTGCCCTACGAACGGAATACGATTTTTCTCTTCGCGAAGCAGGAGGTCAGCAACAAATCGGACACCCACGAGTAGCGGAACCCGAACAACATCGAGACTTCCCATGTCCTCGTTCCTTGACAGGGGCAGAACATATGGCTTGAGAGACTCGAAAGAAATTGGCGCGCTCAATTCCTCCTCTCTTCCTGTTCGAACAAGGAGAATGCTCTGCTTCTCAACAAGTTCTTCACAATGACGGAACCCGTCATCCCGTTTCTCAACAACAACCCATTTATACTCGTCAAAAACCGCAATCAGCGCACCACAAAGGGGAAGGACTCTGAAGTGCCGTGGATCCGACTTGAATCTGTGCCCCGGATGCCCGGTTCTCAATCTCTCTTGCATGCCGTGAAGTCCAGCATAGATATTCTGATGGGCCTGTACGATTTCCGGGACAGTTTCTGCGGTTTTTGGATCGATGAAAATAGGAGTCGCGAAAAAGGGATCGAGTAGAAAGTCGGGTTCTTGTCCCGTGGCGGCAAACCATGTGTGCCAGATGCCGCCCAAAATGATTGTTCCTCGGAATTGTTTTGCCGATGCGGCCCAGTAGAAAACTGTAGCTTTATTGAGAAAGCGGTATTCCTCACCAAATGGACGACTTTCTCTCTCGGCGTGGTGTGTCAATCCGAGCATTTGATCGGCTGGTCGCCACATGCTGAACTTGAGATGGTTGGTTCTGGGATGGGTCCAGATATTGCATAGCTGTTCTCGATATTTTTCCAAGTTATGTTGTAACGATTCTTGTCGCAGGGCTTCTCTCACTTCGGGGATAGCTGAGGGGTTGAGATACTCTTCTAATGTTGATACGGATTTTCTATCCATTGCCGGGCGAGGGGCCCGGAATTCGGTGCAACTGTAGTGGGTAGCCATCGAAGGGCTGGTTGTAAAGGATTGTCGATTTAATCAGAGTGGATCGTGCTCAGTTTGGTAACGACGATGGATTTAGTACGCGATATGTCTGTGAATGGCCCGGATATCGAGGGCTCTGGAAATTGTTCCTGGTCGGAGTTTTGGGAGATTTCCAATAGGTATGATAGAGCACGTTTCCTTGAGAGACGTAGGACCCGGCCGTTGGGAGCGATTAGCAGGTATGGCCAACTTGGCTGACTCATGGAGTCATGGTGCGCGCTAGTCTTGGTTGGTCGCGCACTCTTACCACTCGAACCCAACGCGTGAGAGTGGCTACCATGCGAGCCATGGTAGGCACTACCTAGGTACGTTGGGCAAATGTAGGTAGCTGCCAATTCTGCGGTAGCTGTGAAATCCCTCACGTGATAGCCTACCCCTCGCACTGTCGGCCAAGTGGTGGGCTTGTCCAGCGCAAATGTCTCCGGCACAGGATTCTATCGTGCTTATGATCATCAGAGTGCCATGTATAGCCGTTACCTCAACAGAATATTTGCATGAGGCTACGTCCACAAGAGAAGAGGTGGGGTGCCTCATCCGCTCTAGGGTATCCTGATACCTGTTCGATGTTCAGTTATCAGCGTCAAATGCTAGCACAGCAATTTCTGATTGGCTCGCTTATGTTATTGACGGTGGGAGGTGGAGGTGTCGGTGGCGTTTCCAAACTTGGGTTCGTGGCCAGGGAACTCAGGTCAGGTACGCGCTCAATAGCCCGCATGGATGCTGATCGTGCACGAAACTTTGAATCCTAGCCGAAGGCTGAAGGTGTACATTTTGTGACTGTTGAATGTCCTTGAGTGTGGTCCAGACGACCGTCCAGTATGGAGACCGAAGTTGCATTTCCTGGATGAGTTATATGAGTCATGCCTAGGAGATTTTGACACACATAGCCAAGGGAGTGAGACGAGTCGTCCTTTTTGTATAACATGGATCTGGTCTTTGAATCAATTTCAGGATGCTCGCCAACCAGGTGAGAGAAGAGGTTGTCATTAATGAATGACAGCTTTTGAGCTCTCTTGATTGGAAATGATAAGTGGCATTGCTCTGTTTAGTACTGAAAATTGTTCAAGAAGCCTTGGCAAGGGCCAGAGGGGATTTGATTTCGAGAATCTCGGGGAGATTGTAGCTGCTGAGTTGTTGTCTTTGAATTGGAGAAAGAGTTTGGTGTTTTCCTTGAGGAGAGAGCAGTGCCTGCTGGAAGACCGCACCACCCCGGGGGCTAAATCGAGTTAAAAGGTCTCATGATACCTAGTGGCGATTGGATCTTTGTAGAGGGGCGCTTGAGAGACAGTTTGTGTCCTGGTCGTCTGGTGAGAGAAGAGTTGTGGCAGCCGAAAAATAGTATCTGGGATTTTGGCAGATTTCAAAGGACGTCGTGGCCGCTGGATGATATGAGCCGAGAGATTGAGACATCATTTGGTGACCATGACAGTTGATAGCTGGAGTAACATCGTCAGATGGACTTGTTGAACGCATGGTGAGATGAGGTTATTCTTGAAATGTTTAAGGTGGCGTAACCGTACAAGCGAAGATTTTGTGTACCGGAGCATGTTCCAACACCTAGTAAATTATTCTGCAGGATTGTTCCGGATCTTGAGTGCAAAGTCGATACAGATTGGCTCAGAGAATTCTAACTGTCAAAGGATCTTCCCGCAGACACTGTGATCGAGATAGAACAATGTTGTATGCTGTTCTGATGCCGTGATACTGTCATTAGAGGGTTTTTGTGTATCTGAATCCGTTGGTATCTGTCCAAGGAGGACAGATTCCACCCTAAACCGCGCGGAGGTGGATTCTATAGGGCGCGTATTATTGGCAGCCTCGGCAGGCTGGGTCTGACTTTATTGCCGCCGGTGCCTGGCGGGATTGGTTCGCCCTGCTGTTATAGCTCCCGGTACCTAGGGAAGTGTATTTATATCCCACCCTGCCTGGCGGTTCTCTCCATGTGATGGCTCCGACAATACCAGGAGGAAGGCTCGGGCGCGCGAAAAGTCGGAGTACATAGGCCCACCAGTTGGTCCAGCGTCATCACCAACCACGATAACCTTCTCCACGGATCGTCCCCTCAGCTCTTTCTTGTACTGCGTCAATAGACGCATAGAACTTCCCCCGTTGGGACTGCCAAGTATGGCATAGTAGCCATCATGCCCACGAGTGTAAACAGCCGAACCTTTCTCAGTCTCGGATTCCAGAAAGCTTGAATGCCTTGCGGCAAACCAAATTGCGGTTCTTGCTGCTTCATTAACCACATTTGTCCTCCCAATTAGTCGGAGTTTTGAGAAATCAAATTGCTTCTGGGTTCCTCGCCAATGCTCATAACCAATTTTCAGCCAGGACTGCCACACAACTTCGTTCGGAAACAATTTTGTTTCCGGCGAGTTCTTGTCAAATTCTTTAAAGTTCGAGTAGTTTATAATGCAACCATCTCGAACGTCGAACCAGTTTACATACGCATTGTCAGGGGGATATTCACCTTCCTTCGGCTTCGACCCAACATCTACGTAACGGAAGTTCTCCAGGCTAACGTTCCAATTTTCTGCCATTTCAGTTCCCAACACACCCTTCACACGCATCACCCCCGTATCCGTATCATAGTCGTTGGTGATACCGGCAAAGGAGAGAGGGGTTGTCAGATAGGGGGGGTCTGTGTGATCGGGCCCTGGTGCGTCGTCGAGCTTCTGGCAAAGCTTCTTTCCCCTCGCCACCATCTCTCTATAGTGCTGATACGCACTATCGTACGCTACTTCGGATCTGACCGACATGGTGGCTAGTGGGAGAATTGGAAGGGCTTAGGAGAATGATACTTCGTCACACAGTGCGGTTTTACATGTTGCCGTCCTTCGAACCTTCCTCGTCTGGCAGTGTGCCTACGCCCAACCAGCAGAGTTGAAGGTGTCATGCTTAATTCAGCAACTTTTTATAGATATTCCCTTTCTAATTACGTGGAAAATCATAAGCTGCCCCCCCTCTGCCATTCCGCATGCCAATCGCATGTCAGGAAGACCTATCGGGAGTATTTTTTTGATGGCCAGTCTCGCGGAATTTTACGAGAGCAAATCGATCCAGCAGTCATCTGTCAAAGACTATCAAGTTCTGGTATAATGGCTAGTGTCCCACGACTTTGAGAAACGCATACCAAGTCGCCAAAAGTTTACCAAAACAGACTCCTTCACTGTAAGCGAAATTCTCACTGTGAAAACAAACTCCCCAGAATTCCCAGAAGCACTTAAAACAGATAAATTTTCTGAATACCAAGTTTTGTGTATCGCCAGTAGACAACAGTTTTTCAGGTCACACGAACCCAGCGTACGTATGCTAAAGTCCACCAATACATACTCCTCGTGCTTGCCTCATTAAATTACTAGCCGACACTAAAGAGCTGTAGCAAGACCGAAGACATCAGTTCCTATGATTGGTATCAAAGAAGGGAGGGGGAGGGGGGCGCTTCGAGACCTGTTTCTCAGTCATTGCGAACTGTGATTTGAGAGACTTTGTGTAATTTAATGTGTCAGCTCCGAACTATTATTCAAAGATGATTGCTTAGTAGCTGCAATTTCGCAGTTGAATGTAATAAGAGACTATGTTTGATGCTTTGTCCATCTCATGACAACAACAAAGGCTGGTGAAGCCCCGTCAATTCCCCGGTCAACAAAATTATGAACCGCTACATTTGCATCTGCTTCTCTAACACAGCGACGAGTTTGGGCACTTTTCCCGATGAGTTTATATCAATTCCCGGAAAGATACGACGACCAAAAATCCCGACACGCGATGATAGAGTTATGGCGCAATCACCGAAGGCGCCAAGGTTCTGGCTTCTGCTTGAGGAGGGAGTTTGTGAAAGTAGAGGGCCGGCGGAGGGGGAATTCCACTATCTGAGTGATTTAAAGTACTAAGTATAAAATAATATGTATGCTTCATCAAAATAGGAAAGTTCTCAAATCATTCAAACTTATTGGTTAAGAGTCTTGGACTCTTCTTTGCTATAGAACTTTTCAGCATCGGGTTTCTCGATAACTCTAATTTATTACACCATGGTATATCACAACGACTCTTCTCTAAGAGTTTCTCTTACTTGGGGGATAGCTGAGGGGTTGAGATATTCTTCTAGAGTTGATGCGGATAGTCTTTCTATTTCTGGGCGAGGAGGGCGACATTCTGTGTATTTGTGGGTAGCCATTGGAGGAAGATTCGCTTTCAAGTTGAGGGCGTATCAGGATAAGATTTGATGTTGGCCCAATTTGTCCATCAGGAAATAACCGGTCCGTTCAGTGATAAGTGAATGACGATGCCCTACGTATTCGCGTATGATCCTAATATGAAACGATATTCTCTATCCCTAACCTTTGACTTTCCGTGACACAACGATGAGGACGACTAAGCAAGAGACCCCGTCTCTAAGAAGTGTGACGGTGCGAGCGATTGGCATAGGGCAGCTCATGGTGCGCGCTAGTCCTCGTCTGACCACCACTCTAACATGCCAGTACTTAGACACTAGCTTCGGCTGTCTCGCGGATTTGATAGCATGATATAAATACAGTAAGCGACTTAGCTGAGAACTTGTCAGGCGCAGCACTCCTGGCCGTGGGAATCCCCAACTTTGCGAGTAGATGTTGTTTCAATGTTTCGTAAAGTTCAGAGACTTTAGATGGAAATTCCTGCGAAGATACGGCGTCAGGTCCACAAGCAGAGAAACAAATTTGCTCAACCGATCTAATATAGATTTCAATAGAACTTGCCAGCTGCCAACCCGGCTCGCTGATCTCAAATTTAGAAAGTTTCCATACCTGGATAACGTGACTTGAATGTCGCTGAAGGTAGTTGGAATTCCGGCGTGAGGTAACGTAGCTTGCCTGGGGAGACATTCTCTGAGTACGAGGAGTTTGAATGCTGGCAAAAGCAAACGAGAATTGCGACGACATGGGAGACCATGGAAGAATATCAACCTGGTAATTGTCCAGCGCGTTCGTAGCTCAACTGAACAGAAGAGTAAAGTGGTGATGATGAATAGAGTCTTCTTCGGAAGAAACAATCTCTTACCCTGGTACTCCAAAACCGTGACGCTGATGATCGCGGTTAACAGTAGCCGGATCTGGAAGGATGCAATGCACGACGCTGGCTATGTATATGCTAAAGTTACAAAAAAAGCCCAGGACTTGTAAACTTATGGTAGAGAGGAGTCTAGAATCAGATGTACCACGAGATTGAATCTTTCAAACTCAATTTCTCCTTTCATCCACACAGAGACACTTGTCATTCTCGCGACTAAATTTAGACAAGTGGATGACAGAAAGAGCCTTGCTTTATGACTGAATGTCAATGGGGTTCGTGGGAGCTTTCAAAACCCCAAGAGCTTCCGTAAGGCTCTGCCAAGAATTTCAGTTATCAGTGCAACTCGAATGCAAAAAGAGAGAGCTTCTCAGATCTCCATCCCGCTGGGATCTCGACACGAAGGAATGATATGTGCAACAGGCACTCAAGAATATCTTGCAATGACCAAGCATTCACCGCCTAAGCGTGCAAGTCGGCCCGAAATACATCTTCATCCAACAAAATTAATGCATCAAGGAAAACAAAAATTGTCAGCTGTGTTGCAAAATTGTTCGCTAACCGAGATAACCTCGGACAAATCAACAAAGTGAAGTTCCCGTGCAAAGCATCTCGCGTGCAGAAGTAAACACGTATCAGCCTTATTAAGCTAACCAGAGACAGTCTGAATCATTCTTGCGTTAGTTTATGGCGGTATTGAATGTGGATGAGGTTCGAGTGCGCCAGAATTCCGCATGGGGATCCGCTCCTCGCTGGCCAATTGATAAGAACGACCAGCCTATTCTACACTATTCGCAACCTCGCGCCTTATCGCGGAAGAGAGCTCCTTGCATCACTGCCGATGAAGCTGAAGAGACAGCTAAAGTAGCTAAAGAAGCCCAGATGTATAAAATGGATAGAATTTCGCAATTGTAAACTGTAGTTAACAGGTTCTAATCGCAATATCGAGTACTTCCGCAGGGTTTTAGAAAAGAATATGGGTTCTCAAGCTCCCACTGTCAAAGTTGCTGTCACTCAAGCCGAGCCAGTCTGGTTCGACCTCGACGCAACAGTCACGAAAACATGCAAGTTGATTCAAGAAGCTGCATCGAACGGCGCAAAGCTCGTAACTTTTCCGGAAGTCTGGTTGCCTGGTTATCCAGCTTGGATATGGTATATTCACCATTTTCCGTCAAGTAAAGCTTTCAGCACTAACTGTCCATCCAGGGCTCGCCCAGTCGACTTTGCCTTGGGCACGGAGTACACGAGAAACAGCTTGAAGATCAACTCTCCTCAGATGCAGAAACTCAAGGACTGTGCGGCTGAAAACAATATCGCTGTCTGCCTTGGCTTTTCCGAGAATGCAGATAACTTGCTGTATATCTCGCAAGCTATCATCGGCGCAGATGGATCCATTAAGATGACTCGTCGCAAGCTCAAGCCTACACACATGGAACCCACCATCTTCGGAGACGCAACTGGCAACTCGCTGAACAATGTTGTGGACGTGGAAGGCCTGGGTAAAGTCGGCGCATTGGCGTGCTGGGAACACCTTCAGCCGCTGTTGAAATATCATACTTGTTTGCTGAAGGAGGAGATCCATGTCGCTGCTTGGCCTCCGGTTATTCCATATGCGCCTGGAAAGGGACTGTGGTCTATGTCTCGAGAGGGATGTCGGAATCTTTCTAGGACTTATGCTGCGGAGAGCCAGACATTCGTTCTGCATACCACGGCTATCACTGGGCCTAAGGCGATTGAAAAGATGGCGACACAAGGGACCATCTTTGGGCTTCATGGTGGTGGAAGTTCCGCTATATATGGCCCTGATGGAAGGCAGTTGACCGAAGATCTCGACCAAACTGAGGAGGGCATCTTGTATGCTGACCTGGATTTCACCGAGGTGCTGATGTCCAAGAGTTTCATTGATGTTGGTGGGCATTATAGCCGACCGGATCTGTTGTGGTTGGGGGTTGATGATAGAGAGAAGTTGCCTGTGAGGGCTCAGCGAGATGGAGAAGCTGAAAAGAAGTTGTAACGCCGTTTATTCGGAACTCATATCTACATACCTCATGTCAATTCTTTTGTACCTGGGTATCATGCCAATGTCCAAACAGCCAACTCCGCGTCCCATGCTTCGTGCCCATGAACAAATCCAGCCATGCAGAACCCATATATGCCAAACTCTCGCCCATCAAGAACTCCAATGTCATGAAATATCCTCAGCCCTTTTTCACATCTCCCATCCAAACACGCATAGCCTTCGAACTATCATGCGCAGCCCTGAACAGTCCCCTCTCCATCTCATCCAGTCCCCTCAAGAACTCCACACCATCATTCCCAACACCACCACCACCACTCCTCTGGCTCGCACCAGCATTACTCGCATGATCCGAAATCTCCGCCGCCCGACTCCTAAACGTCTCCATCAACACATCACACACCTCTTCTTCTTCGAACAATTCCAATATCCTCGCACCCAGCCCATAGAAATTCTGCGCCAAAGCCCGCAGATCCACGCTCTTCGGATCGGCTTTCAGGGCATTCATAACGCGTGGTGCCAGACTAGGAGGGAGGTCGAGCGTAACGAGAGATTTGTTCGAATTGGGTGAGGACACGGCGAGCATTTCTGCAAGCCAGAGGGGAAGCTCGACGCGTGTACCGGATTTGAGGGCGTGGCCTGCATTGTTGTCTAGGTAGCCTAGGCTGGGGACGTCGAGTTCGAATGTGCAAGGCACTTTCTGGTCTTTTTTAGCGGGGTCATTGCTGGATATTGGGAGGATATACTTGAGCATCGGTGAGAATCGCGTCAATGTCGTAATAGGACATTGTTTCTAAGGAACCAGCTGCCTACTATTTTCGTGCAGACTGGAATTGTGAGGCATCAATTGCTCGCTGATGTGAAGTGTTCTAGAGACGCGATGTCCAGACGCGATATTCAGGATGGTGTTGTTGATCCCTGCCGATTTCCAATCCGCATCTCGGCTGACGTTCATTGTCCGAATGGATTATCCGAAGCCGAAAGGGCCAGAGAAAGACGTAACAAGCAGCTGTTTCCCCTCACCTCAATCACTTCAAATCCTACATCTTCAACAACACCATTGAAGCTGTATCGATCCATCTTCAATTGAAATCCTTCATCATGTCTGCAACACTCTTCCGCACGAGCACAGCAGCTCGCTCTGCTCTCCGAGCTGGAGCTTCTGAAAAAGCTGCAGCTATGGCAAGCACCAGCTTCGTCCGTGGCAAAGCTACTCTCCCAGATCTTCCATGTATGTATCCTGGATGTTATATTCTGCAACTACGGACTGACGAGAATTGGCAGACGACTACGGTGCGTTGGAACCATCCATCTCCGGCAAGATCATGGAGCTCCACCACAAGAACCACCATCAAACCTACGTCAACAGCTTCAACGCCGCAAGCGAACAACTCCAAGCCGCCGAGCACAAGCAAGATATCGCTGCACAGATCGCTCTGCAGCCATTGATCAACTTCCACGGAGGTGGACATATCAACCATACTCTGTTCTGGGAGAATCTCGCTCCAAGCAAGAATGGAGGTGGTGGTGAGCCAGCTGGAGCTTTGAAGGTATGCTTAGTATCCCGAATTGTGCGGAATCGTGGCTAATGGGTACAAAAGACTGCAATTGAATCCAGCTACGGCGATTTCTCCTCCTTCAAGACCAAGTTCAATACCGCTCTCGCAGGTATCCAAGGTAGCGGATGGGCATGGCTCGTCAAGGACAACGAGACTGGACAGGTTCAGATCCGCACATATGCCAACCAGGACCCTGTTGTTGGAAAGTACACACCGTTGTTGGGTGTTGATGCTTGGGAGCACGCATACTACCTGCAGTACCAGAACAGAAAGGCTGAGTACTTTAGTGCTATTTGGGATGTGATTAACTGGAAGGCGGTTCAGGGACGCTTGTAGATGGTTTGGGGAGAATTGTACAATACTTGCGTGCAGCGTTAATGCGTTGATGAGAATATGAAGACTTCTGTATTCTGTTAGGGCACCGGCTCTTTCCAATTCTTTGGTTACGGGCAAGTGGCTAGACATGAAACGATGCAGCTCTACTTGTCAAGTTTCGTACAAGTAATGTTTGAAGCTCGCTCTGCACTCCCTTAGCTACTCTTCGCGGAATATTGTGTTCTTCTCAATCGTTTTTGTCTATCTACTACAACTGTTTCTCTTCTCGCCAACCAATTATCATCAGGCAACTGTCCATTGCCATCCTTCAATCGATGTTCCCGGCCATCAAAAACCAAGGCTTGATCACTGTGAGTTATGCTTTGGAAGAGAGGACGGAGAAGTCTTCTGCGGGAATTCTATTACTTGTGGAAAGGACGGGTGTAAGAGAGGTAAGTTTGGACGGACGAATGAGCCATTCTGCGCAACACACGAGGATGCTTGTTCGCACCGCTGGCAACTTGGAAGGGCGAGAGCGTGATTGACTATCGAAGGGTGGAGGAGTTGTTGGAGAGGAGGAGGAGGACTTGGAGGAAAGATCTTTACCCATGGGTGCGGAGACCAGCACACAAACATGAGTTTTACAATATTCATGAGTGCTCTGCCAGCCAGCTCACATCTCGCAATCCAAGATCCAAGTTCCGAGGCATTTATCAAGTCATCAAAGGTTCACTGTTCAAAAGTACCAGCATAGACCGGTCCTCTTTACTCCATATCATATCACAGACATATTACAGTCATGTACAAGTAGACACAAAAATTAAGTACACTTTAAAGACAGACATCACCACACTACACATATATCAAAACCTATACAAATCTTACCAATCCACCTGCTCAACACGCGGCATCCCCTCCCTTCCCTACCATCTCATATCTTCATATCCTCCCGATCCATAAACCCACTAAGTATTCTTACTTCTCAATCCTCGTCTCGTGTACACACGCAGTAGACCATACCATACCATACCATACAGTAAGCTATCGCTCGCATGATATAGCTATAGCCTTTCAGAGCCTTCACAACGTGGGATGGCGTGGGATGGGGTGGAGCAGCAATCAACATATTCAAGAATATCAAATCAAGAATAATGGGATGAGATGAGATGGAATTCCTATTGTGCATATATACCCGTTCCCCGTTGCAGGCCGCGCTATTACTGTAATGTGCGTTGGAGGTTGGGTAGGTATGTTGTGATTTTGGTGAGGGAGCAGCGGGAGGGATGGAAGGGAAATGAGTGGGATGAGTGAGTGGGATGGTGGGGGTCAGTGGGAGGTGTGGAGGGGCAACCTTGATAGAGGGAGAATCTTGCAAGTGAAAGAGGGAGGTTTTAGAAGCGACAAGATTTGACATTACGAGATTGACGGAGGGATTTGGATATAAGATTTAGACTTTTAAAAAATAAGGCGCATTTGTGAGTGTTGATGTTATGGTCTGTACGTAAATGGTGATATCACCAGAAATGCAGAGTCAATGAGGGAGGCACGACGATGATGAAGATAGGTAGGTAGGTAGGTAGGTAATCACTAGGTAGAATATAATTCAGGGTATCTATCTCGCGCTCGAACGCTACGAATAAACAGCAATAAAAATAAATCAAAAGGATAATTGTTATCCATCTCATCTCATCCCATTTCGGTATCTAAAACGCCAGGAAAGTCCTCTCCGCATCCAGCACGTGAAGCCCAATAGTCAAATCCCTCCATCCATCTATCTCCCATCGTCATCTCATCATCATGGGAAATCCCCAAACTCCGAATCCAATATCTGCCAACCCAAAAAGCCAAATGTCATGCCAACACCAATACATCACACACTCCAAGAAATCCTGACCTCATCTTACCACCCAAGACCCATATCCGACAATCCCGCCCGTCCTATCCCGTCCACCCCGCCAAAAACCGGAGCAGTGGAGAACCGAGCCCTTGGTCTTGGCCTTGGCAGGCTATTTAACACCTGATCCTTGGCATTGGCAAGGCAAGGCAAAAGACCTTGAATCGCAAAGCCGTGAGGTGAGTAGTGACGTCTTGACTCCACTCCACATACATCACTGATCGAAGATCGATCATCGCACAAACAATCGCCCTGAAAATGAATCGAATAAAGGTACGGTATTCCGATGCACTGCACCGCTGCACTGCACTGCATACCCACAGTAGTTCCTGCACTGTATTGTAGCCAAATACAAGAAATTCGCCTCCTTCTGTGTTGCAGATCCAGTGCTGATCCGGCGCGAATCAGGAACCCGCACCGGAAAACGCAACTTCATTGCACCTTCAATAATGCACATGCACCATGCGTCATTGAAGGGTTTCTGAAATCCGGAAATGCGCAATCCAAGAAAAAAAATCCAAATCCCTAAATCCAGTGGAAATGTTGTGGAACATTAACATTGCAAAACAGTGGGAGTTGTGGAGGCGAAAATCGGAAAATCGATGATGGAAGTGGAAAACTTGTTTGTGGTCCGGTGGATGGCGAATGGCGCGAATGTATCTCCGCATCAGCCTTCCCTATTCTCTTGCGCGCGGATATCGTGATCCGTCTGACTCGCGTGAATCATGATACTGGTTTGGGAGGTAAGTAAGTTGTGTCGCCGTGTCGCCACTGAATGATGATGCTGCATGCAGTGGATAGATGATTCCGGAATACCAGATGTTGAAGTGTTGTGATGGCGATTGTTCAGAGAGGCATATTCGTATAAGTGACTTCAGTGTTTGCTCTGGCGACTGCGACCGCGGGACTAGATACTTGTTAGTTTTATATATCCTCATCACAAAATCCATAAAGTTGAAATTCCCAATCACAATACTAGAAGTCGCATTGAAAGATGCAAAGATGAATAAAAAAAAAACCCACTTACAAACTGATCATTATACACCACGTGATGCTCCGCCTGCCACCTGTTCTCCTCATACAGCATATTCAGCGGCTTGCCATCAAACATCAAATCCGCATCGTCAATGGTATACGGCTCCTTCCAGAGTTCCTGCGCGTGGAGATCTGTGTTTTTGGACGAGCTCGTGGTATGGTGATGGTGGTCGTCGGTGATGAGGTAGTATTTTTGTTTTTCGGCTTGGAGCCTAGTTGATGTCGAGGTGGATGTTTTTGAAGGCATGCTGAGTTTTGTTTTGATTTGATTTGCTTTGAACGTGAGATGTGACTCGGAAAACTTCACTGTGCGAAATATGTTGCAGGCAAAGAAGACGGAGGATAAACAGGGGTTGAGGCTTTGTTATGTAGGTAGGTATGATTCACAGCTAGGTGGACTTTGTTGCAATCAGGCAGGCAGCTGAGAAAGGGCTGGGCTGGGCTGGGCTGGGTCGTGTTCCGGGTCGGGCTGGATGTGTTGTTGGGCTGGGCTCGGCGCGCCGCGTTGGGGATGCGATCGATACCTTAGGTGAACTGCTTTGTTGACCTTCCCACTTCCGTAGTCTTCTCAAGAGCTCGGTCGTATTGTATTTGATAATGCAATGGATATTATTGTCGAAATCTAATCTCGATATGATCCTGTCTGCCAAAAAGTTTGAAATGCAGAAATGTTTAGAAATTACAAAAGTGCGAAACATGACATCCTTATATCTTCTCCCGTTCCTCGCCGTCCTTTACGTGTGATGCCTTGCCATGCCCATGTTCAGCTTAGGGACAAACCCTGTTCTGTCCTGTCCCGGTCATTCGAGTCGCGAGTCGCTCATGTCATGACCGCCCATCCGCTCCACCTCCACCGCTCCTTCGAGCCCTCCTTTCCCGCTGGATACGCCAGAATAACCCCGAGTCTTCCGTCTCTGTTTGGCAGTTTGGCAGTTTGGCAGTTTTGGCAGGCAGCCCTTAACCTAACCTTACGGACGGAATCAGGAGGGGTCCGTCGGGGAGGCGAGCGAATCGAATCGAGGGGCCTGAGACGAGACGCTCAGGCAGGGCTGCTCACTGCTCAGCACAGCACCCGTCGATCACACCTGCCGACCGACCGACCGACCGCCCATCCACCATGATCATGATCATGATCATCCCTCCGGATGCGGGCTGAGTCAAGACTCAAGAGTCAAGACCCTTGATCGGTGAGTGTCGGATGTACATATGCACGAATCAGTTTTGCAGGAATTACGATCTGGTTGAAGCTCGGTATCCGCGCTTCTCCTCCTTCTCTTCCCTTCTCACCTCCCTTTTCCAGGAGAGCGGTAAGTAAGTATATTATTAAGGTTTCTGGCATGAAAGGGGAAGCTCGTCACCGTTCGTGGGATATTTGTTGTGCGGTCTTCGTGGGATGCTGCGTTGCGTGTTGATTCGTTTGATTGAGGATTTTAAGGTGTGAATCGTGTGACTGGCTGCTTGCGTCCAGACACGAATCGCCATTCTCACATGCTGCGTGGGGTGGTGCGAGTATCGCGCCTGGAACAACATCACGACAGCCGTCCTTTAGGCCCGGCCCCTCGACACGACCATGTGGTACTCAAACTGTTGTTTTTGTTATTGTTGTTATTGCCGTCGGGATGGGGTGTGTAGATGCAGCTGACGATGCAGCTGCCCTCAGCTGGGTGGTGGGTGGTATATTGGACAGCTGATTACTGGCTGACAATACGCGAATACAGATTGGAGATGTCCGATGCTTAGGTATTATTAGATGGTGTGTAGTACTGAATTTCCTCTTTCGCAGTGGCTTTTCAATACTTTGTTATGTTGTCAGCCTGCAAAGTCAGCCATCATCAGTCAGTCAATATTCCCCTCGTTCCGGCAAGCCGCTCCTTGACCCCGCCATCCACTTCCCTTCCGCTGAAGAGACGAGTTGGGCTGGCTTCGGATTCCTGATTATTCGCCAAGATTCAAAGGGACCACATGGAAACATGGATGGTGGCTTTTTGGCTTTTGTGGGGTGCAGTAGTAACGGTTAATTTTCGATAACTTGACGGCTATATTTAAAAGAAGCATCGCCTGTTCTTCTGACTCCCGATAATAGACGACAGGTCCTTCATCACATGTAGCCTTGTAGGTGAGTCTAGGAGGGGTCATGCTGTGAAAATGGCGGGGTAGTATCCACCTGCCTAGATGAGATGAAGATGAGATGAGATTAGAAGGTGATCCCTATGATGCGAAAGCGATAACGAAGGTGGTACTACATCAATTTTCATTTAACTTGTACAACCTACTCGGACCTGATTCTTCCTCACCGTCGAATCTGACTGCGGTGAGATGGATGATACACGAGAGATGCATCGAAGATCCCGTTCAGCGCCACTCCGCGGACCTGACGAAGCGGGCATTTTTCTGACCCCTCCATCCCGTGCTTCTTGCTTACTTTCCCTGCGCATACATGCGAACCCCGCGTTGATGGATAGGGTATCGACCGGGACGGCACGACGAGTATGACCCGGCATGAAGAGGAAGCTACGGAATTACATGGCCCGATTTCGCGGAGGTGTGTTGCATTGATTTCTCCGACTATCTTTGGGTGAGGTAGGAACGATCTAAACACGATGTCCTCTATTCTGATGTGAAAATGCCACCAATGGATATATCTTCCTATCAAACTAGCTAGCTATCATTGAACAGGGCTAGAAATAGAGAGATACTTGTCTTTCGTGATGCCAATTTACTTCTCCCATGACTCACAAGACTCATTCGTCAAGTCCTATCTGAGGTCGGGAGACCTGGCCTTCTGGCGAGACAAGGGAAACCATAAGCCTCAAAGTCACCAAGACCATGAGTAATTAACAACATTTTCGTGGCTGTTTGATGCAAGAGACTTGAATCTCTCTCTCCCGTGAAAAGCTGAACTTTACAGTAGGCCGAGAACCATTAGGCGTTCGTCCCGGTCGCAGATGGTGTTTGAAGGGGTACTTGGGTACTTGGGTACCCGAATACTTCGGTTTCTTGCGAGGGCGTAGACAGATGTTTGTTTTTTTACCTTTCCACATTTCTTGGCGCTTTTTTTGTGTGCAGTTTTGATACCAGACGCGGAAAATAATATTTCTTTATTTCTCCGGCTTGTGCCTGTGGCCCTTTCTGTTGAGATAGTATGGTATGGCAGGGTGAAAGGCAGATTGCACATGGCGCTCAATACTTGATCTTTTTCGCCTGGGTACAGCAGACGTATCAGACCTTTTTGCAGATTGTTATCTATCCGTGACCTTCTTTCCATTTTTACTTTTGTGTCTCTACCTATACCGCCATCTCCACAGCGATGCAGCCGAGCGAGCGAGCGAGGAAGCGAGTCGTGGGTAAACAACGCAAGGGGGTGATCACCACCTATATGGGGACAACTATGAACTAGGAATATTGTTTGGCTTTTAAGACACGAATCATATAAGATACGCATGAAAATTGGAATATATAGGCAGTATCTTGCATTTACAGCTGCCCTGAAGCCAGGAGTTCCTCACCTGATCATCACTAAAGAAGAAACATGTGATGTAGGACTCGAGAACGAATGAAAATAACCAACGAACAGAGGCAAGCGAACTTGTCCACCTCCTCTCATGGATGTGATTCGGCTAAAGCTGTCCCAGAATATATTGATGTGAGCGCAATGTGTGGAATCGATACCTCGTTGGCGAAAATTGTGAAAACTGTACGATCCTACATGCGAAATTCCTTTTTCGCTCAGCAACTTTCAAGAGAACCGCACACGAAATGAGTTTGAGATCAAACCTTTGATCTCTCCTGTAGCTCTTATTCAACGTGTATTAGCCTTGGTCCAGACATTGACGCTCGCTCTGCGCTGGCTTTCAGTGTAGGCGATAGCTCGCAATTGAAGTCTGTTCCCGCTGTGATGTTAAGATTCAATCAAAATCACGAGGAGAAAATGACTACTCTGAATAAAGCTTTCTCATGATTTCAGTCTTTGTATGTCTGCATCTCAAGGAGTCTTCGTATTTCGTAAATGGTGTTGTAAAGACGTGCGCGCAATAACAAGAGGCGCAGTCAGGGATACGCTCGTCCCGTTCTCTTCAGGGCATGAAGACTTACTCCCTAAAATTGCCCTGGAGATTCCCTTTACGTTTAGTAGGTGCAGATTGGGTTTCCCTTGCAAGTTCCCAGCTCAAAATGGTCTACATCCAAGACCTGCCTTGTCCCTGAGGAGCAACCAAGGAAGGTACCTTGACGGAGAAAGCAGGTTCCGGCGCACTTTCCTATCATGCGACTGCCAAAACCTTATTGGAACTGTCAATTGACAATCAATTGACAGTGATAAGAATCTACATTCTTGACAGTTGCGAGGTCGTCATATCAGGAAACTGTCCCTCAGAAGGTGAGATGGGAACTGCTTTCTTGAGGTCCTTTGAGGTAGGTCGGTACCTTCCCGTCAGCCGTTAGAGATCTAGAGTTTCAGATCAGCTCCCGTATCTTGTTATGGTTAAAGACTATTTAACCCCTATCGTACAACCAAATCATCTCGTTTCTGATCAAGAAGTACATCCCCACGAACCTTCTCCCCTTTCTCAAACACCACAGCCGCACCATCCTACCACACACCCTGCACACCACAAGGCTGCATGACATCAAACCATCCCTCCCATCAAACGCGCTCAAAGTAAACTATAACTTATGCACAAAGAACATTCCGGAACGGTGTCTCTCCTACTCAGTCGCACCGCAGCAGCTGAACTAGAGTTCTAGCTGCCGCTTAACATGATTCATGAGCGTTTTGACTACGCCATCGTGCTGCAGTTGGAACTCTGAATGGTGAGAGCTTGCTCATCTTCGGGATTACTTCGTATGCAAGCGTAGCTGAGCTTGCAGGTAGGCTTCAGTGGTTGCTTCCTTAAATATTCAATCGGCTTATGCACGTTTAACTTTACATCAGGTTTATCGTCGGGAGTTCGACGCCTCCACGGCTCCACGCCTCAATCCGCACCGATGTGGTGGACGATGGCGAAATGCCGCGTTCGGGTCAGCACTCGGCAATTATAGACGCACTGCAACGATTCAAGATAGATGATCTTTTGCTGCATCTTTCTTAGATTCCGCAATCTAGCAAAGAGGAGGGTCGGCGAAGGATCAAAGCTCTTGCATGCTGCGTCTCTCACGCGATTCTGATATCCAACACAACCCCGTATTCTTCGGGGAGTTCTGCCTTGGCGAGTGCACTAAGCGAACCCAACTGTCGGAGATGTTTCCCCTCCAGTGCTCCACTGATCGCCACCCAGGGGTTTACCCTGGTTCCCAGCTCCTCCCCCACAAAAACGCTTGCTGGAGCCCTACGGAGAATTAATCCGCCCCCCTGCTCCCACAAATCAGAACTGCTACGAGCCACATCTCGCCCAGTTTCACGATTCACGACTCCATCTCTATTGGGCTCAGAACGTGAACTATGCGAGCACACTCTCCACATCCGGGACTTCCCAGACTCCTCGCGGTCAGAAAGAAGCATCTTGCTCCGAGGAGCCGGCCAATGACTACTCCAAGTCATGGATGGGGTTTCATGCGAGGCAGCTGGGGTTTCCATCTCCTTGGGCAAAGAACTTAGGGACTTGGAGACTACCGTCGGCGATGAGACCGGAAACGGTTTGAGTATCAACGAAGAAGGTTCATCCGTCCTCGCCTCACGAACTCTATGTGAACATTGCACGTTTCTTGGCTTGTATATGTTTCCAGATAATCCCCACCCAGCTCTGGACAACAGTTCCTGCATCGTTCCTCTCCCCTGCCCTGTGATCCTGAATTCGAAATATACTCGACTATCAGCCTCGTTGCTTTCTGAGGATTGTAAACCCTGCTCAAATCATCTGTCATCCCTGGATATATTCACTCAACTATGAGTGCTGCGCCTGGTAAACGAGGAACATGAGGAAGGCCTTCTTTGCGCTCGCGGCAGCCTTGCCGTTTATCCTGGCCGTAAAGAATTCGACGGAAACGTTTGCTTTATTAACCAAACTACCTCAATGCGCGGTTGGTTATCTTCAGTCTCAAAAGTAGCTTTGAATGTTAGCATGCTAATCATTGCGCAGCTTACATGTCTAGCGAACGCAGTTGCGAATTCAACATGTACTCCAACTGATACTGCCTGCGTCTGTACAAATGTACCTCTGAATGCTGCTGTCTCTGTTTGCGTTCAATCGACTTGTAGCGTCAAGCAATCCCTCAGTATAAATCTCGTTCAAAAGGATTGACAGGATCTAATTTTCTACAGCAACTTTGAATATCACTCATACGATATGCGAGGATCCCATAAGAGACGGGAGGAACTCCTTCGATATCTTGAGCAATGTCTTTGGCGTTACAACGGGAGTTGCGGTGGTTCTGAGGTTTTATTCAAGGTGGAAATCTGCGCAGGAGTTTTGGTATGACGAGTAGGTGGCTCTTCCTCTTAAGATATCAGTTTTTGTCAATTCTGCGAGACAGCGCTCTCAATTCGCAAAGTTCCGAAACGGTTCTGTGTTGTATGCATTCTCTACGAATATGTTACTGATGTGAGAATTTCCACAGTTATTCCATCATCGCCGTAATGGTCAGTGGCTACCAGCACGGAAAGGTTGCCAAATGCTGATTTTCCCCAGGTCCTCGGTATCCCTGGTACCGTTATGAACGTCCAAGGCTGTACGTGTATTTATTTCCAACTTCAGGGCCTTTTCTAATGAACCCCAGTAACCTACAATGGACTCGGCCTCGACATCTGGCGAGTTGGATTCCGCCAAATAACAGACTTTATTCACGTATTTCTCCCCATCCATCCCTCTCTCCATGTATCTAACGCACACATAACAGGTATTCTTCGCCATGGAACTCCTCTACTTCTCCCAAGTCGGCACCGTCAAACTCTCCATCCTCTTCTTCTACCTCCGCCTCTTCCCTGGCCCGACCATCCGTCGATGGACCTGGGCAACAATAATATTCAACACGGTTTTCACACTGGTATTTATATTTGTTGGACTGTTCCAGTGTACGCCATTGAGCTTTTATTGGAAGAGCTGGGATAATGAACATAAAGGGAAGTGCATGAATCTCAATGCGCTCGTGTGGGCGAACGCCGGGATTAGTATTGCGCTCGACTTTTGGATGTTGGCGTTGCCGATGACGCAGTTGATGAACCTGAGTTTGCATTGGAAGAAGAAGCTCAGTGTTGCGGCGATGTTTGGCGTTGGTGCTTTGTGAGTTTCAATTCTTCCTTTCCTCTCGCGTATCAATCACCCTCTCCTCTTCTTGACCATGCACACAAGTCAAAAGAATATCAGCTAATCCCTCCCAGCGTCACCATAGTAAGCGTAGTACGCCTCCGATCCCTCGTCAAAGTCTCCAACACCCAAAACCCAACCTGTAAGCTTCTCTCCCTCTCCCTCTCCCTCTCCCATTCCCTCTCCCCTCTCCATCTATCCACCTTCCTCCTCTTCTTCCTCTTCTTCCCTCAACATTCCCGCTAACCCATGCCAGGGGACTACCTACCCGTCGCCTACTGGTCCACCATCGAAATCAACGTCGGCATAATCTGCGCCTGCATGCCCAGCATCCGCCTCCTCCTCGTCCGCGCCTTCCCCCGCTTCATGGGCACCACCCGAGACGGCTCCTACGTCTACAGCACCCACCGCAGCGGGGACAACAAGATCCCCGGGAATGGCTCGACCTCGAGATCAGGTTCTGGATTAGGAGGCTCAAGAGGAGGAAGCAGTAGCAGTGGGAGCGGGAGCGGGAGTGCGAATCGGACTCGGCTTGGTGGTGGTAGTAGTGGTGCTGGTGCTGGTGGGGTGACGCTTTCGTCCAAGAGTCCGAATGATGAGGATGTTGTGAGGACGAGTACGTTGGAGCTGGTTAAGGTGGAGAGGGTGGTGGATTTGGAAGGGGAGAGGCAGGGACGCGGGCGTGAGCACGGGCGTGAGTATAGGCATGGGCAAGGGGGGAGGGGGAGGGAGAGAGGCTTGGAGCCGGATTATGAGAGGAGGGTTCATAAGGGGAATTGGGTTTGAAAGTTTAGTTTAGCGATATTGTTATTGTTTACTGGTAATGTCTGCTTGATAGCGTGCCCGGTTTCAAAACTACCTTGTCTATCATGAATTATGAACTTTGTGTTGAAAAGGGACACGGGTCTGTGGCTATAAGGTCAAATCATGACCACTTACCTACTTGTGTTGCGATATCAGCATTTTAATCATTAATGGTGTCATTTGACGCTTGGTGAAATTCACGACGTGAAGCGTGGTACACTGATATTGTTCTTTATGGATTCAGGCAAGAGGGTTGGCGAGAGTGAGGGTTTCAATTTCTATCTTTCTCTTTCGAGAACATCCAGCCATATTTTTCGAAGCTCAGACTCTCGGTGCATATATCCTAGCCTACAAAACTTTCTTCTCGACAATCCTCCCTACCGAACCAATACCATATGCTGCCCCAGGCTTCATTGGCGCCAGTCGTAATCCAGGCATGTATACTTTGCTAAGCTATTCACCACACATACTTCCAACTTCAAAAGTCTAAGAACCGTGCCGTAACACTCCCCATATCATCCTCTTGCGTACCATCGATCTCCGAAGTTGTCGTAGATGCGGTCGATTTCGAGAAGACACTCTCCCGTCTAGTCTTCCTAAGCCAAGTTTTGCCATAACCACCGTCGATCTTAGCCGTCCCACCTTCCCTCTCCATTGGCACACCACCAAATCCCGAACTCAAGCCCAAGCCTAGACCTAAACCCAGATCTCCAACCTCGCTCTCCTTTTGCTTTTCAAATGCACCATTCACAACCGCCGTATCGACCGTACCAGGACCAAACCCAGAGTTCATCCCAATGCCCAGTCCCAAACCTCCTCCTCCACCACCACCACCCCTCTCCATATCGGTACTTCTGTAGCTCGATTCACGCGGTGATTTCAAAGCCAAAGACCCACGGTTCGAGACTGTTCGTTCCATTGGCACACCACCCATCTCAACTGTACTCATCCTCCTCTCCCTCGACTTCTTCCCTCCATATCCACCAAACCTCGACCGTAATTCACTTCGAATCCCGCTCTCAATTCCTTCAGCGAATGACTGGGCACGCATCTTGTTAATGAGATCTTGGGCAGTGCTATTCTTAGTTGGAGTCGTAGGTGTAAGTGCTGCTGCCGTATCAGTCGACGATATCTTCGTACTTGTGATTGCCGTACCAGCATTTCCACCACCACCAGCACCATCAATACCCAAACCAAACCCTTCACTACTCCCCGAATCATCTCCATTCAACCCACCACTCATCACAACGCCCTCTCGAATTCCCAATCCTTTTCCCATTCCCGTACCAAGCCTCTTTCCAAATCCTAATCCCACCCCGCCAGTCTCCTCATCATGCTCTACTCTCTCCTTCTTCACCTTCCCCATCCTCGTCCCCTCCTCAAACACCACCGCAAAATTATCTCCCTCTCCTTCCCCCTCTCCATCTCCACCACCATCCTCCTCACTTTCCCCATCTCCCTCTCCCTCACCCACCACTTTCCTCACCCTCGGCGTACTAAACCCACCCAAACCACTCGATGTCTTAACAGGAGGTAGAGGTGGCGGAGGAGGAGGGGGAACTGGCAGTGGAATAGGCGGCCAGCCGCGGCGCCAGCGGTCGCGGTCGTAGGTTCGGCAGGGGTGGCATTTGTGGGGTGCGTGTTGTAGGTGGATGGTTATGCTGTGGTTGTGGTTGTGGTTGTGGAGGAGATTTGCTGAGAGGAGAGAAGGACGGGGGTTAGTTGGTTGTTTGTGAGGTGGTGGATGGGGTGAGGAGGAGAGGGAGAGAGCAGTGGGGAAGAAGGTAGAGGGGAGAGAGGGAGACGTACAGGATTTGTATTTTTCGCAGAACGAAGTTTCGATGGTGAGGGTGTGTTGGCAGGTGTACTGGACATTGAACTCAGCTTAAGACCTTAGAGGGGAGAGTAGAGAAGGGGGAGAGGGAGAGAAAGTATGTACCTCGATCTGGTATTGCTTACACATCTTTGATGCTTTTCAAGTCGAGTGAAGAGATGTGGGTCGTTGGTGTTGTTGGTACAGGTCGACAAGTTTCTTGTCGTGGAATATTGTTTTGTTACCGAGCTCGAGCACCACATGAGGAAGTCGCGACCAGTCGTGCGCGTGAAAAAAGTGAAAGAAACGAGACTAGGCAATTCACAATGCCAGACTTCGAATTCTACTTTACAGTGAGTCTTGACTTATCTGATATGTGCTTCGAAATTCACCTTTCTCAACGCTCGCTCGCTCGCTCGCACGACTTATTTTGCTCGCTTATTTACTCGAGCCCCTATCTTTCACGCTAAACACTCTTCACATCTCTATGCTCTACCTGCTCCTCTACAACCTCACTCCCGCTAACCTCCACACTCTTCTCACCCATGCTTTCGATCCGTCTGTCTTCTTCCTCGTAGATAGCAGGCCGGTGTAGTTGTGTTGCGATTTTATTACGATGGATGAAGATTCCTGGCTTGGTCTCGAAGAAGCGGTCGATGTCTTCAAGGGAGCGATTCGCGGTCTCGGGATAGAAGAAGTAGGTTATAGGGATGAATGAGAAACAGATTGCTGCCCAGATGATCCAGAACCGCCACGAGAGATTGGCAATTCCGCTGGGCGTTACTTCGGCAACCATGTAGTTCATCTGTGGATCGATGTCAGCTGTGATAGTACAGGTTCTGTGAGCGGACATACAATCCAATTCGTTGCCATGGCCAGACTTGCACCTTTAGTTCGCATCTCAAGCGCGTTGATCTCTGTGGGGTACAGCCATGGAACGCCTAAGACACCCATGCCGAAACTTGCAAAGAAGACGAAGAAAAAAGTCACAGCTACAGCACCGTATTGGAACGAGTGGCTTGGATCGGACTCGGTAAGTGCAAGGACGATGGTGATTATGACCCAGCAGGTGCAACATGCTGCAGCAGATGTCATCATGACGTTTCGACGACCGTAACGCTCGATGACGAAGTATGCGAGAACTGCGAAGAGGAGGTAGTCTACGGATCCTGCTGCTGCGAGGATACGTGCTCTGCTGTCCGTTAGAGGAAGTATTATGTGAGGGATTTGGGTCCAACTGACCTCAGCTCGCTAATATTCAGAGCATGAATGAATACATATGTCATGTAATAACTCGTGACATTAATTCCACTTATCTGATTCATAGCTTGCATCCATGCACCAAGGATCATTCGACGCAGCACGCCAGATGGTCCTTTCCCAGTGAGGAGCTGCATCCAGGTATATGTATTCATGTGTTCGCGGTCCAAAACGTCCTTGATGATGTTGAATTGTGTCTTGACAGAGGGAGAGTCGATAGTCGCTCCATGACCTTCAAGTGCTGCAAGGACTTCGTATGCATCTTCGTATCGACCTTTGCGGATTAGAAGCCTTGGAGAGTCTGGTAGAAATGGACAGAGACACCAGATTAATCCAGTGAAGACTAGCACTTGTCAGTACTGAGAACGGAACTTAATCATGGCTACTCACAAATCTGGAATGCGAGTGGGAACCTCCATGCCACACTCCCTTTCGCGAAAGAGAAGCCAAGAGTAAGCCAGTTTGAGATTGAGTATCCAGTGATGCAGTTCGCCATTTGTATAATGACCAGTTTACCACGACTCCGCATTTTACTGGTCTCAGCTTGCCAAACTCCTGCTGTGGAGGTATTCATGCCTGTACCAAGGCCTGCAACGATTCGACCAACCATCATTTGAGCTACACTGTAGCTAGCAGCTTGAATGACAGCTCCCACTGCAATGACCGTACTTCCCAGTAGCAGAACACGAGGGCGTCCAAGTATGTCGCCCGAGTAGATTGTTGACAAGGCACCAAAGAAACAGCCAAGGTTATAGACGGATGTCATTGTTCCTTGAACAGATGTTGAAGGATTTCCCATTGTGTCAAGGAAATCCTGTCCAACGAGGACGTTGCCGAACACACCCTGCAATTGTTAGCTGGGGCTGGAGAAACCGCATGGGAAACGTACCTGATCATATCCATAGAATATAAGGACAGTTGATGCAGCGATTGAAATCCATACTGTGAGGGCATCACCGGAGCCTCCAAGATACTTTCGAGGCATCTTTTCTGATTTGATGTATTCGGAGATAGTGGAGAATGATATGTACTAAGTGAATGGTGGAAGTTCGATCCTCCTCAGAGAAGACTTGCTTAGACATGTTTTACCCATGGGAATGTGGATCCCATTAAATACTTGTTGATCACAAATTCCAAAATCTGGGGAAAAGGACGGGGAGTATTCCGTCATTGGGGGTTTAGTGCCAGAACGTCCATTAGATCCTCAAAATCTGCACGAGACGAGGACTACCGAGTTATTTCCGGCTCTGACATCCATTTTCTTCGAGCATGCAAGGCCAACGAGTCATATCTGCAGCTGCATCAGGGAATAATGACGATGATCTGGAAGCAAGCAATGAAGAAGGAAGGTTGTCCGAATAGGCTTCCCCGCATCCCACTTTCGAGACGATCTCCCGATGGTAAACCTGGAGCCGCAGAGAAAGGTAAGCTTAAAATGGAAAGACGGAACATGTCTTGGTTTTCCTGTTGAGGAGTTCCGGCGCTCTACCTGCCTTACCAGATATCAGAAATTCTATGTCCTCCCCGGTGGGTTCATAGTCCAGCCTTCGTGTTGGCTTGTGTGAGACTTTGATATGTTGCGAATGACATATTTCTTGAATAGAGAAGATTCTTTCCATGTTTCCTTACCGGACCAATGGAATTATGCTCTAGGCCAGTTGCTAACTATATCGAACGTCCTTTGTCTAGTTAGGACAGTCTGGTGGAGGAGCGCCGTTGGACGTAATGTCCGAATATAGCATTGATCTTGACCATTGGAGAGCCAAATGACGGGCCATGGGCAAGTATATGCTGCTGGCCTCATGATACCCCTGTGTAAATGTCTCTGTCTTTGTTCCGTTGTCCGTAAGTGACTTGCCAATAGTCTGAATTGTGAAAATTACTTTTGGCAAAGTAGTAGAGGAATTGGTCTGAAAGGAGCCATCCTAGGACGATGTATCTCTGTTCACAATGTTTCTGCTCCTAGACGAGATGCTAATGTAAGTGTAATGGAAAGATTTGACCTTGATCCTGTCTGTATGGTATGGATGGTAAGCTGATATCTGGACGGCTCCAGAAGATTGAAGTGCAGCACGTGCCACCGTGCCGGTGGATCTGAAGACTGAGGAGCTCTCCTGCCTCCCGCCAAGACCAAGCAAACATGTCAAACCCTCAGGTGACAAAGCCATGCAAACACCACAAACATTCCAGCTATCACCGGAACAACCAATCTTCCGGCGCTTCTGCCTAGCGCCGTCCAGCCCTCAGAAATCTATAAAGTCTCGCTCTCCCCCCCAATTCTCTTTTTTTCTTCTTCATACTTACCTTCTTGAAAGCTGGCCGCTCATGAATGGCTTCGCTTGCGATACGAAACCTCCATTGCACATCGGGGAGTTGAGAATCGTTATCTCTCCTTCGGGGGCGATATCGGGGGAATTTTTGATTGCACTCTCTGCATAAGAGACTCTTTCATTGGGAACTGGGCTGCGTGCTCGGTCTTGAAGAAGAGACTGGTATGAGGATGGATGGGAAGGTAGACACGCCGCTGGTCTCACCAACCGCTGCTGTACTTTAAGATGTATGTATTTGCTGTGGCAGACCTGATTGAATTGCTATTGGGTTTCTGAACTGTTGTCCTATCACTGAAGCTGCCGGAGGATCGTAACTCTAGACGCTCGAATTGGCAAGCAGCGAAGCCTTGCTCGATCTCTCAACGGGAGCTCTGCCCTTAATTGTGTACAACTTTCACGCTTCCAGACTCTGCTACTTGTATTCTGTAATCAAAGAAGCCGAAGCACCAAGCCATGCCGGCAATGAATACGAGTCGTGCTACGAAGAGCTCCCTGGCTACGGGCTTAATGCTATCCTCGGCGAACCTTCCTTGACGTCCTCACAAAGCCTCTTGTTCGACAACGACACCATTAACTACTCCATCGCCGCCGTCTTCTCCACGCGCTCCTCAAGATCATCATCGCACAGCAGCTACGAGTCTACGCTGGAAACAATGGCAGACACATCGTCCACAGCCTTTCGAACAACCTACATGGAGCTTCACGATGACCACAAGATGACTGACGGGCGTTCACGAGTGGCGGTGACCCACATCCACAAAGAGGACTTCCCGTGGCAGATGAAGTGTTCCTTCTAGGCTTTTGCCGCATCTCTGAGCCGTTACTCAAGCGCGTGACGGTCAAGATGCATGTACGGAGGGAAGGTGAACACATAATTGCAAACGCCGCAGACTGGCATGGCATGGGATGGCATGGCACAACATGGCGGCAAAAAAGGTAAATAGGTCAATTTCCTCCTCATAGGTAACACAAGCAAGTTACAATTTCATTATATTCTCCTTCTCGCCTTTTATATCCCTTCCTCTGCTCTCACAATGGCTATGAACGTCTCTGGCAAAACAGCCATCGTCACCGGAGCAGGCTCCGGCATCAACCTCTCCTTCGCCATCAAGCTCCTCGAGAAAGGCTGCAATGTCGTCTTTGCAGACCTTGCCCTCCGTCCAGAAGCAGAAGCAGTAGTAGCGAAATACCCTCCCACCTCCAGCGGCGCAAAGGCGGTCTTCCAGCAGACAGATGTGACGGACTGGGCACAACTGGACCGAATGTTCGCTGTAGCCATCGAGCAATTCGGCGGAGCTGATATCGTCTGCCCTGGAGCAGGAATCTACGAACCAGTATGTCTACCTACTGCCCTCCACCAGCTATCTCAAAAATCTCCGTACAGAATGGCACAGCTAACAAGTACATAATTCCCAGCCCTCCTCCAACTTCTGGCACCCCCCAGGCACCCCACCATCGAAAGACGACCCCTCCACCTCCCGCTACGCCCTCCTCGACATCAACCTCACACACCCCATCCGCGTCACCCAACTCGCCATCTCGCACTTCCTCGCGCACAAGAAACCCGGCACCATCCCCCACATCAGCAGCGTCGCCGGCCAAGCCCCCTTCTTCCCCACCCCCGTCTACGTAGCCACCAAGCACACCATCTCCGGCTTCGTGCGGTCCCTCGCACGTCTGGAAACTCCTCCGGCAGACAGCGGCCTCCCTAAAATCCGCGTCACGGCCGTGGCGCCAGCGAGGATCCTGACGCCGCTGTGGACGGATAATCCTGATAAGATGAAGATGGTGGGGGAGAAGCCTGGGTGGGTGACGCCAGAGGAGGTGGCGGATGTGATGATGGATTTGGTGGAGGGGGAGGTGAATGTGGGAGGGACGATATTGGAAGTTGGGAGGACGGTGAGGAGGGTCGAGGTGTATGATGATCCGGGGCCGAGGGGAGGGGGGAATTTCGTTGAGAATGATCCGGGCTACGAGGATGATATGTGGGTGCTGTTGAAGAAGCAGTTTGATGGCGAGTAGTGCTCGTCCTCATATCTGAATGCTATTTGTGAATTTCATTGGGCCTGATAGGCTATATATGACACTTGGTGGCTGCCTGCACTCGCTCTGTGTTGGAACTGTTCTCCCATTTCTCGTCCAGCACTCATGATTTTGAAGCACGGAATCACTGGGGCCTGCTTTGACTTCTATTGAGAGTTTGTTATCGCTGATGTTTCTCCGCATATCCGTGTTTCAGTTCTTTCAAACTTGAAAGCTTGATCCAGCCATTCTGGAGTATCATAATAGCCACTTCCATCGCATTCAAGACACAGTGTGTAAGGCGTCTGTTCCAACAGGCGTCTTGCACTCCTCAAAAGCCAAAATGGGAAGGAGTGTTTCTGAAAACTCAAAATCAGTCACTCACCATTGCCAGTCGATATTGCGACGTATTTTCCCACCCAATTGTGGCGAGAATATAGACAATGAAGGTGGAGAGGGGAGGGCAGCGTTCAAGCGCACGCAAATTTCTTGATTCGGAACTTTCAAGAAGCCTATCGAGCTCTGAAAACTGGACTCTTTCCTTGAGAAAAGCAGGACAGCATTCCTCTGGAGCTCGATACTCGAATAAAGCAAGAAACAACATCTCAGACGTCGGACTGTCTGCATTACTTGGCAACCAAGAGCTGAGGCAAGTTCCGGCTCCAACTCCAGTTCCGTCCAAAACTCCTTTCCTCCATCGACGATTCAACATCGTCATTGCCAAGCAGGATACGACTGAAACTTTCTTTCGTGGCATCACTCTCCCGAGACTGACTGCGCTTTTCCCCGTGCCCCATTCCTCTATCATGTTGGAAGAGGAAGGCAAGATGCCAGTACCAAGCTCATCTCTAGGGCTTGAATGCAGTCTTGATGAAAGAACCAGACTCAACAGGCGATCCTGTGAATCCCAAGACGCAAAAGCAGTTTTTTTTTTAAAGCAATGAACACTTCAGACTTTTCCCAACTTCTAAACTCCTACTCATATCCACAAATCCGTAGCAGATGCTGCCTGAGAAGAGCTTTCCGCTTTTCTGACTTGTTGTCATTCCACAGATCTCAAAGCTAGGAATCGTCTTAGTGCGGTGCATGTGAATATGCTTCATGGAGAAACCTTTCCAGATCCTATGACAGGCGCTGTCGTTAGATGATTGTTCATCTAAGTCATAAATCCACATACAACCTTGAGGTCCTTAGCAGTTCTTAACATCGCTTTTATCGCCCTCCACATGTCCTCCCTCTCCATCAGCATTTCAAGCAGCTGTTGAAAGGTGGTGGTATCAAGCGAGTTTCTTTCTGACCTGGCTTGTTCGTGATCAAGACCTCGCATCACCATCATCATTCGTGCCGCCGCCATCGCTTCACACCAATATCTTATTCCGACCGGCTCTTACCGGTCTTTGTGACAAGTCTGCGAAACTTGGCCCGACCTGATTCAGAGCAGCTCCTGCGCTCGAAAATGCGTCTCGCTGGGATTGTATTTTCGGGGATGGAATATACAGCGTTCCCATCTCATTTGACAAATGGAATGCATTTAAGTCTGCCTTGATGATGTGTGATATTGCATCGGAAGATGGAAGATGAAGGTCTTTGGATGCGGGGAGAGCAGTAGGAGATGAGGCGGGTTTGGTGGACGAGGTGAGGGAGGAGTTGGACTTTGGTGGAGGAGATGGAGGAGGAGGAGGCATTGGTGATGTTTTTTCGTTAATCGGAAGTTGGTGAAGATTTGTGATATGAAAGTATCTTAGGGATTATCTGAAAGACTGTAGATGAAATGGGATGTGAGCAAAGTTTAGAACAGGATTGGGCAATCAAGTTTAACGGATGTCATGATGTCCCTTACGAGCAGGTGGTCTGGGCAACATGTGACCGAAGACGAAGCGAATGCAACTCTGTAAAGCTGGAAAGTCCATGAAGTCGTCTAGTACATGACATATCATTCTCAGACAAGACAATAATAGCTCAACGCATCAGATACTACGAATCTGCGACCAATAGTCTCAGAATGATTCCCAAACCAGCTTAGCGGTTTTGATGCTAAGTATACAAAACAGGCTTGGTAGCAAACTGGTGTCTAGGTGTTATGCAATTCCAAACTTAATGCGAGCCGGTTTGAGCTGATTTATGGCAAAATCGCAAGACTAAGAACTATTCAGTCTTCACAATTAAAGTCACGGGACGAAGATGAATTAGAAGATTTTGTAGAAAGGTATATATTTTTTTCATCGCTCCTTTTCTGGAATACTAGGCTTTTTCCGACCCAACTCGCTAGCTAGCTAGCTAAGCGAGCATTCTCCGAAGAAAGCCGATCCCTCTCGCAATGAAAACAAAAGTCTGCAGATAAGTACAAAAACATGCTCGTTCGTTCGTTAAAACATGAGGAAGACGTCGTAGACATATGCAAAACTATGGAGATCTTTTTTTCATTAGGGGACTTCTTCCAGCTACCCAAGTCCTATCCTCTCCTCAACCCCCTTGTGTGCTCTTCCACTGGCACCACTCAAAACTCCCCGATTGCTCTCCACTTCGTGCACTGCACGCTCATCTACCACCGGACTAGCGAAGGAAAGATAGAGTGAGGTGTTTAGATGAAGCAGGATGCGGCGGCGATCTGGAGCTGTTGAGCAAAGATCAATTGCTGTGAATGTGTTAGCTTGATTCATCTCATCTCAAATGTGATTGGAGATGGTAGACTCACGTTCTGGATCTGGCTCTGGTTAACAAGACCCAACTGCAACAACAGGCCCAAGATCTCATTTGCGTTCCAGTTTGCGCCGAAATTCTGGTTGAACTGGTTGGCGAAGGTGTTGATATTGAACTGGCTGAGGTCCGAGATGAAGTTCAAGTTGGAGTTGCCGAAGCCGTTGGATCCGAGCTGGATGAGGAGCAGCTGGATGGCGTTCTGATCGAATTGGGAGCCGAACTGGTTGTTGAATCCTCCGAAGTCGAAGCCGACGAGGAGGTTGGCAATGTCGTTGTTGTTGAAGGCGCCGAGGTTGAAACCTTGGTTACCGGCGTTCAAGAATGATGAGATATCACTGTGGATGTGTTAGTTGGGTTGACTGGGGGCTCGAGAATGGAGTTACTTACACTGGAACTGGGGCAGCGGCGGCAAGGGTGGCAACAGAGGCCAAGATCATGGAGGCAGTAGCGAAACGCATGGTGATTGATTTGAAGGGTTGGGAGGTTTGTTGATTGTTGATAGTGAGGTAGAGAGAGAGTGGAAAATATAGGATGAATTAAAAGTATTAATTAAGAATGTAAAGCGACAGACCAGCTGAAGAAAAGATTGTAAGGTGAAGATGAGGCTGTAAGTGAAAGACTGTGGATGAGGAGAGAAAAGGTAGGAATAGAGAGGCATCGTGGAACCCTTATACTCGCTCCTCATTGGAGAAAGCTTGGCATCGGTCAGATTTCGAAATGCTCAGTCGGATGAGAGCACACCCTTTCTCCATCTGATCCAGTCTCTAACCTTAATCACCCCTTGCCCATGTCCCCTCTGTGGAGCAACTCAAGCTTAGCTGCCCTGGCAACCCAACTCTAATCTCAACCCTAATTCTATCACCCACGGCCGTTCGTATACTCTTCTTCGGGTATGGTATCAGCATCAATAGCAACAACTAGCCAGCCCAGCCAGCCATGAGACGAACAAGACTCCGAGACATTCATCCGACCATCTTCAAACAGCCGCTCAAGCTACCGCCGGTCCTACACAAACTGACAGCTGCCACCCCAGCATCATCAGACCCATCCCCCCATGACTCCATCACCCACCGCATTCTCTCCCTGCCGAAACTCTCAGACACACCGAGCACAACATGCACAATGCCCTACCATCGCCCCATCCAGCCAAGCCCTCCAAAAGCGTTAGACAACACAATGCGCATCAGGCATTATGACAGTTAAGCTTCGCCCAGCAGTGCCACCGCCAGGGGGGGTCGCAGTCAGTCAGGGGCTAAGCGAGCCCGGCAAGCCTGATCGACAGTGTCAGAGGGTCTTTTATCCGCACAGGGCTGCAGTTCCAAGCTGCTCACTGGCTGCAAGTGACAAATATGTGGACTTTTCTTTCTATCATGGTTCGAGAGGTGAAGTGTGCCATAGCAGGAGAATTATTTGGTAAGAGGCTGCTGCAGATGCTTGCTGGAGGTAACCTTAACGCGGAGAAGCTCGTTGCCGGGCTGGGGCTTGAACCTTGAGGAAGTCTTGGCGGGATGCGAGGTTGTTCATGTTTACTTCACTTCACATCTCCACCAGCCCAGCTCATGTTTGGATTCGCATGAGCCGAGGGCGCGCTTTCGGAATTTGAGGAGGAACAAGACAAAGCTGCCTTGGTATTGGTCAAATCCAGGACAACTTCAATCTTGCCATTGGCTTGGACGTCAAAATCTCTGCATTTGGCACGCCCTCACGTGGTATTCTCCCCTGGTAAACCCGACCGTTAAGACTGTCTCACACGGTTGCATATGCAGTTTCCATGTGGTCTTACTCCCCGAATCTCTTCGGCAGCCGAGCCCGACTGCTATGCCAACCTCCCCTCCCCCAAGAAGCTTGTCAAAGAGGCGTCAAGTTTCACAGTTCGGATGCTTCGACTGGTTGACAGCCGTTGTTAGTTGCACTTGGCGTCTTCGGCACTCCATAATGCCAGTCCACTCTTGGGTAGATCGTGAACGCCAACTTGCTTGATTATTAACTGAAAGGCAGTCTTTGCATAAGGTTTGTGAAGAATCAAGACTTTGTGGATGTTTTGATCTTTGATTCACCAGTGCACAATGCCGAGTTCTGATCTAAGCTTGGCAAGGATGTTGATTTACCGCATAATTGTTTAAGGTGATCATGATGATGGAGTGGTCAAGTGCAGCGCAGCGCTTCTTTCTTGTAATCTTGGCAAGAGTTGAAGAAACGTAAGTTTCCCCTGAGTTCTTCCGGCCGAGGAAACGGCAAAGGCTTGGAATCGTACGAAAGGTACGGCGCAGTCGGCGAACGGAACCCTTGGAGAAAGTAGATTAGTCCCGAGCCTGCCCAAGGCCTTGGTATGTTGACCCTCGAGCATTTCGGGTCGTTTGTCACTCTTATCGGCTGACTGCCACGTTCAATCTCAATCTCGAATTCGAATCAATCTCGAAGTCGAATCACGGCAAACTGGCCGGAGGAGAACTCTGAAGGACATGTGGCATGTGGTCGACCGTGACGACCAGGCGGGTAAGCTCAGATGAAGCACGAAATCGGATAATAAGTTAGCAGCCGTTGCGGACAAAAGCGATTTGGAACGGTATGGCCGTTCTAAGCTGAATTACCAGATGAAAATAATACGATCTCGGCCGAAGTAGTACGTTTGACCTATTCTGCTTAGAATCTAGCAGCTTTTGGGGGTGGTCAAGTGACTTGCCTTTTCCTCCTCGATGCTGCTATCAGAGTCTGTGACACCACCACCACCACCACGGAGATATTTAACCACGCCGAATATGCCTTTAATCACCAATTGTTCAGACTCTTGGGATGAACAAGTCGAGGAAGCCTCCCTAGTCAGTCCAGTTGGTTGTCTTTTCTCCGATCATTCCAACTAAGACTAAGACTTCAGACGACCGGTGGTTTCGAAAATCGAGTAACGATTTTTGCTTAACAGAACATGAAGGAAGTATCCTGGTGGGGTGCGATGACATTTTTGCATACTAAATGTATCTATATGGGACGAACGATGGCGTTTTTGCTACCAATCTTGAGACCACCTGGTATTTCCCTCAGAAGGGTTGTTGCAAAATGTTGTAACGGAAAAGAAGTCTTGCTCGTTGTGTGATGTAAAATTGTTCCCTTCATCTGAGTATGCACGCTAGCTTGTTTACTTCAATCAAATACACAAACTTCGCTGCTGTTCGTCATGATTGATTCACATTCGCGATACCAATACCATGGTATTTATGAAGCCCGACCTGCTGGACTTTCCTGTTCTTGGCCACACAAGCCCACGATTCGACTAAGATCTACAAACATATCTTCACACTAATAGGAGATATTCACAGTAAGTTTGGCACGGTATTTATATGATAGAAGTTCTCGCCAGACTCCTAATACAGGTAGGTAGGTTTGCACCCACGGTTCTAGGTACGCTAAGCGAAGAAAACAAGAAGCTCTCTTTCTTCTACTTACTGAGTAAGGAATGCTCGCAGGCCAACCTACCATAGCCCAATCATATAAACAAGTTCCTCTCTAGTGTATCTTTTATTTCCTCCGTTCAGGACGATCTTCATGGAAATTTCTGTCATCAAAAATTCATCAAATTCCAATCACCCTCGTTCCTCAAACAATCTGCACTGAATTCACAATCTCCCCACATCCTCAACTTTCCACTCCGCCTACCTCTTACACCCCGTCTGACCCGACACAATCAAAAGATCAAACCCATCCCTCGGATCACTGATTGGAAGCAGAACGCCATCTTCCAAACTTCATTATTCCCACACGCCAAGCTGGCGGGAGGCTATACAAACCACGATCGACAAAATCCTCCATCTCCGGCACCAGCGTCGTAGCCCTCCTCACCTCTCTAGCATTCTCGGCCGTAAGGCCCTTCGGGATACGAAAATACTGCAGGATATCACCCCACTGCCTCTTTTGCAAGGCCAACCTCAACAAGCTCGTTTCAAAGCTCCACGTCTTAGCCTGCAGAGAATCCTCTGGTTTCCCCCTGATCTTGGAACAAACATCGACAAAGATCGGCAGAACTGTGTTTTGGAGAAGTTGGACTAGTCGCACTGGGAGAAGGACTGGATACCAGCTATGCAGCAGAAGGGGTGCTGCTTCCGCTGGTGGCGCTTCGAGGGGCGTCCCATATCGTTTACCACGATATCGCAAGATCCGGTGTAGGTAGGAGGCGGGGTTCTCGGTCTTTGGAAGTCTCGGGACAAATAACAAATCGACCGTACTTCGGTCTCTCGATGGAACTCATCCCATGGGTCGGCCCAGCCTAACTAAAAGTTCCCCAAGCAGGCTTACATCTCGTAAGGTTACCCCGCTTTCGTGCTGAGGAGATGAGTTGCATGTCATAATACCAGCTGAGCTTTCTGAGGAGCGAGAGTCAGATGTAATGTTATTAGACAAAACCTTGTTCCTTCAAGTCTGGATGATAGTAAACACGATATGTCAGCAACAGAAAGCTCTTTGCACCGGGCAATATTCTGTGAGATGAAACGAAATGTAGTAGAGAGAATTGCAAGCAAGCACGTACACATTTCTAAACCAGACAGGCTTGAACGATATATCTTGTTCTGTTGTACTCTCTCTACATTCGATAGCAGTTCCCAACACCATACTCCAGTTTGTATGTAAACCATCACTGCCGCTCATATAAGTACAGAGTCACCAACTTGGCAGTACTTCAACCGAGGTCACCGTTACAGCGCTACGCCATTTCACCTCCTCGACTCAGGCCCGCCATGCTTGTAATCCCAAGCATCAAATTGTGACCCTTTCTCCAGATCCTGGTTCCTCCCCATAATCAATGGTCTGGGAATTTGGACCCTCGTCTCTCCAGTTCCAGGCTTTGCAGGAGTATTCTCGCCTGAGACAGAAATCTGCACTGTAGTCGTCATATGGATGCCACCCCCATCACTTTCTTTCAAATGCACGTCTCTCTCCAAAGTATCATCGCCTCCTCTCGTTGTAGGTCGCATCTCCCACTCCTCGTCCGGATTAGTATCGCTGTGTAAAATCCCCCTCTCCGTATCATAGCTTTTCGTGCTCAGTTCCTCCGTACTCTCCCCCTTCGCGCGAATCGTCGTGATAATCCCGTTATCACTTAACCTCTTCCCGCCAAAGCTTCCACCAAGATGCATGTGTCGTCCCGCTATATTAGTCCTGTGCGGTCTACCTCCTGCTCCTCCTCCAGTGCCCGGCCCATACGCCAAGTTCTTCGATACACCAGACGATTTATGGCCTGGTGTGAGGTCTCGTAACGAGGGGAACCACTCTCTGAGGAGTGGCCAGATCATAGGTAGATTGGAGACGTAGACCGCGACGGAGGCTTCGCGGGTGTACCAGAGCATATACGAAGGGTCCCAGACGTTGGAGAGGTTGAAAACTTTAGTCAGGACAGCGGCAAGGATGACGAAGAGACCCATAGAGAAGATGACGAGGAGGACAAGTTTCTGTTTCAGGGGAATAGTGAGCTTGGTGATGAGGGGGAGGGGGATGAAGAGCATGAGGGTGTCGGAGGAGATATTGAAGCAGGCTTGGATAATGGCGTAGTGCTCGAGGGTAGTGCATTGTGGGTTTGGAGGGGGCATAGCCCAGTAGCCGCTGAAGGGGGTGCAGGCTGTGAAGAAGGCGATTTCGGTGGCGAGCCAGCCTAGGGCGACGTAGATTGTGAGGTAGAGGACCATGCGTTGGACTTGGAGGCCGAGGGTGAGGCGGGTGTACATGATGAGCATGCAGGCTTTGATTACGTATATTACGTTGAGCATTGCCTAAGGTAGTGAGAGGTCAATAAGTGTAACGAGGACAGGAAGTGGGACATGGCAGTACCTGTTCGGAAATGACGACGATTTTGGAGCCCTTGATCCTTTCTTGTATGTTCTGAGGAGTGAACGTGTCATAGTCTTCTGGAAGATACAGATTACTGCCACCACCACCTGCAATGACGTTCAAGCAGACGATGAGAGTCGTGTAGAGACCACCGGCTACTAGCATGAGATAGTCATCTGGTTGTAGTCCTCGGACTCCCAGGCGGTGTATACGAGCATATCTGTCTGCTGTGAGTCTCCCGAATTTGAGGTTGGTATCCAAGAGACTCACGTCCGCATGAGGATCAACACCATGCCGACTCCATACAAACTCCAAGTCTGGACCGCCAACTCGTGCACAAAAGCAGGGTCGAAGTCTCCCATTTTGGCTTATCCACAGGATACTCAGCCTGGAGCTCGAAAGCTGATTTATGCAGAACGAAGCACCAAAACAATTTAGCTTAGGAAGACTGAACAGATAACAATGATATGAAGAAACGAAACCGAAAAGCACTACTGAGATAACATTTCCTCTCCCCAGGGTATCTCGAGATTATGAATCAGAAGCTCCATAGTCGGAACTTTCTTTTCCCCATACGTGCTTGCCTCCCCCTCCCCGTACTCTTACACTATGTCCCGTGCACGAGAATAAACTTAACTCTGTTCAGCAAAGCAACCTGCCTGTCTTACAGGATAGATGTCTCATCTTGCGCTTCTTTCCGGAAACCAAAGGGCACAAACCCTCCGATCGTCTATGGCTCTGCAACGCATCTCCGAATTCAGCAAATAGGCGCCAGATAATGATTTGCCGATCTGAGTTTGCAGATTTAAAGAATTGACTGGACCGTACGAGGGTCGAGATAAGGAAACGTGCTAGCGGATATGGGTAATGGTACGGGAACGGGTGGTATGGATGTGCCTTGTCGAGGCGTATCTAGTGCACTTCCCATGCTTTTTTCATCGCACATTCCTATGTACAGGCTGTGGTTTGGTTGAACATCTTCAGCTGTTACTGAGGACTCGAACAAATGAGACGTTGATGGAGGAAAGAAAGTAGAATGACGTGCTTGTCTCAGCCATGGCTTGAACCATTGCTTGCATGTGAAGGGACTGTGAGATGAAGGAACGAGATGACCAATTGTGAGTATCATGGCTGGGTTGGAATCCGAACGAGGATAAGGGTAAGGTTATGTGGGAGAAAGCCGCCGCCCGCCGCTGCCAGTCTGCTGCATGCCGTGTGGGGGTTTGGAGATGGATGTGATATTCAGGTCTGCAACAAGCTTCGTGGATTCTGATTGGCATGCTTCGACATATATGCAGACTGTCTCCTGCATGGTGCATATTGATTGCTGTGCCTTGCACAATCTATCGGCAGGAACAGGATATACCTCCGTACCTAGATAGCGAATGTGTCCTGGCTGGTCATGTACATTCGGAAGATCTAGCCGAGGGCAGGCCATCGATCACTAAAGTGCATTTAGATTACTTGAGATAAGACTCGAACTTACAAACAATAAATATCTTATCTCGAAAGGCTAATCTGCCCAAATGCAGATGTGACGATTCGCCTGCAAACGACGTGAAGACCTCAGCGCAACTCGCGCATATCCAAAACCAACAAGCCAATAAAGACCACAAGGTGCGAAGGGGCACGATTATATAAAACTCTAAACAGCCTGAGAGTGCTCGATGAAGAGAGGAAAAGAAAAGACATATACACGTCTGGGAAACAGAGATAAACTCAAAGTATTGTGTCAAGAGATGTGGTTGGCGGATGCGGGTGATGGGCCGGGTGCCTTGCCGTAGCCACGCCTCGCTAGCTCTAGTCAGGGGTAAGGGGGAAGGGAAGATAGGGGATGTGGGTGGCAGTGAGTGCCGGTACCTTCAAGGTTACTTGGAATCGCTACTCAGTCTCGTCCGTACTCCGTACAGGTCTTTAGGTTTCATTGTTCCGGAAACGTGTTTAACCCGGATGTACCCTTGACCAGCGCTGGGTATTTGCACTTCTGTGATACTGGTACCGTCGATTTGATATTTGTGTTCAATGTAACATGTCAACATTTCATGTGGTAATTCTTCTGGCGGAAAGCCTCTGGAGCAGTAGGTGGTAGTTTGGTTATTCTCTTTTTATTGAATAGGTATATTGATATTTAACCACAATCCCAAAAGCATCCAACCCATCTACTTCTGAATAGCCTTCAAAATAGCCTTTCCTACACCAGAAGCAGAGGCCGGGTTCTACAATCGAGTCAGCATTACTCATCACACCACGTTCCACCTTTCTTTCTCAAAGCAAAGAAGTCGGAGTACTAACCTGTCCAGTAATAATCCTCCCACTAACCACAACCTTCTCACCCCAATCCGCACTAGCCTTCTCAAACTTGCCACCACTGGCAACATTCAACTGATCCTCAAGGATAAACGGCATGGCGCTGGTCAAACCAACAACGTCTTCCTCACTGGTAGAGAATCCTGTTACAGCGTGGCCGTCAAGGAGGTACGAGCCCGAGGATGTCTTGACGTAGGCAAGTGCTGCGGGACCGTGGCATACTGCTGAAACGATCTTGTTTTGGGAGGCGAATTCGTTGATCAGTTTGTGGGATGTGGCGGAGGTGGCGAGGTCAAACATGGCTGGGATTTGAAGTTAGCAAATACCAAAGCGGTTTTCTAGAGGGATCACTCACGTCCGTGTCCACCTACAAAGAAAATAGCGTCAAATTCTCCAGCTCTTCCTAGGAAACTCTCCAACTTCTCGGTCTCCTTCCACAGCTTCTCGTTTTCCTTCAGGAACTTAACGGATACGTCATCTTCTTTTGAGGCTTCGACTGAGGAGGGATCGAGGGGTGAGGCGCCGCCGGAAGGCGAGGCAATGCTGATTTGGGCGTGGGGGGAGAGAACGTGGTATGGGTGTGCGAATTCGGGCTGTGAGGAGAGCGAGGGGTTAGTGGAGGTTTTGTTTTGATAGCGGCAGGGGAAAAGGACGAACCAAGTACCATCCAGTAGGCTTTCCAGTGTTACCCATCTGGTCGTGGGAAGTGAGGACAAAAAGAACTTTAGGTTGGGACGACATGTTGACGGTTGTGTATTGTAGAATCTATATTTCTGAGTTGGATTGAATTGCTGAGTTCCGCTGTAGAAATTGTGTTGATTGCAGCCTCGATTGGTAAATATGAGTGAAGGAAGAAAAGAAGAAGTCAAGACAAGCGGTGATGTAAATATGACGAGCTAGTGCGGGGTCCACCCAAACCTGCCCCTCCAGGCTAGCCTCGGCAGCTGCGTATTTATCAATGCATGATAAAACAGCTGTTGATATTGCGGATATCGTTCTTTTGGTTTCTGTGGATCATCAATGGATCGGGTCTACGAGTCATTCCAATTCATTTCTCACTGAATTATTGAGGCAGAGTTTTGAAGTCCGAGGGGATTTTGATCGGGGATAAGAAACGGCAAAGATAACTGTTTAACTTTTCCTTCTTGAGATTTGTACCCCGCGGTGATGTCATATTCAACTCGAGACTCAAGGAATAGTTTCATAGGACACTCTGGAAGAATTGAATGGATGCGAAGAGACAGTGAAGAATTATGTATGTAGGGTAGAGGTGTGTTGATTAGGTATTTTTGGGGAAGAAGAAAGGTGTTGACTGGCCACATGTAATTGCTATCCCGGGCGGCTGGGTATTTCCCTTGCGGCACAGAAAGGCAGATGCCACATCCCGCTGTGCATCAGGACGCAGGTATAGGGGAAACTGAGTACTCACTGTATATGTAACTGTGAATCTTCACTATGAAATAGTATCGCTATCTGGTATGGTATCTCATCTCTGTTTCGAGTGTTCTCATTTTCTAACAAGGATACGACTACTTGACATGCTGCCACGCCATCTCCAGCAGTGCATCACGTCCATCTGCACTATCCCAATTAATCCTCAACTCCGCCTGCTCACTCCCTTTTCTAACTAATGCAATCAGCGCATCGCCCCTGAAATATGCCAACGTGCCATTCTTCCCGTTGCCCGCCGCCGTGATGCGATACAGCGGGCCCGCAGAATGAAGGACTTTCTTCTCGGGAAGAAACTGCAAGTCGTTCTCAATACACCAATCTTCGACTCTGTGTCTGAACGTGAGTTCCTCGACGACTGGTACGGGTGCAGCTTTGGCTGGCGTGACTGGCGCTGGTGGCGAGGTGGAAATGCGTGTTATTGACGGGGCAGGAAGGTCCGTGGCGGCTTTGGAGCCGAGGTCGAGGGCTTGATTGATCATTTTGTGTCCTTTTTCGAATTCGGATTGGATGGAGGGGAGGTTCTTGATGTCGTCCGGAAAGACGGAGTCGCGCCACCATTCGAACCATTGTCCGATTTCCTCGTTGGGACCCACGACCGTGAGCCATTGATGTAGGACATTGTGCCACATTGGGAATACGGTTTCCACGATGACTTGGCCGAGAACTCGCGGTTTGAGGATGTCTTTCCAGGCCAAGATGCCTTCCAAGGCTTTCATATACGGGGATTGGTCGTTAGGGTCGACCATGAAGTATTCTGGATTTTTCAGGAACCGCGCCATGACTGGGAGGACATGGTTCATGATCAATGGTGTCCAATGGTCATTCTTGGGATTAGGGGATAGCACAACCCGCCATTGCTCCAGTCCAGGTACGACTCCTTTTCTAAAGTCCCAATTGTCAATGAGATGGCGGAACTTCCGTTTGATATCGCTAACAAGGCCCGTTGAGCTCTTCGGATCGACATGATGTGGTGGTAAATATTGAAGCCATGGAAAGAGCCATAAGTGTGGCAGTTCATGAGCACGTCTCTTCTTCGGATTCCACGACGAGACTGCGCCGTTGAGCTTTCCAACTACTGCCTGATCAAGGATTTGTGAGCGTACAAACGAAGGCAACAGTCCATCCCAAACCTCGAACAATGTTTGTAATGGAGTAGGATCATGGACATTCCATGTTTGGTTGACTGATGAGACTATTTTTGGAAAGATGATTTTATAAATCATGCTCTCGTAAGCCGTTGTTGACTTGGAGTGTATTCGATGTGATCCGTCATTCTTCAAATAGTGCTGATTAGTGATGGATTTTCCATCATTTGTCGAAGCTCCTAGTATATGTCGTATTTTGAATAATTGTGGTGCCATGCCAGTAAGTTTTGGGTCTTCCAAAGGTTGCCATCCCTCAGCTGCTTGTCTGAGAAAGGGATGGACTGCCGCAACAGCGATATTTGACAATTCCTCATTAGCTTTCGACGACCCTGGCTCGGCTAGACTGTCTGCTTGTATCAGAGCGTCGATCACAGGGTCCCATTGGAGGTCCTTGACAGCCTGGGAAATCGATTGAACTGTGTCTGCAAAAGACTTCATTCGGTCGTATTCTCGTTGTTCCTCATCTAGCTCCTGTTGCTGCTGGACAATGGTCATCTCAACATAAGCTTTGCGTTCCTCTAAATTCTTCCATTCTTCCACATAAGCAGAGAGGTCATTCTGTGCTCTACGAGCTAACTTCTTTGACTCAGCCTGCTCAGCAGTCTCGAACACACCAGCGGTAGGCGTCAGAAGTCCAGATGTCGTAGTAAGCAATCGTTGTCCAGGAGCAGTCATATCCAGAATAGGCGCAAAAGCTTCAGGAATTTGGAGCCCAGGAGCTGCCTTTTGGACCTCTTCCAAAGTGCGGAACTTGGGTTTTGCGGCCCTTCGAGGTGTGCTCATTCCACTGCCACTTCCACTTTCCAGTCCAGATTTTGGCTTCTTTCGACGCTTCTTTCTCTCTTCATCAGAATCCTCATACTTCTCACCCTTTAACCTGGCCTGCCTCTTCTCTTCTTCAATCTCCTGTTTTGACTTTTCCTTCACAGCACCAAGACCAACACCTTGCGGCCGTAGGGTGACTTCAATTACACCACTCCGTCCCTGCCCTTCCCTTCCTAGACCTTCACCTTCTTTGTAGCCCATCTTAGCCATCATCCTAGCTGCAAACGACCCAGCATTGACTCCTGGCGCAGCCCGCCCCTTCTTCCTACCACGGCCGTTCGTCGTCGGCGTCGAGAATGCACTAGGCCTCGCTATCCTAGGCGTCGACACCTCATCTTCTGTGTTTTGCAGAATTGGCATCGCAGCAGAAGACGGCACGAAGCCTCTGCCTAGTGGTGTATTACTCTTCGCAGGAGTAAATGTCTTCTTCGCCGGCGCAGGACTCTGAAATCCCAGTCCCTTCGCAGCACCGAAGCCCAATCCTCTCGGCGCCGCGGGCTCATCTTCCTGCGCATCGTCCATATCCACATCCTCATTCTCTGCCTGTTCGTCTTCCTCATCGTCCTCATCTTCATCCTCACCCAGAGTATGCTGCCCCGTCGAAACGAACGCCATACCCTTTCCCCTCAGACTCTTCTTCTTCCAGCGCTTTCCCGGTCCATCATCCTCACTCTCAGAGCCGAAGACTCCGAGAGCAGCGCTCTCTTTCGCATCGCGACCCGTACGCCGTCGTTTTCGAGGATTGTAATCTGCGAATTCGTCGGCGTTGGGATCCGTTGAAGGGTGTAGGAAATCGTCTTCTTCTCCTGAGGACTCGGAGGAGGAGCCATGAGCGAAGGCATGCATGGATGACATGGTTGTGGTTTGGGAGTCACATTGACTACCGTCAACAAAGAACGATGTGAAGCTGCCTACTTTATCTGGACATTATTTTGGCGCCACAATTTTAGGTCCATATCACGTGCTGGTATTTCAGCCACACCTGCTGCTTGAGGCTCCAGAAGAAGTCGGGTTCTGTGTTTAGTGCAATAAATAGTTGATATGGCTTGAGGTTCGTTGCATGCTTGGATAAGCTTAGCGGATACATTGGCAAGTGTACATATACATAGTTTACAATCACGACAAGATGTCGGACAAGTCGAAAGTCAAATCGACTTTATTATTGGTCTTGAAAGCAGAAGCAAGTTCCTTCTGTACATGCTAAACATAACGTTCGTGATATATTCGTGGCTTACCATAGCCATATTCTGAATGAGCCATGTCTCAGCCAACTCCTCAACTCCTCATCAGCAAGTCACCTTTCCCATATTCATGATGCGAAAACTCGCACGTTCAAATCTACACTCCCTGTCGCAATGACACAACGTATAGTGACATTGGTAGCTGTTTCTTCCTTCTTAGATGCTCCGTTGGGTGTCCCATTCACTCCGTTAGTTGCTGGAACGTCTTTGACTAATCCGGGCGCCCAGCGAATGCAGCTGACGAAATGCCCGTGTGCCTCGTCTAACGTTTTGACTAACTTTCCTTCCTGCTCAAGATCCCAACATCGTAGAGTCTTGTCATCAGCAACACTTAACAAATATCTTCCTCCTGGATGGAATACAAGTCCGCGAACCCAATTGTCATGCCCGACGAGAGTCTTGATGAGTGTCCCTCGAGCATCCCAAATCCGTATACACTTGTCTCTTGCACCAGTCGCCACGAATTCGGCCGAGCTGCTCGAAGGAGGTGGCTTCTTCAATCCTGCTAATTTCGATAGGTTCGCATAACTTGCTGGCGGTGCAAATACACAGCATTCTATCGTGTGTTCATGACCTAGTAGTGTGGCTTTTGGCTCCCCAGATGCAGTGTCCCATATTCTTGTTGTTTGATCGTTCCCGGTCGAGAGAAGGAATCGTCCATCGAAAGAAGGCGAAACGTCTCGAACCCAGTCTGCATGGCCTCGAATCGTCTTCACACAATATCCTGTTGAAACATCCCATATTCTCAGAGTCTTGTCTCGACTAGCTGAAACAAGTAGATTGCCGGATGATGGTGACCCAGCAGCGCCGCTAGGTATGAATCGTACCGCCGAGACCGTATGGTCGTGACCCGGCAGTGTTCTTATGTTTTTGTACTCGTCGCTAGGATCCCAAAGCTTAATTGTGAGATCGCTAGAACATGATGCCAGTAATGTGCCTCCTCTTGGTCCGCCGAAATCCACATCATGCACCGCCTTCGTATGACCTTTAATTGTCCTCTCCAGCTCTCCTAGCTCCCAGTCCCATATTTTGATTGTGCTATCCTCAGATCCAGATGCAAGTGATGAAAATACCGGGTGGAAGGCAACGCAAGTTATGGGATCTCTATGCGACTGCAGTGTGTGTCTTGCTGGTGATCGTGGTAGCCATTGTGCTGGATCTTGGTTCCTTCTCGAAAGTGAAGTCGGTGTCGCAGAGTCTATTTCGGTTTGTAGACTTGCATTTCTTGACTCCAGGTCCATTATCTGTATAAGATCGGATCAGCAGTTGCCTTCAAAAAGAGAAGCAGAGCTTCCGACCTTCTTTTGTAATCGAACAACACTCGTCCACTTTTTCTCCAAAAGCCCCTCATATTTCTTACTTGTCGCGGCGTCGAAGGTGTCCCCGATACTTAGTTCTTCCCTCAACGCCGCGGCACTGCTTGAGAGGTTTTGGGAGGAAAGATATGCGATTATGGACTTGTGTCTGTTGGCTAGTTAGCAGGGCTAGCAAAATCCCAGGAAAACACTTACAGCTCCTCGGCCTGCCGCGACGTTAGGATCTGGGTCATGGTGATCGCAATTTTGATGGATGATACATGAACATCCAGACTACTGTGAATGCTTTTGTGTGCCGGGGTAATGCGCCTTGCCGCCAACGTCGACTGGTTGCGTTTCTTGTGTGGAGGGTGATGTTTATCTCAAAATTATAGCGTAACAGCGAATGCTTGACACCGCCCCGCGTGCTTCAATGTGGCTTGCCGAGCTCAGACTGGCCCGATCTTCAATCAGGCGAGTGGAGGGGTGTATGGGATCCTTTGGATCAGAGGGTCGATCTCCTGATGTTGAGTGCGAGGGTTGTGATGCATTACCATGGCGGGGAGACGACAAAGCAGAATGTATGAGATTCGCCTGGCTACCACTCTGGAGTGCAGGAATGGAATTGGTTGCGACAGGAAGCCGAGAGCAAGTCAGGGGTAGACGCGATGCGCCCGCACAGGGGTCGCCGTAGTGACGAGGAAAGAGTCGAACACCAGACGAGCGAGGCCCAGAAATCAACAACGCAACTCCACCACCGCCTCTCCATCCCCTCGCGATATCCCACACCCACGAGTACAAAGAATTATTTTCGGGCGCTGCGGCTGCACACATAATACGAGACACGCGCATTTTGATTCTTTCACCATTTCCCGCCGGTTCCCAGACATTTCGCTGCAGGAAGGAACGAAGCTACAAAGTTTGCGCCAGCTCCTCTAGGTACGCAGACATCTGCTCCTTCCTCTCCAATGTATTCGCAGTCGGTACTCGATATGTCCCTGGTGGTTGTGGCTTGGCCTTCGCCGTGGTCATGGTCATGGTCATGTCTAGCTATCTCGACGCCGTGGCCAATACAAGATGGAGAAGCACATTACCCCAACGTTGCGCAAGCTAACTCGGCGCGTCACAGGTGGAAGATTATCCAAAAGCCCTACTCCAAAAGACAGACCAACAATCAGAGTATTAGACGGAATGGCGGACGTAGAAGAAGATTTCAGTTCTTTGCCCTTGCCCGACAGATTCCAGCACAAGGTACGATCACCCCATACCCCGCAGAGATACAAAAGGGACTAACATACCCGCCCACTAGATATGGAAAGTTAGGAAAGCAGCTTACGAAGATGCTTCGAAGCAATTCGAAATCACCCCGGACGAGCACGATCCAGCGTTTCGCCCATTTCTACAAGATCCCGGGCTGTGGAAGGGAGCCGTGGCAGACTCGAACGTCGCAGCACAGCAAGACGGTATAGCAGCATTATGCGCGTTTCTGAAATTTGGTGGGCGTGAAGGTTGCACAAGGTATGTTGCCCCATACATGGTCAGTAAGAGATGCATTCTGACGCTCCTCTAGAACTAGAAGTCATACATTATCGCCGTTGGTGGAGAAAGGCTTGTCATCTACAAGAGCGGCAACAAAAGCATCCGCACTGGAGGCAATTTTACTGTACATCGAATTGGATACACCCGGACCTGTTGTTGAGGATCTGCTGCCAGCTCTTTCTCATAAACAGCCAAAGATTATTGCGGCAACTTTAGCTGCGTTGACAGCTATTTTCCATAACTATGGCTGCAAGACAGTTGATCCCAAACCAGTTCTCAAGATCCTACCAAAGGCATTCGGCCACGCAGACAAAAATGTTCGAGCAGAGGCAACCAACTTGGCTGTGGAATTTTATAGGTGGCTTAGAGAAGCCATGAAGCCTATGTTCTGGGGAGAATTGAAGCCTACACAACAAACGGATATGGAGGCGTCCTTCGAGAAGATCAAATCGGAACCAGCACCAAAGCAGGAGCGATTCCTGCGATCACAGCAAGCTGCGATGTCCCGGGCCCCTCCTCCAGGTGCAGCAGCAGAAGAGGAAGACGATTTAGAAGAAGAGCCTGTGGAGATTGATGCATTTGACCTGGCTGAGCCTCAAGACGTTCTATCCAAAGTTGCCGCTGATTTCTCAGATCAGCTAGCTTCGACCAAATGGAAGGAGCGAAAAGATGCACTGGAAGCCCTGTTTACAGTATTAAATGTGCCTAGGATTAAGGATGGAGATTTTGGAGAGGTAGTGCGAGGACTCGCCAAGTCTATGAAAGATGCAAATATCGCGGTCGTCACCCAAGCAGCACAATGTACCGAAGTTCTGGCCAAAGGGTTGAGGAAACCATTTGGAAAGTATCGTTCCATAATCATGGGTCCAATCATGGAGAGGATGAAAGAGAAGAAAGCTACAGTTCAGGATGCACTTGGGGCTGCAGTCGACCAGGTCTTCCTAGCAACTAGCTTGACAGACTGTCTTGAGGAAACTCTTGGATTCTTGGCTCACAAGAACCCTCAGGTCAAGGAAGGAACCATGAAATTTCTTGTCAGAGCCCTGAGGACTACACGCGAGGCACCTTCAAAGCCTGAGGTAGCTTCGATGGTAGAATCTGCAAAGAAACTTCTCTCGGAATCTCAAGAAGTTCTTCGATCGGGTGGAGCTGAAATACTTGGAACAATAATGAAGATCATGGGTGAGCGAGCCATGGGACCACATCTAGAGGGACTTGACGATATTCGGAAGGTCAAGATCAAGGAATTTTATGATACAGCCGAAGTCAAGGCAAAAGATAAGCCGAAACCTCCACCACAGGCAGCTCCTAGAGCAGCTCCTGCAGCTGCTGCACCTCGAAAGATTGTTGGTAAAAAGCCGGTGGCTAAGAAGCCTGCACCACCACCAAGCCAGTATGCACAAGAAGCTCCTCTAGCGCCTCAGCCAACAGCAAGAAGTATCCTGGGTTCGAAACTTGGGGGACCCCCGAAATCTGGTCTCGCTACTCCTGGCGGAGGACTCAAGGCGCCTATGAAAAGAACACTAGCTGGGCCTGGTGGAGCACCAGCTCCCAATCTTGCATCGCCTAGACGTCCGCTTTCTCAAGCACCTCCTCCCCTGGAAGAAGATGCACCACCTCCACCCAGGATCGGTCTGGGACGAGGTCTGGCTGGTCGTTCTCTGGCGGCCAAGGCACCGGCTCTCAATGCTGCACTCCCGCCAACCTCTCCCCCACCGAATGCTGGCATGACTGCTGTTGAACGAGCCGAACTTGAAGAACTCCGACTTGACAAAGATCGGCTACTGCGCCAGTGTGACGATCTGCGTCAAGAGAAATCAAGGCTAAATTCCGAGGTTCAGGAACTGAAGAATCAAAATGCTCAGCTCATAGAGGATCACACACGAGATGTGCTTTCCATTAAAGCTAAAGAAACTCAGCTCGTCAGAGCTAGATCAGATTGTGAAGCCGCTGAGGCTATGTGTGGACAACTGAGAAGAGAAATGGAAAGACTTAAGCGAGCGCTTACTAGTGCGGAGCGAGTCAATAGCCCACCCGCAATCTCAAGTCCAACAGGGAGTTCCGATGAAGCTGGAATTTACCGTGATACGGGTATGTACGGTGGTCAAGACAATGGTCGCCCTGCTTACAACTCCCGTACCCGCATGTCGTTCAACTCTGCCTTGAGTGAGGAGAAGGAGAACACTGGCGATGCCTTTGCTCCTCAATATGGTCGCAGCAAGCTGAGTCCTGATCTAGGACGGAATGGACGAACGAGTGCTGCAAGCGGAAGCGGTGGCCGAAACAGTCCTGCTCCTGCGTCGTATCAGAGTACGCGCATGAGCAGAGATGCTAGTGCAGATGGTGCCAGAGGCGATGGTAATGGCGTGGAGAGTTGGAAGAGAGCAGCGGAAGTGACCAGTGCCCTCAAAGCGAAGATTGAGCAGATGAAGGCATTTCTTCCCTGTGACACCCCCTTGAACTCGACTAACTCCAATAACAGGCAAGACAAGGTCTCTCAAGACCGTAAAAGATACCCTGTATATTTGACGATAAACGAACGGTTTCTGGGTACTTGCGAATGAGCATTCTTCGGCGAAAGGAGCATGGCATGGCAAGGCATGGAATTTGGTGTTCTGCTGCTTTGCTCTCGTGATTGAGCCTGAATTATCTTGGGATTTGTTGTCTTCTTTGAGGAACTCAATCCACCTCGCGCTTCCATTGCATGTTAATGGAATTAGGGCATGGGTTGAAGGGAATGAACGGGCAGGATCGGATAACCACTTAAGTATGATTGATGTGTGACGGTTTTACGTAGTGTTTTCCACTCTGCATTGCGCAGTCAGGTGGGCGGTTTTGTCACTTGTGTTGTGTTGTGTATAGATGTGAGCCATGCTCTACCTACTAACCTACATATCCTTCTAATAATACACATTCTCCACACTCTTGACCTATGTCACTGTACTTGTACTGTTCTATTGCTCTCTGACTATTGACCTCTTCCACCTCTTCCACCTCTTCGACTTCTGCTGTAATGCTGCCCAACTCCTCACACTCCTTCTTTCCATCTAGCACTCCAGGTCTGCCAGGCCGCCAGTCCGCCACAAGGCGTTCTGTCGTGCAACTCCCGGGTGGCTTCTCGTTTGTTCTGCTGGTAGTGTGCGGACCGGATGGCTCTTCCGATGTATGCGCGCGGTACTGTACTGTAAGTTACATACGACTCACGTACGTCCGTGCCTGCATCGCATCGCATTGCATCGCATCGCACTGCATGGCGTTGCATTTGCATCGCGATGCATGCGCGATAGCGTCGTATGGAGAGGGGGAAGATGCATGGGGTAGATTTAGGTGGGTGGAGCTGCTGATGGTGATGGTGGTGGTGGTGGTTGGCAGTGCAGTCGGTATGCAGCATGAATGAAGTCTCGGGTAGTGAAGCATATCCAGGATGCATTTTGACCTATCAGATGGATAAGCACATGTCCATCGAGGTTAGTGTTTTGGTGGTGTGGTTATTTACTAGTCCTTGGGCTTGGGCTTGGGCTTGGTTAGTTAATAATATGTATCACATATCTTAGAGAGAATCTCGCCGTTGAGAATTATGATGGCTTGGGGTAGATTGGATAGCACTGGGGTTTGTGAGGGGAGGAAGGAGAAGGCGATGAATGGGATGGGATGGGATGGGATGGGAAGCGAAGTGATGAGGGACAGGACTTGATCAATACTAGAATATCTGATTTTGTGTTCACGTCATGACTTTTCTCAGTTCTAAGGTTTTGGTTAGTGGAAATTGAAATGGCGGATGGAGGGATCTTTATGTTCCTGTTTCCTGAGAAAGAACTTGAGGGCCAATACTGTTGGAGAGAGATGGAGACGGAGATAGAGGCAGCGCAGTTGTGTCTGGGTTTGGTTACGGTCCTGCCAAAATAGGCATAAGCTGCGAGCTCTGGCTATTGGACGAAGGCCTCTTCTCGTTGTGTGATAGTACTTAGTGGGTCAGTATCTTTTGAACTTATCTCCAGCTCCTTAATGAGGAGAAAGGGCAAGTGTATGGGATAAATGCTCGTTCGGAATCGGAATCCAGATCTAGCTAAGTGTACAGGTTGGTTGCCCTTTTGACACCTACGCGAGCTTGAATGAACCCACGAAGGACACCTCGAGCCTTGGTATGGTCAAGGTATCTGGTAGTTGAACCAAATCTTCACTCTTGATACGATATACGCTCGGTCCAATACCAACCCCTGAAAAGAATACACCATGAATACACCACATACCAGGATTCCACATTTCACAAGTCGCCTTTTCTGACGTTGACGCTGGCTTGCGGCACGGTCTCTATCTATCTGTCAGTCTGTCTGTCAACACGGGACGGCTCGCGATGAGGGGTGTGGTGGCTGCTGGGGGACTTAGTGCTGATTGTGGGGATGGGGTTTCGAAATATAGATTGGGTGTGGTGGGATTGCAGGTGGAGGAGGCTAGGTTTGACTGGATGAGGAGTACGATAGTGTTCACCGGTTGGGGGTTTGAAGGGTTGCTGGTTGTTTGGTAACAGGATTAGAGATATGATGGTTGAGATTGTGGGATATATCTTATCTTGACAGGAAAACTAATTTCGTCACACAGTTTACTCTTTTGGATGGGGATGCCATTGTGGAGAATAGATAGAGCTTTTAATAAAGAGGGGTTGCAATATGAGACAGTTCAGATTCTGTACAGTATGTTTTGTTTTGGTGGTGGACTTTTCCTGGATTGGGTACTGTTCACGAATGACTGATCATATCTCATCTCGGCTTGCTGTCTCGGAGTGGCTGCTGTACATACTGACGTTGTGTAATGTATGCATCATTCATGTTTGGTTTTCCCCCAGATCCCAGCGGCTCGGGAAGGTTTCGGTAGCATCGGATGTATGCCTTGCAGTGCTAGCTTGCTGCCAGCAGGAGATGCCTCCGTAAACTATGCTGTGTTACTGTGGCTTTTCAGGTTAGTCCAGCGAAGAGAACTCTTTTTTGATTAACTTCAAGGTATCGTATCCGATCCCAGGTAATTCTTCCTAGGCTTGGTCCAGGATTTGGATCGATTGGAACCGGAGAACATCTTGATCACCTGTTGCTAGTTCTGGATTGATGTTGCAAATCCTTGCTTGCACTTTGGCCAGACGATGATGCTCGAATTTTGATATCTTTTCGATCAAAGCGGAACGAGCTCCTCCTTGACTACGAAGGGGATGTAGCACAAGAACGTCCGGGGAAGGCGTCTCGCCTCCAACCCATCCATCCCAACACCAAACGATCCCACCGTCTGTCCACCCCATCGAACAGCATGCATGCCATGTATGAAGCCACGCTGTGTGACCTCGATGTAATGCCTTCAAGAAGTAAATGATCATCTCAAGCCACAGCGCGCCTCTTGCTCTGATAGACAAAGAAAATCAGGATCTCTTCGGAATGCAGTACACATGTCTCGGGGATTACTTCATGCAAAGCAGCATATCTACGAAGGTATGCAAATTTGGTCATATTTTACGGGTACGTCGAGGCATGTCCTGCGTTTGTGGAGTTTGGGAGAACGCATGCTCGTGACGAGGGCATAACTCCTCCACGCGATGGTCATTTGGTAATCGGATCGATGTTCTGACATTGATATTGAACATCCCATTCATTACCCCCCACTGCGCAAAGATTGGGGGTCAATCAGAATCGGATTGGCTGAGTATCATGAGGTGGTATCGTTCCACATGTCAGCACTCCAGATAGGTAGGACTGAACCCCCACAGTGACTGCCGGATCCCGAAGCCCTGGGTACATTGATCAGCTGGTCTTTGACGACCCAGGAATCGTCTCAAAGATACGGTAAACAAGGTCAAATGGGTAGGTATGCAGAAGATCTTTCCTGTTAAGTTGACACGAGGGTAGATCTCCCAGGACAGGAATCAAGACGAGCGACACGAGCCGACTCAAAATCTGGGACGAAGCTCACAAGGCGTGTCAAACAGAGGTACCGGGGACTCCAATGCATGTATGTGAGACATTGCAGTGGTTGGGTACTGGAGAGCTGCATGCTGCGAAGCTACTGCGCTCGTCTAATAGTGCCATATCAAAATTCCATACCCATTGGCGTCCTGGATTTGGGAGAGCCAATACCTGAAGCAGGACAAAAGAGCCAGCATATTCATTGGACAGCAATTGCACGACGAAAGCAATGAATGAATGAGGGGCAACGGAGAGCTGGGACTCGTTCGATGTCCTACTCTTCACTTCATCATGAGGTCAGATTCCTGCTCGTTGGTTGGAACACATCTATGTCAGTCTAGGAAGATGTCGGGCCTTTATCATCAGTGAAACCCCATATGGTATGATACTGGGATTCATCCCACTTCTTGCGGTATTTCCTTCTAATGGCCGGATAACATATGACCCCACTTGTTCAAGACCACAGGAGACGGGATTCTGGAGACGAGAGGAATTGATAGGGCTCACTGGCCATGTTCCAAACTTCTGATGCAACAGGATAGCGAAACCTGTGTATCTCTGTAGCTTTGTGTATGGCATGGTTATCGCCAGCCCACAGATCACATCAATCACCGCTCACCATTTTCTCGAAGACCGGAAAATGGGTACGGGCCAAGCACTCCCAAATTGTAAGCGGCGTGAAGACTCCCGGTCCAAGAGGAGAATGAGCAAGTGTGGTATTACAATGGAAACAGGAAAGCAGAATCGGACAAATTACAGACAAGCTCTAGCAAGACGTAGATTCGCAGCTTCCCATTGAGGTGTGACATCACGGCAGATATGGGGCGTATTCCAGGATACAAATACCCTGGCGTGAACTGGCCAAGGATATGCTGATCGTGGTACATGGATCAAACAAACGACGGATTCCTGAAAATGCGGTGAACGATGAACGAGCAGCCAAGAAAGATGCATGTCTCTTTGGAACTGAGGTAGCTCAAGCAGACATTAAACCATAATACCTGCGACATGAGAGAGACTCTCGGAGAGAATTCATGTATGTAGCAATAACTTAACTTTCTTCCGACATCCCATCAACCTTGGTACGGGCTTTCTTTCTAGACGCGGCATCATCAGAACAAGCAAATGCGTAATACCCTTAATCTCGCCTGAGAAGCTGAGGAAGTTCTTCTAGATGCAGATCAAACTGCCGATCATAGTTTAGACCCCCATCCAAGCGAATATACATAGTGGAAACTCAAACATAACGCAATTCTATGCATATATTCCACAACAGGAATTTAGCCCTTCGTCATTGAGATGCTGACACCCGGATGGGTGATTGTATAGAGTAGATGTAATGAATGCGTATGAGGAGCATGATGCGCGATGGATGCTATCCATTGAGGAAGGAGACAGGTAGGTACCAGACAAGGTGTCGCCGAGGTTATCCGCAGCCCCTCTTTAGACGACAGGGTATGTAAATAAAGCAAACCACTCCTCTAAGAGGTTCAACCGACTGAAGCAAATCAACAGCCCAGCACGTACCGAGCTTCTGATCTGAAAGTTCTGAGTAACAGAAACTCCTTTATCCGTCTCCCGGCGCAACCCCCACAAGAAAGCAGAAGCAGAAGCTGTACGCTGCGTATCCACCGCACCGTATCATACCCAGACCGATCGCCTCTCATGAGTGGTGGGCGAACGAGCGAGCTCCATCATTTCTATCAGATATACCTACCTACGCCAGCTAACCACCAGCCCACCCTACCTCAACATAAGTCGGGGTCGGGATCGGGTGAGGTCCTCGCTTGTCAGTCAGTCAGTCAGTCAGTCAATACGTCCATAGCAGAGAATATCGTCCATCTATCCATCCATCCATCCATCCATCCACTCATCCATTCATCTCTCCATGAACCTGCCTGCCTATCTACAAGCAAGGCAAGGCAAGTAAGCAAGCCAGCACGTTGTCCATCATCCACCCGGCCAAAAACCACCAGACCAGAATCCGCAGAGCTACCTATCCACACGCACACAGCCTTATCACAGGGTGGGCAGGACATGACATGACAGGCATGATGCAAATTCCAAGAACCGAGCTTTTTCTTGCAGAGTCGGTCGGCACTACTGGACTACTCGTACTGGGCAGACTCATTATTCGCTCAGATATGAATTCCGACCTGTCACATTTCACAAATCCATTATCCCCCCAATCTCACAAATCTCAAATCTCACAATCTCACACTCTCAACAAGGGGTATGCTATGGGTGCTGTAAGCGAGTCGAGTCGAGTCGAGTCGAGTCGAGTCGAGTCGAGTCGAGCTTGTCTGGTCTGCTCTGCCTTCAAGCCCCGGTTCCGCGCCGTGAGAGGGAGAGAGAGATTTTCTTTTTTCTTTCTCCAACGCTCCCGATTATTGATGATTTGAAGTTGCGCGACAGAAATAAACCCTGGTAGCTTCCCGTGGAATATCACACACGCGCACAAACGCACGAGGGGAGATAACTCGTGTGTGAGAGTTTATCGTCGGGGATTTTTTCTTTTCAAGAGACTCTCTTGTATGAGTTGGGCCCTGGTCACATATATGGCATCCTTGATCTCTGTGGCGCCTGCGACTGGTGAATGAATGAATGAATGAATGAATGGATTGGTAGGGAGAGTGCAACTGCGACTGCGACTGCGACTGCAACTTGAACTTATTATTTTCTAACTTGGTAATCACCTTTCTCTCTCCTCTCCCCTCCATCCATCCACTTGACTCGCTCGCTCGCTAAACTTAAGCCTAAGCCTAGGGAGCGAGCAAGATGGGAATCTTCGCAACGCCATGGTTGAATAGGCTTAGGCTTAGGCTTAGGCTTAGTACGTAGGAAGGAGGATGTGACCATATTCCGGTAGGATACGATACCTAGATCATTCCCATTCCCATTCCCATTCCCCATGCCTATGCCCTATGCCTTTGCCTAAGCCTGAGAATGGAAACCATCGCGACAGCCACGACACGACGTCGGTCAATAATAGTCGATCGGTAGTTTATAGGAAGAGAGAGAAAAAAAATATATATATATACTTTTCCCGGATTCCCAAGACCCGATCTCCGCAATTGGGTAGATGCGTAAGATAAGGTGGTAGGTAGTATCTGACATGGCAGTCTCGAATATAGTACAGTTACAGTTACAGTTACAGTTACAGTGCAGTGCTGCAACTGCAACTGCAACTACAATTGCAACTGCAACAGTACTGCTGTATGTATGTATGTATGTCATCCGGAAGACCACCCAGCCACCCACCCAGCCAGGTTCGTGCCCACAGAGCAGGGCGTTTTTTTTTTCTTGTTGCCTGCCTGCCTGCCTGCCCCTCCAGGGCTCTCTCTCCAACAACAACAACCCCCCCCAGAAAAAAATCCCGACGGTTTGGTTATTGGGCGGAGTCGTGTAACCCTCGTTTGCGTTGCGTCGATGCGTTCAGTTCAGGTTCAGGTTTTGGTATAGGTGTAGGTAGGTGACTACCTACTGACGGCCGATTTCCACTCCATAGTTCCATAGTAAAAAGGAAAAATTGGGGCCAGGGCCAAGGCCAACGGGAATGCTGCGCTCTCTTTCGCGGCTATGGCGGTCTCGGGCTTGGTTTGGCTCCTTTGTATTTTTTGCTTTTTTTTTAATGTTGCGAATTGCGAATTGCGAATTGCGGATCGCGAATTGTTGGTGTTCTTGAGGCGCAACGTTTTGAATGGCATGGCATGGCATGGTATGGTATTGGCATACCTAGCATGGGTGGTCCATCGGCAGCTCTTCGCGCGAGCAAGGCTCTGAGATCCGTACGTGCATGCATGCCCTTTCCTGCAAGGAGGTGAGGTGGAATTTCAATATGCAGGATTCCAAGATTCCAAGCAGGAGCAGGAGGCAGGAGCAGGAGGCAGGAGCAGGAGGCAGGAGCAGGAGGCAAGGCAAGCACATACATGTTCTCAATACCGACCGTCGTAATATGGCCAATACGTGCGTGTTACTTGTACTGTCTGTACCTCAACGATTCTGTTCCTGTTCCTGTTCCTGTTCCTGTTCCGTTCCTTGATTTTCCCGTCTGCAGCCGCCCGATATTATGATAATAACAGATCCGACTTCTTGGGACGGACTTGTGTGACCGTGACCGTGACCGTGACCCTTCTCGTTGCACTCGGCTTCTTGCAGCGCAGCAGCGCAGCAGCCAGATTGAAATGAATCTTGGATTTTCCCAAGATCGCCCCCCATCCCCACTGCACGGATATGCACCTCGCCCATGGCATGGACTGGACCCTGGCCTAGCTGTAATAATACCTTGAGAAAAGAAGAATAATGGACACCGTTCTGTTCTGTTCTCTCCAGGGGGTGAAGAGGACCACGTGTGGCTGACTGTCTAGGTAGGTAGGCGCACCCAGTCGGTATGGTATGGTATGGTATGGTATGGTATGGTCTTCCATTATTGAAGCAGATCGAGGGGGTGGGGACGAGCATTCGGAAGAGAAACCTGGTCGGTATTACACTGTACTGCCACACAGCCCATGGTGATAGGATGGGGGAACAAATAAACATTGGCAAAGAAACACGCACAACGCAACGGGTGTGATAATACACTGGATTTCATGAACCTACGATCCGATCCGATGATGAACCCTTTCCTTTCTGCGCCGTGGATCGAAGACACCCGACCTCAACACCAGAAAAAAAAAAGGGAAGGAGTACCCCACGCACCACGCATCGAGCACCACAGCCCCCATGCCAGTAAGCAAGCAAGCAAAGCAAGCACCGAAATATTTCCCTGAACACCCCCACTCCCAAAGCCCATAAAACAGAAACTCCTCAACACTCGTGACGCCGTTTGCCCTGTGGCTGGTGCTCCTGTGCTCGTAACCAGTACACACCCTTCGTTTCATTTCATTTTCCCCGCTGCTCCACTCCTTCGCTCTTCAATCGACTGTCATGACTCCTACAACGTGGCCGGTCCTTTCCACCCTGCTATGTCTGGATGCGTGTGTTCTTAGTCTGGTACTTCATCCATGGTTGCATAGCTGGTTCTCGACAGTCACCTAATGAAAGCACGCAAGGAGTTAGTGATATGAGATGATATGATATGGGATGGGATGGGTAAAAACAAAAGAATAACCCAAAACAAAACAAAAAAGTATAAAGTATAAAGTATGAAGTTTTTTGTTGAGTGTGCGAGGAAAGACATGTAGGTAGGGTAACGAACCACAGCGTTCATCTAACCTGTAAGATGTATATTTTCGTCAGCAGTGCCCACCCATCTTGTATGTAGACATGACCAGTCACTGGGGGGGTTTTTTGGGGGGTTTTATTGTGATAACTCACCTCCATTGAACGGCTACCACGGTCGGTGGACACCGCCTATGTGTCGTCTCGTAATTGGTACACCATGCTCTGACTGTGTACCGACGATGACCGCACTCGTATTCGACTTGTGTGTAATTGCACATGATGACCCTTTTTTTTCTTGTATGTGTTCTGAAGGAGAGACGAAATGTCGGGGTGAGAGGTGGGAGGGTCGAAAGCGAAGCGGGGCGGGCCGTGGGATACTTTCTCTTCCTGAGAGGAAGGCTGACCGAAGAAGCCTCGACACAGTGACTGTACTGAATGGGACGGTAAAGATGAATATGGAGTGTTGTTTTGTTGATGTAGAGTATAAAGTACGGAAGAAGACCTGAAGATTTTTGCTGTTCTAGTAAACAGTTGTATTGAATGCTGAGCTCTCCAGGGTTCGAGGGTGGTAGACGAGGAGGAGGAGGAGGGAGTAGAGATAAAGATGTTGACGATGTGGGGTTGGGATGGGAAAGGGTGCGGACTGCATGCATATAAGCAAATGGGTAGGAAAGTCTAGAAGCCTTCGAGGATGGGAGCACTACATAATGTACAAGCCATGTACCCTTCGATCTAGGTAGGGGACGACCCAGTAACTTCGGTCCACTCGGCGTGAAGAGGAGGACCAGGAGGGAGGAGGGAGGAGGGAGGAGGAAGGAGGGAGGAGGGAGCAGAGAGAAGGACGTTGTCTCTCCGGGGTAGGACGAGAGGTGTAATTAATCCCTTTAGCATGGACAGTTTAACAGGGGGAGGGGGGGAGGGGCGAGAGGCCTGACTTTTTCAGCGGTGGTCGAGCAGAGCAGAGCAGAGCAGAGCAGAGCAGAGCAGAGCAGAGCAGAGAGAAGGACGTTGTCTCTCCGGGGTAGGACGAGAGGTGTAATTAATCCCTTTAGCATGGACAGTTTAACAGGGGGAGGGGGGGAGGGGCGAGAGGCCTGACTTTTTCAGCGGTGGTCGAGCAGAGCAGAGCAGAGCAGAGCAGAGCAGAGCAGAGCAGAGCAGAGCAGAGCAGAGCAGAGCAGAGCAGAGCAGAGCAGAGCAGAGCAGAGCAGAGCAGAGCAGAGCAGAGCAGAGCAGGATGATGCCCGACTAGGACTGGGGGTAAACCCTAGCTTGCTCCAGCTGCGGCCCCTGGGAGCTGGGAGCGAGCAAGAGACAGGGCAGGCAGGCAGGCAGCAGACAGCCACTACTGGCCCACTGCTTGGTGGCTTCACTGGCTGCAAGAGAACTTCGCACGTGGAAGCCAGCCCTAGACCTGCGGGTGTGAGCATGGGCAGGGCAGGGCAGGGCAGGGCAGGGCAGCGCAGGGTAGCTCGCAAGCTAATAATGCTCTTCTCGTCTCGTCCCTCCATCCCTCACTTGATAAAAGGTAAGGTACCTAATTTACGCAGAGGCTGTCTGAGCATACCTGAGGGAGGGCCGACCAACAGAGTATGAGCAGGAGCTACGTCACTCCAGAGTCTGACCCCAAATCCATTATTCTATTATTGCAATAATCACTGCGAAGAGATGTCTCGGTATTTGAAAGGACTATTCAATTATGTACAGTACTCCACTGCGTGCTTGTTTCGTTTCTTTTTCTGTCTCCTACTGCACCCTAACAACTGCTAAAATGGGCTGCCAGGTGCGGAAGTGGGGATATGCTACGAGGGATTGACACTCGACACGCGAGACACTGTACAGGCCCCTAAATGTGGTTGACCTGCCCTGAAAGCCCTGCGAACCCTCGACCCGCGGGTGCGTGGCCCCCCCCCCAACCCAGCCAGCAAGATACACTCTGGCACTAACGCAGAGATCTCCACTAGACGAACCCTTTAGGCAAAGCTGACGGCCCAATAAACATACGATTCCACCTAAATCACACCAGACTCAAACTCTGAATTTGGTGAGCGACGAACCAAAGCGTCTTTCCATACCACAACATTTCTTTGCCAGTGCTGAAAGTCTGTAGCAGCTCATTTAGTACTTGCACAGGCACATGCGCTTTGAACAATGGTTGAGGGAAGAACAGCCTCGACCGACCGGCCGACCGACCGTTGAGTTTATCCCCGAGCGAAAGCCAGCCGTGGCGTGGCTTCCAGGCATGATGACGATCATGGTGCTTTTCAGTGCTGAAACCCAGTTAAAAACTCATATCTCTCAAATTTAGCAAATTGCAATACTTTATTCCCGAGACAAGGTCTGATCGGCGAAATAAAAGTTGAGGGTTACGGGCCGAGGACGGCACTTGGGAACTCTATCATCTGTATGTTGATGACTGACCATTATTATTGCCCTCGAGCGTGCTGGTCGCTTCCAGACTTGAAGAATGCCGCTCCAAGAGTTCGAGATATTGGTAGCCCCGTGGCCCTCCCCAGCCAGAATGGATAATCGGAACGGAGGCCGAAAAGAGGCATTACAAGCAAAGTAAAGACTGTAAGCGAGGTGAAGTCGGGATCTCGATCTCCCCTCGCATCCCGACATGTTATGGAACCGATAGCAAATTTGTGACCGATTTATATGATCGTAGCATGCACAATGCTGCTGCGGCGGGACCCCTGGAACCGAGCTGCAAGATGTATCAGACGCATGTTACTTGCTGGGGCTTTGAAGGCGCAGATGGGGGTGACGACGAATGTCGAATGTGGAGAGATGCGCTGGAGGATTACCGTATTATCGGTTTTATAGCCCAGGACATGGCCGAGTGGTACCGGTACCTGTAACCCAATTCCTCGACCGTAGAGTAGTGGATAGCTAAGGACTTCATCGTCATGCCTGGGCCTGAATAATCAAAATTAACCTGTTTGACTTGCAGGTATCAATTACGCTTCTCTGTGCTGTGATTCGCGGCCATCTTGAGCACTTACAAATACCTGTCCTGCCGAGGCTGGGTTGCAATGATGCCGGATTCCACTGTCCGTGGGTGACAATCAATGCGTCTTCTGGAAGGTCGGTGGAAGCATTTCAGAGACATTCTCATTCAGGGTTAACATCGGCTACCCCTACCCTGAAGATTAATGGGCCTGGCAGAAACATGTTTTGATAGAGTCCTTTGGCTGAATTGGTGGCCTGTTCTTGTTCAGCTTTTGCCGTAGCTCGTTAGAACCATTGGAACTTGTCACCTTATGAGTCGTAGCCCACGGCTATTCTGCCTATTCAACAATTCAGAAGCGTCCGCTAATTGAAGCTGAGAAGCGCCTATGACGCCCCTTTGTGTCTAGAGGGGGAATTCTGCAGCGTTTGTGGCAGCTGCCCAGACGGTTGGGTAAATCTCCTAGCCACAGAAGTCCGAGAACTAGTGCAAAAAGCATGCGGAAGCCGTTTTAGTTTCCCCAGAAACTCTATTGTCAGCCTGTACCATCATTGGCTTGGAAATAGGGGTCTGGACAATTGCGTTTTCAATTCTGATTTGGTGCAAAAAGCCATCATTCGCCTCTTTCGACTTGTGTTGCTCCCACAGGCACAGTTGAATCAATGTTTGAAGCCCCGTGCGAGAACTCGGACATCGAATTCGTCATGGAATCTGTATATCAAGCCCTGTAATGAAAAAATGGCGTGATACTCAAAGTCCATCGCCGATGAGATTTTCAAAACGGATGGCGACGCGCATGGTCAGAACCCTTTCCTTCGTATGGCCGTCAGAGTCCCTCTGCAGCTCCACCATTTCACATTAGCGTATCCGTGACCACGGTGGTGGGAAGCTCACCGCATGGCTCTAGTGGCATTATCCCTGAAGGGCTTCCCTTGGCGACACAATATGAAGGTCAATCCGACTATTCCGAGTCTCCAGCTTCCTGAATTGGATATTGCGCCGATGTCTTCGTCGAAGCTGTGAATAATGGCCCTTCACTGAGAGTTTCAGCCTTTACTGCCGAGACTTTGCTGAGCTGTGATGACGAGAAAGGAGCTGAAGAGGATGCGGATCGGGCCATGGCTGTTAATGGCTTCACGAACCGCTGTGAAAGGTTCAGCCATACAATGTCACGGAAGTACGGAAGGACATGGCTCGAGTAGGGTATTGCGTTTGACGGCACTACTTGAAGGAATTGGCAAACCCCTGAAGTGAACCACAAGAATGATGAACTGACCATGGAACAGATCTCCAGGGATTGGTATCACCACCGCTTTTAGAACTAGATTAGTTTTTGTCGAGTGATCTTCAATCGCTATCACAATATCCATTGATCTTGCTGCGGCTTTTATGGCGAAAATATCGTCATGAGGTTGAAGCTCCGGTTGGTTGCTATTAATTTTGCGAATTTTCAGGAGGGGAGCCGGAGGTCTGTCCGTTTGCGAGGCTCCTCATGATCGAAGTATGGATCATAGACCAAATAGTTCCTTGAAACGATTTGGACATTTGGACAGGAACTGAAGATCGCTCCTGCCATCTTGTTATGAAACCAATTGGAATGCCAGCCCGCCGTTTTGACAGAGCCCCTGCTTGATTTGATAATAAGTGAACCTCGATTACGCAACATAGGCCATTGAGGAGATAAACATAGAGTGGGATCCCTTCACCCCCAGAAGGGTAACCTGGACGTCGAAACGGGAGAAACAGCACCAATTATACTAGCAGAGCACAGAAGATCAATTCACTTCCAACCCTCCCAACCAAAGTCTGTTCATCCAATGCCAATCTCAACTCCGATTCTGTTGATGCGATCATGCAGAAACGTCCAGAGTGACTGTGAGCGTGGCTTGATGGCACAGTACGGGGGGTAGGCAAGCAAGGTTAAATTTGTCACCAGCGTGGGGGCTTGTAGAACTATGTTGCAGAAGTTTCAAAACTCTCCTTCATAAACTCAAATTTCTTCAGCATCAGGAGATCGGCAGGCAGGCAGGGGGGCCCACAAAGGGTCGGAACGGTCCAGGCAAAAGGGGGGCCATGCAACGTCTTGTTCCTGTTCCCTCTCTTCGAAGTCAAAAGTGCACGTTATTCAATAATATCTCATATGGAGTTGGTAAGGATGTGCAAAGGCAATCAATCAATAAGAAGCGACCTGGAGCCTTGTGTCAAGTACCGTAAACCCTGACCCTACCGACCACGCGCGTCAACGAAGCTTCACGACAAAGGATAAGGCTAAAAAAGCTGGGGTAGCAGCCAGCATAAAAGGCAAAACAACACTTCTCCCCTCTTACCATGACCGACGGAGGCGCGACCGAAAAGGCAAACACACACTGACCAGCCCGCTCACATCTGAGCACAAAAATGACATTCCGAAACCCTCGATCCCACAAGCCATCCGCCCAGGCCACGAGAAGGCCGACCTCAAGATTTCTCTTATGAAATGGAATCCCACCAAGATAAAGATGGTTACAAAGCCGACAATCCATGCGAACGAGCGAACCGGACAATTCCCACTCACAGACGACGAGCACGCTCCCCTGCACATGTCTCGAACCTTCCTGTCGGACATTAACCATAAGCACCCCAGCCGCCAACCAAATGCAAAAGATGGAAGTCAACAAGGTAAATAGAGTTTACACACTCGGACTTCGCGCCCAAAGATCTCCGCTACAAGCATCGCTTTTGGAACGTGCTCACGGTTCAGAAGCTGGCCAAAGCAAAATATACTTTCTGCTACGCAATGCTAATAAACCTTCCCGTGGATTCCCCTAATCAGCAACATATCCACGACCGGGGCGGCTGTAGGTTGCAATCCGAGAAGCATGGCATGAGTGCGAGGTTGCACTCGGAAACATTGCCTATTCATTCTGGTAGGCTTGAAATTGGAATATACAAGGTACTTCGACCATTTGCGCACCAGACGACCTGTGTATAAGTCAATGAGCTACGCGTCTGTGTTTTATTGCTATTTGCAAGTCATGCGAGTCGTGCTTTTCAAGCCCAATGATACCCAAAGAACCAAGCCGAAAACCGTCCGCAGGGTGATCTATGTCAACATATGGTTTGATGTCGAAAAGGGACAAGACGGAAGATTCCATGGTTTTGTGACCCTGGCCTTGTCAAGCTTTCAATCCGAAGTCAATAGAGCTGACAAGTCTTGATTGAAACCTCGGTCAGAACATTTTGGGGGATTTCCGCGGGATGCGATGCCTTCCTCCACCCGCTTTCCTCTTCAACTTGATCTGTTAAACTCCTTGTCAGCCAAATCTCTGTTTCGTCGGACGAACGAAATGTACCTCCTCAACTACGGATAAAATAGTAACCAACAAGCCACCCAGGATCCAATGACTAGCAAATGCGTAATTTACTTGGAAGAAGCAGGCACGTACAGACGGTCACCAACAATTATGCGGCCTCAAGGCCGATGAAACCCCTTGGATCTAGTTCCTTTACTTATCCAACTGCATATGCAGACGTCAAAGTTGCGTTTCCTCGCCTCACCTTACCTCGCCTCGCCTCGCCTAGCTCGGAACAGCACACTGCTTTGCATCCCGACTTCCTCGGAAACAAATCGACAGGGCCCCCGAATCAAATCACACCTGCATGCTAACCATGAATATCCTTCTCCAATTGACTTTCAAAGGTTCATCCGCACGCACGCGCGCACACTTGCATACAGATAAGTTAACTTAGATACAATAATTATAAGTAGCAAAAAGACCGCAGAGCAAAACGGAAGCGAAGCATCGCCGTATGATCTCCGGAGCCGAAGCATACTCTCCCCGAAACTTACTCCATCCCCCGAAAAGTCAAGTAGCGAGACGTCAGAGTTTCAAGACCCGACCCTAGGTGCTTTTTTTATTAAAATTTACCTTACTTGACCTTGACATAGAATTTTCCACATGCATCGCAGCCCATCTAAGGTTGAACTTGCGTGCTTGCTTACTTGCTTGCTTGCTTCTAAAACCAAAACAAGCGAACCCCGATTTCTTGTCATGTCATGTCATGCTGAAGCTTCCCGAGTCAGAATTCTAAATCATGCTCGCTGACGACTGCTATCTGATCCTCCTATATTCCCTGTCACGGAAGATATTCATAGATCTCGGAGGAATCTGTATCAGTGGTAATAATAAATCGATGTGTCACATATCATTTTTCTCGAACGCTGAAATCCAAGATCCGAGTTTTCTTCAGCAATACCTTACAGTAATACCGAACAGCGCACTAACGAACCGCGCCTCAAACTCGCTTGAAGAGAAGAGAAGAGCAAACAAACAAACAAGCAATCCTCAATCTCATTTTCTCCCCCTTCCCCGAGCACTGCGCTTTACGTCCGTAACTTCATAACGACAAGGTAATTAAATGCCCTACGAGCCTACGTCGCTCTCATTGTCATTCCCAGCTACTTCAAGATCTGCACTCCTCAACCTCCAAACAGCAATACTTACGCGCCCGCCTCGCCATCGTCCCTCATCCCTCATCCCTTACCCCTCACCTCACCCAACCCTTGCATGAACCCCCCCCCCCCCCCCCCCCCCCCCCCAAGGTTCACTCACATCACTTCGCCACACCACACCACACCATACCACACCATACCAAGCCCTGCCTGCGTTGCAGAAGTACGTGATAGTGATAGTGATACCAAATCCTCGGGTCCAAAACAATCAGCTGATTACTTGCCTTCCTTGCCAGGTTGTTCGGTTGTTCCGCTTTCTACCTTACCGTACCGCACCGCACCGTACCCTGCCCCTTCCAAGGCCGGTCCAACTTCCAAGGTTGATTTCCCTTGGGCTTGGCGCACACCACACCACGATGCGTGCGAATGAATGAATGAATGAGCAAACAAAACCCCAACGCCTCTAAACGCCTCCAACTCATCCTCATGTCTCACATCTTGCTATCTCGCGTGTCGTATCTCGTATAGCAGGATTATCGATGTGTCGTAAACTTACGTCCGTGTATTATTTCATCACAATAAGTAGGTAGGTATGTATGTATGTATATTTATGAGTTTTTTTACATTGCATCACACTGTGCATCGCACCGCATTAGACTCCAAGCCAAGTTCGGCCTCGAACACATACATAAATTACATACCTCACCTAATTATTCCAACACAAAATCCTCAAACATAACATAACACAACCTACCGTAGTCATCTTTGCACTTTTGGCGAACACGGTACGGTCCAGGTGAAATCCTCCATGCCAATGTTGGGTGCATGCATGACTGGGCCCGAAAACGCCGAAAAAACTTGGCCTGGCCGAATAGGAATCCTTAGGATTTGACAGCGGGAGCGGGTTGAGAGAGTAAAACTTGGCAGGAGAGCAGGAGAGAAGGACAGAAGGGGCGCGGATCGGAGATATTTCCGAGATGATAAATAGTTGTTGTTGTTGGAAAGGGATAGTGATATGGATAGGGATAGGGATAAGGGCGTACAGTGGATTGGCTCGTCAGTGATTCTCGAGAGGGGATTAGAGAGTGGTCTGGATGCTTGAGCTATGATCCGTGATCAGTGTTCGTAGCTGTTCTGGAGAAACGTTGGACGTTCAAGACTGGAAGGAAAAACTGAGCTAGCGACTTTACAGAATCAAACCTTCCATTCGCGAAAGGTATAATGAAGATAGACGTAGAAGCAGAGAGACATGTGCACAATGCAGGCAGGCATCTCGATCATTTCATGAACAATGTTTTGTATTCACACTACTTCTCCAATCAAGCAACCGCAACCAACATATTTACTATGCTTCCCCGAGTCTTTCTTCCTGCACGCGCATGGGAATGCTAAAGAATCAAATGAATCAAATCAAATCACAATGACCTTCCAATCCTGAACACCAATGGAGCAATGAAGAAAGCACGCAAGACTCCGCCATGCACCCACACCAAGTCATGCACCCACACCAAGTCATGAACAGAATAGAACAGAACAAGTCGAAATCCTCCCTCCACCATTCTCAAGAGCGAGCTCTCACCCGTCTCTTCGGAGCAGGCGTCCCATTAGCAGCCATACCAAGAGTCATCTTACTTCTCATACCAACCTTGACTTTTGGTGTCGAAGTAGCAGAAACAGATTTCTTCTCGTCACCAGGCAGGATAGCCTTCTCCTTTTCTCTCTCAGGCTCTTTCTCCGGAATCGTAACCTTCTTACTCTCTTTGCCCCCTTCCTTCTCAGTAAGGCTGGCCAGAACGACCTTCTTGCCCTCCTCAGTCTGAAACTGTGCAAGCTCTTCCGCCCAAACAACAGTGTTTCCCTTCTTGTTCAGCTTCTGCTTATAATTCTTCTCATCAAATACCTCTTTGAGTGCGCGTTGCCGAGTTGCTGGGTCGTCCTTCTCGTTTGCTTTCTTGGCGAGGAAGTCAGCAGGGTGGGAAGCACCGCCTTTGTTCTTGCGCGTGTTGACTTTGGTAAGGGCTGCAAGATCTTTCTCCTCGTTGCGGCGGAGTGTTACTGTGCTATCTCCATCTTGACCAAGTCGGCGGACAGGAATGAAGCTCGGTGCTGCTAGAGCTGCTGGAGCTGCTTTGACTGGAAGACGAGTCCGGCCGCTCCGCCTGATAGATCGCGGCTCGGTGGCATCGTCCTCTTGAGGAGCATCCTGAGTAGGTTCATTCCGCTTTCTGCGCTTGGTCGGTGAAGCAGGTAGACTAACATCAAATTCATCCTTGGCTTTGGGCGAGCCCGGCGATGATGTAGCATCTACTGTCTCAAGTGGGATTTGAAGAGGTGAGTGTGGCAGTGACCGCTTTCTCTTTGGAACGTATGTCTTTGCTTTGGCAGCTTTATTGGCCTTGACTTTCGAAAGGAAGTTTCTGAGCATGTCCGTATCATCATGGTCATAGACAGCAGGCGGAGCATTCTCAGAGATGGCTTTGGTGAGCTCTGTAGTGGTTGGGTCTGGTGTGGATGATCCAGGAAGGTCTTCTGATGCTTCATCTGGAGGGCTACAAGGAACGTCTTCGGAAGTGGCGATTGACATAGGCTCAATAAGCTCGAAGCTCTCTGCTGACTCTTCTGAGATCTCGTCCGAGAATTGTCCGCCTTGTACCGGTTCGCTGGTGGGGGATAGAGACTTGACTGGCCGACCACGCTTGCGCTTTGGCGTCCAGATCTCGAACTCCTCTCGTAACTGCTCATCACAAATCTCCTGCTCCGAAGTGCCTCGTTCAACTTCTTCCTGTCCCTCGAGTCCCTCAGAAGTAGAAATTTCTGGGACACTTTTCTCTGCAGCATTCGTTTCTTTCTCGTGCTGTACTTCCACACAAGCCTCTGCAGTCTCTGTTGATTGGAGTACCTCATTCATGGCAGTGTTATCCATCAGCTGATCATCTGATGGGACTTGCGAGACGGCCACTTCGTCCACATTCACAATGTTCTTATCTTGCTCAGCCTCATGCAATGCCCTTGAGTCCAAATGCAGGGAGACTGAATCTACAGAATGAGTCTCAGCACCAGTAGATATTGTGACTGTTGTCTCTGAAACCACAGCCTCCAATACTGGGGCAACCTGAGCGGAAGGCTCTTCTCGAGCTACAGAGCTGGCGCGGCTCGATCGACTCGTCCGGGTACTTCGCCTCGTAGCACTCCTTTGGGGTGTTTTTCTTCTTGATCTTGGAGTGCCCACTGCCTTCGTAGGTGAGAGTACAATGGCCATATCGGTCTCAGTTGACTGGAGCGTAGCTGGCTGAAGCTGTATGACCTTGAGTGGGGTCTGAGGAGACTGTTCTGAGATGGTTTGTAGTTCGGAGGACTCGATGGTGGTGGTAATATGAAGATCGCTTGACTCGACTGCTGCCTGAACTGCTTGCACCTCGGTGGTTTGAAGTTCGACAACTTGAGTGGTTGAGATTTCGACAATAGTATCAAGTTCGGATTGCGTTTCGACTCTTTCATGCACGCCATCTGGGACATCCTCAGTCTTCGAAGCAGACTCGTCGGTCAACTCAAGCAGTTGAGGGAAAGAGACTTGTTCTTGCACCTGCTCACAAGCCTCGTGCTGGACAGTCTCTTCTACTTCCTCTGTCTGGACAGCTTCTGGTAATGAAGTCTCCACTGCATCTGCCTCCTTTTCGGGAGAGGCGGTCTCCTGATTCTCGGATGCTTCAAGTACTGGTACAGTGAGAACAGCTTGTTCATGAACAGGCGCTGAATCTTGGGCGTCGTTCGGTTGCTCAGCCTTCGGAGAAGTCTCTTCAGACAGTGTACTGGCTTGTTGTAGTTTTGCCACAACCCCAGAGAAACTCTCCACAGCATCATCCCCTCCCTTCTGCCCAAAGATAAAAGAGCCCCTCCTCTCCTCCGTACTGGGCTCAACCAAATCACTCCTCGTAAGCCTCCTACTCTTCCGCATAGACCTCCTCCTTCTCGGCTTCTCAGTCTCCTGATCTGCATTCCCGGCACCCTCACCGTCATTAAGAGGAACCTTAGTGACTTTCGCCGGGCTCATCGCTGCCTTCACAGGACTCTGACCAACATCCAGCACAGGCGCCGCAACAACACTATTCTCAATACTGCGCAACGGTTTCCGCGGCGTAATCAAATGATTGGCATTCGTCCTCTTCCTCGGCACCACAAACGCGTCCTCATCCCACAACCCAGCAGCACCGCCAACCTTCCTCGGACTAGCATTTACAGCACCGATTCCACCATCCACAGATCTTTCCATCCCCTCAGCATCAACAACCATCCACCTCGCCTCCGCAATATTCTCCTTCGCCTTCCCTCCTACACCCGGAACACCACGTCTGCGCTTCCTAGCTCCCATCCCGCCATTCTCGAGCTCGAGGTCAGCCTGCACGGCATTCTCCTTGTCCGCTGCTGCGGCGAGGGAGAGTGCGGTGGTGGGGTGCAGGGAGGAGGCTTTCTTCCAGATTTTCTGGCCGGCGAGGCGCGGGGCGTGAGCCGGGACGGGGGCGCGTTCCCAGGGTTTGGGTTTCGGTTTGTGGGTGGTGGTGTGGGAGAGCGTGGTGGGTGTGAAGGCATCGCGGTATATGGACCTGTGGTGGTGGTGGGATTGTTAGGCTTTTGTGTTTCTCTCTTGCGGTGATTGATGATTCCTGGTAATTGAGAATTTGTAAAAGGATAGAAGAACGAACCAATTGTCCACTACGTTCTCCTTATTTCCTCCTTCCATATCCATCTCCATCTTCCTCCTCTTTTCGATCGCTCCAATTTCTCAGCTGCGCGGCGCGTCCTAGTTCTCCTCAAACTAGATACCTTCTCTTCAAGCCCCAGTAAACGGATCGAATCTCAAACCCGACTCGTAAAAATTGCACATGAAAAATTATTCTTCGCGCCGCTGTGTTAGTATCTGCTCTCAATATCTGCGCTGTGTCGTAGATGTGAGAGGCGAAATAGGCACACGATCATCAATCAAACAGTCGAGATTGAGAAGCTTGGGCGATGTTTGTTTACATTGGATTTTAGCTTAGTTTTGGGTCAGGGCAAGGACCCACCGATGTCTGCACGCTAACCTTATCCTGCTTAGCGACTAAATTATTGAAGCTCTCCTCTCCATAGCATTGAGCATCACATTACAAGATCAACGACTTCTCTTACAGTTCAACCCACCACGCTGCTCGATAGAATCCGTACACTACAATTCGAAGTACTGTTTCTACATACTACAGCACACAATGCCGCCACCAAAGGCAGGATCCGTTAGCACTGCGCTGCAGCCGATGCGCCTCCCTCCTCTCCCTAAGCTGCGAGTGCGACGCCCGAATCAGACAGATGCGAATCCGTGTTTGACGCTTATGAGTTCTGTGTTGAGTGAGTATTTTCTTCTGTCTCTGACTTATCCTGGATTCGATTGCGCTGGAGGCTGGAAGAGATAGGATGGGAATAGGATTCGTGGAAACTAGCGTCGAGGGCGAGTTTTGGTGGGATTGTACGATGTGAGAGGAGGATGCTTTGACAGGAGGTACAAGAAAGATGCCAAACTGGACTGGAATAGAAGAAGAGCGCATTGAACGGATACAAAGTCAGAGGGGATGGCCGCGGATGAACGTGGCAGCAACTGGAGAAGTTGAGACTTAGAGACACCTCGGAGGAACCCATCAACAACTGGCAGATCAGCACCTCACAAACAATCAAACGTCCCACCTCAAAAGAAAACAAGCTAACATCTTCTTTCTCCTCAAACAGCATGCTGGGCCTCCTCCGGCTACACCGCAGCAGGCTGTCAAGCCTTCGAGACCCAACTCCGAGCCTGTATGGACACACCTGTACGTCTACCTTCCCTCCCTCCCCCCTTCTTTCTGTCTTACCTACCTACCTATCTTTATAGATCAAGTAAAAGTTCCACGGGAATTGATAAATGCTGATAAGACTTTGTGTTCGTGAACAGAGACCCAAAACCCAAAAGAAAAACACAATCAACCACCACCTCTCCCGAATGTACCCCAACATCGTCGGTCCTCGAAAGAGGAAGTAAACGCTTCTTCCCCAGCCCAGACGAAAGCCCACCATATTTTCGCCCAGAGCCTTTGGGAATATGGTGTTTGTACGAATCATAAAGAGGAGTTGTTGAACGCAGACGGATGGGATGAGCTGACGAGCAGTATTTTTGAGCGAAAAAGAAGCGCTGGATACGTGTAGATGAAGGTGGCGTCGGAGACGGGCCGGGCCATATCATGAAGGGCATCTATTTGTCTCTGTATACCACACCACCAGCGTCTGTTTCTGGTTGATTGATTGTACAAAAAAGAGTGGACGGAGCGAGAAAATGGAGCATTGCCGGGATAGTTAGTTAGTAGATCGTCGCACTTTATTGTTGTTTTGCGGGCGCATGGACATGGTATTGGGGAAGGGAAGTAAGTGTTCTTTGTAGGAATATCCACAGCCATAGAGAACCAGAAATCTCAAATATGATGACACAAAATCATATAAAATCAGTCAAAACACAACGAACTCCAGCGCATCTACCAACTTCGGAAGTCACATCTATGATATTCGACAGTCTTAACATCAGATTCACACACGTTGCCTACAACAATCACAATCACAATCACAATCAACCAGCAAAGAGTAAACTCTCTCAAAAAAAAAAAAAAATTGAAAGGAAGCAAGAACTCGGACCTCTTAAACTCAATTCAATTCAATTCAATTCCTATGCACCGTAGCTAACTAGGCCAAGCAAGCCGGCGATTCAATTGCAATTCCAATTCCAATTCCAATTCCATCTCATCTAAACCCAGTACCTGGCTCCATCAATGCTCGCTTTCTCGCACGCTCCTTTGTTCCCATCCATCCATCGACCCAATATCTAACTAAATCTCTGCTCTCCTCTCTCCTCTGCTACCCTCTCCACTTGACTTGACTCGACTCGACTCGACTCTTATCATCCCTCGACCAAGTGTCACAATGTGGAGTGTGTCCGGGACGGTATCTCTTCTGTGCATGCTCCCATCGGCTCTTCCTCGATGCCGCGTACTCTCCCCGTTGGATATATCCCCCCAAGCCGTACTTTCCATTCCTCAACTGACTTGGCTAGTCTCTTGCCTTCCCCCATGCACACGCATACGCACACAGACAGATTCGATCCACCACGCTCACTTGCACACTTACTCCATTGCCCAGTCCATGCTCCATCTCTACAACACCCGACCATCCACAAATCCATTCATCCATCCATGAGGTATCGAACAAAGTTTCGTCGCCGACCACAGTTTCTATCGCTCGCGGGCAGTAAAGTAGCCAAGGAAGAAGGGAAAGTTTCAGCGCCGAGAATGAACCAACTCCCATCAGTCATCTGGCAACCGAGAAGAGAGAGAGAGAGAGAGAGAATCCATAGTAAGAGGGCACAAAAGGAGTAGAGAAGAAAGAAAAGAAAAAATACCAAAACGCCTATCAAAAACGCCCTCGTAGAAGCCAAATCCCCTCGCAAAATCTGATATGATCCGATATCATTCTTTCAAACAAAACAAACGCAAAATCAACGAACGTACTTGGGGAAAACAGAAACAAAAGAGGGTAAAAGCAGGCAAGCCCAGCGCAAGTTGAAACACCCCTCCCAATGTCATGTGTCCTGTCCCAGAAAATAAAATTGCAAATATCATATGTCGTCGTGTCTCTCCGCCCCAGAATGCTGGAAAGGGGTCTGTCGGCAGAGTAATGTTAAGTGTGGCATGTAGCCCAGATGATAATCTTCCTTGCACCAGCAATGATTGCACCGCCCATGCAGAATTGAACAGCGCAGACAAAAGTCTTCCTTCTTTGATTCGAAAATGCTAGTTATCCACACTGAGACAGAAAAGCTCGATTTCTCCGAGCTGACCTTGGTGGTATTGTTGCTTCTGCGACTCGCGCCATTCTTGGAAGGCGATCTGAATGTCGTCGTCCGATTCGATAGTGACAAAATCTCCGTCCTCATCCCGATATCGAAGTCTCATGGTCCCTTGAGCGATTGCATTGTTGGAAAATCTTCCCACTTTAGCATCGATGCGGTCCACAAGTGATTGGTAGGTGATGTTGAAGGCCACCACCAAAGTCACATAATTCCCGTCACAATTGACCTTGACCTTCAGTTGAGTGGGAAGACCCATGTCGCTATCTCCAGATCTTGCACTGCCGAGGGGAGGTGACAATGCTCGGCTATCCTGCATTGTAGAAGGAAACTGAGTTGTATTGCTCCGGGCATATTGGGGTGCATTCCCATATTGCGAATTTTGCTGCAGCCGCTCCCTCTGTGCCCCAGGAGACTGGGTATTGGATCTCATCGGCAACCCGTTAGGAGAGTTGTTTTGAGATCTGGGAATACCATTGTCGTAAGCTGGGTGAAGATGCGCAGGAATACCCGGAACAGCGGGTACCGGACCGCTGATAGATCCATTAGGAAGTCGTCGAGTTCCGTTTTGAGCATTGATGTCTGGAGTGCTGTAAGAACGACTTCTCTGTTGCGCTGCAGTTTGCTGAGCGGATTGTGAAGCCATGGCAGGAAGGGAAGGCCGTTGTGGAGTACGGCCATTCATCTGATATGCATCAGCGGGATTTTGGCTGCCTCTTGAAGGTGCCCGAGGTCCCGCTGGTGCGGTGTATCTGTTGTAATCAGCTGGTTCCCATCCACTCTGCGGTGTCCCTTGTCGTGGGAATGGGAACATTGAAGAGGTTGTGCTTGTCCTTGAGGATGCTGGTGACTCAGCAACCGGAGAGAAGTAAGAATCTCCTCCCCTTTGACCGGGGGAAGGCATTTGAGTTGCAAGCTGTGTTTGCAAGCTCAGAGGCGGGTTCTGCATCCCACCCATTGGGAAGCGAGGTGGTGGTGCCCTTGCGATGCTGACAAGTGATGGGCCACTATCGCCCGTCGCAGCTCTCGATCGAAGACTTGTGCTGGAAGAATTTCGAGCCATCCCAGGGACAGGTCCTGGATACGTTGAGTTTGGCACTGGTGCCGATTGAGGTAAGCTGTATTCATCATCGTCATCGTCGTCCTCTTGCTGGGCATAGGGGTTGGGAATGGGGGCAGTCTGATCTCGCATCCACGCAAAGTCCGCTGGTGGTGCATCCGGACTGCTTCCGGCCTGGACGGTGCTAGCGTGGGCTTTTCGTTGTCCATCCACGCCTTCATACCATTTCCTCATGGTTTCCTCATTTGAGAATCTTATGATGAAGTTCTCAACTCCAGGATCTCCTTTCCAGAAAATTTGCACGGTGTAAGAGCCTACATTGTTATTAGCCCAGGTCGTGAAGTATTGGGCTCTTACTTACCTTGCTTTGCTAACGACATGACCTCCGTCACGTTGGTCATGAAGATTCGCCCCTTGAGTTGAAGCTTGGCATTCTTATTGGGTTCCTTATTTTTGTTCTTGTCCTTCTTGTCCTTCTTATCCTTTTGCGCCCCCATTAGTTTGTCCTTCGATTTATTCGGATTGACTTCTTTGCAGCAAAGAAGGATTCTCTCAAAAAGGTAAATCGTGTACTGTTCGTAATGTGGGCAAACAATGCCCGCTTCGTCAGCATATGTACTTGCAAAGAAGGGTTCGCCTGTCGCAGGATTATTGCCAGTAAATTGATGAAAGAGCATGTTGGCAAAGAAGTGGTCCATAGCCTCTTCAGGACCGCGCAGCTCTTCATTTGCAGAGGCTGGTTGGTCTAGAGAGACTGCTTCCCAGTTCGCAGGGATCTCCGAGGGCTCCTCCTCAATCTCCTCACCGATATTGGTCAATGAATTCTGTCGGGAGTGTTGGGAGGAGATGGCCGCCTTGCGCCTCGGCGATCCTTCTTCAAATTCTTCAATGTGACTTGCTGGGGAGCTCTGACTGTTGAACGAAGTTTGGATAGTGAGGGTGCTTTGATTCGTGAAGGAGCGCAGTCTGGAGGACAAAGATAATGACAAAGACGCCTTGCGCTTTGAGCCTTCCTCATCAATTTGGTCATCAGCTTGAGCAGAGGAGCTCAGGGTAGGGAATTGCAAACTGAAGGAGCCTGGACTGGTGACAGAGCTCCCGCTGATGGCTGTGCTTTGACTGGTAAACGAGCGCTGTCTAGAAGACAAAGTCGCCTTGCGCTTTAAGTCTAGAGATGCTCTCATCTCCCCGAGTGAAGACAAATTCTGAACAAAACTAAAAAGGGGGCGTACTTCTTTTTGAACGTCGCTCTTGCCCGTCACCACAGGGAAATGCCCATGCTGCAGCAAGTCCCCGAAGTGATCAACCCTATGATTCTTCCAATCATCCACTCGCGCACACAAGTCTTCCAACGCCTCTGCCCTAAGTTCTCGGTCAACGGCTGAGTTGGCTTGCATAAGAACCCTGTTGGACGCTTCGATTCCGGCGGTTAGATCTGCCTTCGTGTCGTCGCTTGCACCTGTTTTGTCCCTTAAATCCTAGAGAAAGAGTAAGCTGGAGCCGAATCCTAAATATATCAATTGCATACCTTCAGTAACAAGGGATACTTAACCAGACGCTGCATCGGTTTGAGGAGAAATCCGTCCAGCGTATTGAAGTCTACAACCACTGGATGATCTGCCAAAGCAATCTTGTCGAATTCTCTTTTGGCAATAGCTGCTGCTTTCCTCTGGTTCGCAATAAAAGGTTGGTAGATCCCAAATGCTTCCTCATAGTTGGTGAATGGCAAACCCCATTCCTGTCTATCGTCCGGTTGGGAGTTTGTTGTTTCAATCTTTATGAGAAATCTCCTTTGAAAATCCAGTATCGCGTTAATGTTGAGGAAAATATCATGGACCACGTCCCCAGGTATCACTCCCTTCTGCTCTATCGTCTTCTTCAGTTCGTGAAGGTTCTCCAAGTCCTGAACATATTTGCGCTCTGTATCCACGAGTTCTCGAACAACATGATCTCTGTAGCTCATCTGAGATCCTGCCATGGCAGCTGCTGGTACCGCGTCGTCTTTTTCGGATGTCAGGAGGTTTCCTTTCTGTTCTGCAACATCGAGAACAATATTTATAACTTGGGTGACCTGAATGTCGATCAGCGGAATCCTAGAAGTCAGTTCGAGTGAGGAGTGTAGGGCTGTGAATAATCGGGCACACGGCAATTATCCCCGAGTAACTTTCAATTGACTCCAGAGCAGTATTTCAAGACAGAAAATTCACTACACACCTTTACGAAACCCGTCGTATCGTCACCGAATAAATCCTGTAAAGAAAAGCACTCCCCAGGAGGCAGTTTCAGGTCCCCTTTCAGACATGCTTCTACGAATTTGAAGGCCGCAATCTTCGGCCTCTTTGCCTCTGGTATTTTCTCATCAATCTTCAGTGGCTCCGGCGGTTTCAAGGAATTGTATATGGTCATCAACGGCGTCCCTTTCCGCAGGCACCTCCACAGCGAGGATACCGGGTCCATATCCTCCCCCTCATCCTCCGAATCCGAGTCATTCAGATGGGTATCAAAGTCGGGCACGGTTGCCAATCTCTGCCGTAGATTCACACATATCTGGTACAGAGACCTCGATGCGTCGGCCCGTTGGTTTATGATGTTATTCGTTGCCACGACATTCCCGCCGTTCTGAGCCATCTGGGTCGGGGTCGGGGGAGGTGGTACGAGAGTGGCCGAGCTGGACATGGAGGATATCGATGTCGAGGATGCAGACGTATAGGCCGTGGATCCAGACAGTTGGGAAGATCGCGAGCTGTGGCTCATGGTATGGCCTAACCCCGGGATGCCATTGTTGGCGCTTCGAGAATTGAAGACAGGCGCGGTGTTCGTCCTGGAGAGGGGTCCATGAGACTGCGCCATGTGAGTGGCAACGCCGCCCAAGGACATGAACAAAGATCGCGAAGGTTGGAGTGGGCGACAGGTGAGTTCGGCATTCAAACGTGCATTTGCGTGTGGGTTTGAAGATGGGGAGATGGGGACGTGGACGTGGACGTGGACGTGATGGGGAAGGGTTGGAGATTGCGATGTGGTAGTGGTGTTGAGGATAGTAGGTAGAGGTAGTGGTAGTGGCCGTAAGGTAGGGGGACGGAAGGTTAGGTTGGACGGGTCGGAGTCGCAGATCGAGATTGGGATTGGGACTGGGACTGGACTGGACCGTCTTGGGCTGGGCCTTGACGGATGCTTGGGGGTTTGGCTGGCTGGGATGGTTGGGATTGGGGGAAGGGGGGGGGGAAGGGGGGGATGCTCTAGGGTTGATTCAAAGGGGAGGGAGGGAGGGAGGGAGGGAGGGAGGCGGCAACAGCAGCATCAGCGGCACAAAGCAGTGGAGGAGCAGAAGCAGAAGCAGGACTGGTACGGAGGTACAACGGTACAACCACTCCACTCCACTCGTAGGAACTTTTAGCTTTTGGCAGTCGCAGCCCAGGGTCACGGAGTGCTGTGAGCGCTGTGAGTGCTGTGGTTCGTCTCGCTTGCCTCCTGAATCCCATTCCTGGTCTTCCCTTCACTGGTGCTTCCCTCCCCTCCCCTCCCCTCCCTCCCCCATCCCGGCGGCTTATTACTGTATTCATTGTCATTGCCATTCCAACTCCATTCCATTGTGAAGTGAAATATATTGTCTCCGGCCACCCCTCCCCTCCCCTCCCCTCCCCTCCCCTCCCCCTCCTCTCCCGAAAGGCACAAAGCTCCAGCTGTCTCCCGGTCTCGTTCCTGCCCAAATCCAAATCCAAATCCAAATCCAAATCCACTCAGGCTCTGGGCAGCATCGATATCCACCCTCCGCTACACTGCCGCTGTCCCCCTTCCTCCACTTCCTTGCCCTTCACTGTTGCTCGTCTCGACTTTCTGTGTCTCAGAATGGCACCGCACCATGCAGGATAAGAAGGAGCCATGGGAACCTCTCACAGCATCGTGTTAAGGTATTCACTCTCTCATGCCAATGGTCAATCATGCCGAGGTTGATAATTGTCAGAAATGCAATGTGCATGGCGGCGGCTGCCTCTCTGTAAGGAACCAATGTACAGTACAGGACAGCACCTATCAGATCCTGACTCTGCTCGTGCACTTCTTCCTTTTGCTCGCCCTTTTCCTAATTGTTTTGACCTCTTAACCTGGAACTGCTCTGCTTCCTTTTGCGGGCTAGGGCGACAGGGCAAGACAAAACACAGCGGCACTTTTTGACATCCCATCCTCTCCTCTCCTCCTCTCCTGCCGGAGGGGATAAGATAAGCTTAATGCCCGCAATATACCCACGACGGTTGTTGCAGTCGCTGTGAAAGTCAATAAATGTCGCCGCCAGAACAACAACCCCAATCCCAATATCCTGTTTTGACAGACTGCTGCGTCAAACTTGGTACCCTACTGTCAGGTAGGAAAGGTGGGTGGGTAGATTTTCGTCATCCATCTCTCTTCGCCCACAACGACTGTCCAAATCAAGAGCACAGCCTCTTTAGAATACTCACTCAAAGACATGTCATCCCCAACCCCGTTCTTCCTTCTTGAATCATACAAACATTGCCGTTGCTGCGACTGCCGACCTCTCGCCGGCCCCCAAATTGTCTGATCTCCTGTGCTACTGTACATTCGTAGCGCGCTCTGATTGGCGACATTGCGATAGGCGATAGACGATACCTTGCCTTGCCTACCCTGCGAGCCTGCCTCGCCTGCCTCGAGAGCATTTGCCTGACAACAACGAGGTGGGCCTGATTCAGCACGTCCGCATCCACCATAACATCGAGATCCACGTCGAGATCCAGCCTCAGCCTCATTTCCTGGTTTGTTCTGGAGATCCAGTGCACCTTGCTTGCACTCTGCTGAAGGCTCAATCCTCGTGTGGCTTTGGACCTAGAATTTGGCCAACCTCGGTCACCCTCGTCATCGTGGATCATGGCGGGCAATATGACCTCCTATGAAGGTTCCCCTCAGGACGAGGGCTATAGTGAAGACCCCTTAACCATTGGCAATTCAGCAACTCTGCCTCCATGGGTAGAGAGCATGTCAGCGGTAGAAAGGACAGGTACGTTTGGAATAGCAAGGGTCGTGGTGATTGTAGATCGTGAGGCTGACAATTGTAGAATACGTGATGAATATCATTTCCCATCTGCCTACGTCCCAAGTCGCGGACATCGTTAGCAGACTACGACCTCGTCTTTATATCAACTTCTTCAAGTATCTCCCCCCCGAGGTATGCTTGAAAGTTCTGGGTTTTCTCGACCCGACCTCCCTGATCAACACCGCTCGGGCTTCGCGAGAATGGATGGCTCTGGCTATGGACAGGAAGCTGTGGGAACAATTATACATCTTGGAAGGCTTCAGGGTGATCAAGTCGGAGGTGGAGCGCTTCGAGGCTTCGCTAAATGTAGGCTCGATGAGTTCGGACAGGTCGGTCTTGTCAAGACCTAGTGGCCAGGCTGATGAGGAACACGCGAGCAAGAGACGAGCAACACCACAACGAATCCTACCCAGTCTCCAGACAGATGTTGATTCCGAAATGCCGGACGTGGATGCAGGACCGAAGCAGGTATCGATATTTGGTGGACAGATGACAAAAGAGCCACTTTCTACTCGAGGGGATGTTGATGTACCAATGCTCTCCCCTCGAGCATCTTCTTCAATGACTTCGCAATTTCCAACCAAGTCTGCAAAGAGTACGCAGAGTCGATCCAGCCATCGCACATCGACTGGGACTACTGCGCCTATATTGACGAACATATCTTCTTTAGTGGTGGAGGACCCGTCAGATAAGAGAAGAAAGTTGAACTGGCAATATCTTTATTCACAGAGGCGACGCTTGGAAGCAAATTGGGAGAATGAGAAATACATAAACTTCCAATTACCACACCCAGCACATCCTGAAGAGGCTCACGAGGAGTGCATCTACACCATCCAACACTCCGGGAAATACCTGGTTAGTGGAAGTCGAGACAAGACTTTACGAATATGGGATCTGGATACCAGAAGATTACTTCGGGCACCATTACGGGCACATTCAGGCTCAGTATTGTGTCTTCAATTCGATGCGGATCCAGAAGAAGACTTGATCGTGTCCGGAAGTAGTGATGCGACAATAGTGTTATGGAAGTTCTCGACAGGACAAGTAATTCAGCGACTGAGGAAAGCACATCGAGAATCAGTTCTCAATGTCAGATTCGATAAGCGAGTACTGGTAACTTGCTCCAAGGACAAGACAATCAAGATCTTCAATCGAAGGGATCTGAATGCAGGTGATTTGGGTTATCCAGGCTACTCGGGGGTAGTTCATCCAGTTCCGACATTTCTCAACAATTATGGTTACAATCCTGCGCCGAGTGCAGGCCTACCAGTAAAACCAGCATATTCCATGATCGGGTGCTTGGAAGGTCACGGCGCTGCCGTTAATGCCGTACAGATTTTCGGAAATGAAGTTGTCTCTGCTTCTGGAGATCGTACTGTCAAGGTCTGGAATTGGCCAGAACAAACGTGTACACGAACTTTGATTGGGCACACCAAGGGTATTGCCTGTGTTCAATACGATGGACGCCGAATCGTCAGTGGAAGCAGTGATAACGAAGTCAAGGTGTTCGATAAGGAGTCTGGTTTGGAAGTTGCCAGTTTGAGAGCTCACTCGAACCTGGTTCGTACTGTTCAAGCTGGATTCGGCGACTTACCATACAGTGCCGAGGAAGACCAAGAGGATGCGAAAGCTATCGATCACGAGTATTTCAAAGCTGTAGATTCGGGGGCAATTCCTCGAACAGTCTATTTACAACGAGGCCGTCCTCGAAATGCCGGATCTCGGAGACCGGAAGACATAACCGCGTACGGCGCCAAGCTACCACCAGGCGGGGGAGGTGGCCGATTTGGCCGCATAGTTTCAGGATCATATGACGAGACTATAATCATCTGGCGAAGAGATAAAGAGGGTGTTTGGAGAGCCCAGCATACTCTTCGCCAAGAAGAAGCCGCACAGGCAGCATCCAGGGCTGCCGCGCCAGAAGCCGTTCAACCTCCTCAAACTACAGTACAATCAAGTGCCACACCCTCAATCGATGTTGATGCACCAACTCTACCCTTTCCACCTGGTAGCGATTCTTTCTATCGTCACTTAATCGACACAACCGTTCCTCGAGGCCCGATGGCATTACAGGCAGCCATACATAATCATCCCCAACTACTACAATACGACTACCTTATGCAAATTATTCGCAACCTCCCAGCCGAATTAGAACCAGTCCAGACCTCCATCGTCGACGACGCAAGGCAGGCAGCTCAAGCTCAAGCTCACGCTCCATTACCCACCATCGCCGGACCCTCATCACTCTCTCATCCCAACCCATCCATGTCAGCCATGCACAACATGGTCCAACAATGGCACAGTACCCTCCCCTTAACAGCAACCACCACCACCACCAATACATCATCCTCATCCCCATCCGGCCCCTCCCACCCATTACAAGCAACCCAAACCTCCTCCCTATCAACGCCTCTCCCTCAAACCCAACCAATCACTCAATCACATACTCAACCACCAGCTCCCGCACCTTCAACACAACCCCTACCAACCACTCAACCACTCGCCGCAGCCCTCGCCGCAGCCCCAGCACCCCATCACCACCACCACGGCGCCGGCCACCACCACGTCCAAGCCAACATGGCCCGCGTATTCAAGCTCCAATTCGACGCCCGTCGCATCATATGCTGTAGTCAAACCAGCACCATTGTAGGCTGGGACTTTGCCAATAACGACGCGCAGATTATCGAGGCGTCGAGGTTTTTTGCGCCGATTGAGTAGTAGGGTGGTGGGTAGGTGGGTGGTTGCGGGGGTGGGCGTATTGTGATGCATTGGGAGAAGAACGTAGAGGAGGTGAGAGATGGATGAGGGGTAATGTTTTGTGAGGAATTTAATGTACTAGGTGGGTGAGTGGGGTATATAGAGGATTTTGATGAGGTCTGGGGAGTATAGAAGGGGAAATGTAATGGAATGGCATATATGGAGTGGGTGGTTGATCACACGGATATGTGATGTCTTCTTGTGTTCTGTTGTGTTGTGCTAGCAGAGTTGTTGTATTGTACGAGTTATTTATCAATCAATCAATCAATCAATCAATCAATCAATCAATCAATCAATCAATCAATCAATCAAAATTACGATGTCACGATTTCCATCCAGTTTCTTTCCTTTTTTTTTTTTCTCTCTTGTCGTCTGTCTGTCTCTACACAGCCTATTTATTTAATCCTCAGCAGCGGCCAGCGGGAAAGGGCAAAGCAAAGCAAAGCAAAACGAGCCATCATCCTTCCATCCATGTATGGACGATTGCCCGGTCTCGGTGATCGTATTTTTGTAAGAGGCTTTGCCTGTATGTTCTGTTCTGTGTGTTCTCTGTGCGTGTGCACCCAATCCCCTCCTCACTTTCTCTCCTGGCTACTGGGTAGTCAGTCTCTTTTACGTACATACCTACCTACCTACTTGTCTTGAGATACACTCTCCCATCTCGGCGAAGCGAGGTGAGGCGAGACGAGGTGAGTATTTTTTTTGGCTATATTATATTATATGATATGATATGTAAAAGAAAGCATAGATGTTATCCAAAATAGCTTAGCTGGATGGTTTCTGCCACATGAGAGCATGAGTATAAGTATGATGGCGGTGTCGAGATGATAATGTAGGGCCCGTAGGGTTGGTGGTCCCTGAGAAGATGGAGGTAGTCGAAGGCATTGCTCATTTGACACCCATGTACTCTGTGAAAAGGCTAGTCTGGGCAGGCGTCATTTATGTCCATTATCCCAACACGATCAGAAACCTTTAACTTAGAATGTAATTATGGAAAATCCAAAAATTGTAGATGGCAAATCCCCGCATCTCTCACAGTCACCATACTATACTATCAGTGACTGTTTTGTCTAATATAAAGTCTAGCTCAGCAATAGCACCGGCGAGACCGAAACTCGAGTCTGGATTAATTCCCCTTGCTTTAGCTATCATCAAGACAGTTGAACTGTTGGCATAAGTACAGTACGGTGTTGGGTCATTTGAAGCTCACGCTGTACCACTTCAACTATAACCTATATGCTCAAGACATCGTTAAGTTTTGTTTGTCGTGTTCATGAGGACTCATAGAAGGATTTCGAGACACTAGGCTGTCAATATATGCCCACAAGATTCTGTGCCGGCCTTGTTAATTGAATATTCCAGGTGTCAACTATGAACCTTCTCTTCACCTATGAGGGGGGGGAGAGGTTGGTTAACCGTGTTCATGATCGTGGTTGGATTGCCTTTCCTGCATGTTTCTGGGCCGGGCTAACGCAGAGGTTCTTCGTCATGAGGCTGTCAGTCTTGTCTGTGACATAACCGGAGCTTTAAGTACCAAATGTACGTTTCAGCGAACCGATTAGAGCTTTCAGAACATCAGAAATTCACCGGTTTCTTCATGCCACTCACAAAGCGAGTATCTGCTCTGCGCAACAATTCATTCACCCAGCTTAGAGACGGTGTGCATGTCCTTAAATCCTCGTTATGTCCTTAGTAGACCCAGACCGGGCTCTATCTATCCAATCCAGCCCAGTCTTCCCCTCTCCTTTTCATCTCATCTTCCCCTATAAATCCCACTAGAATACCCGATCACATCCCCCCAGGTCTTGGCTTCCTTTTAAACACAAACCAAGCCATGACCGCCAAGAATGCCACTCCAAACGCAAGACCGATAAACAAACCTTCTGGGTTGCCATTCCCTTTGTCGTTGGATTGAGATTCGCCGAAATGTAGGGTTGTGTTTAACAAAGGAGGGAAGGGCTGGTTGGTTGCTTGGAAGGGAAAGGGTGGTTGTCGGGTTGAGGACATGGTATGTATTAGTGTTGTGTGCTTGGTGGTAATGAACTTTGTCTTTAGGAAGTGGGAGATGTGGAAATTACTGGTACTGGTTGTGGAAGAGAATAAGGGAAGGATAGATACGGATGGCCGGGAAAAAATCTGTACTTCTAGAAGGGGACAAGAAAGGTCTTAAATTTAAAGATTTAGAGACAGATTTGAGGACAGTCATCCTGAATAACTAACTACGATTGATATCCAGATTCATTTCAGCTGGTACAGCTGCCTTAGGGAGTCATGCATGGAGAGGACAGGGTGGGGTACACCTCGAATCAAAAACATCGTATTCCCAAGATCTCAATTTCAGCTCAGAGCCTGGCCAAGTGACCTCCCATTCCACTCCGATCCATTCACCGTTCCTTACCGAGAAGCTCGAACACCCAAGCCTCCGCCCACTGCCTAAATGAGTTCCCCTATATTCGAATTTTCCTCAACTAGGGAAGGCGTGAAGTCCATTACTTTTCACCTTTAAAGAAACAGATTTCCCTTGTAAACACGGAATCTCATCTCGTCGTAACCGTAAGTTTCGCCATCTTGTGGCGAGCCTCAACAGAAGTTCCCTCAGAAGTCGCAGTCTTACCCACATCGTCTCCGAGATGGCTTTGCAACTAGAAAGGTATATTATAAATATCAAAAAGATTTGGTCTGACTCGAAACTAGGCGTTGGATGTCCCTGTAACTTTATTACAGACAGACCAGACCGTACAAGGGAAATGTCACGTACCTAGGTATGCATATTTGCGAGCTCGCTCACTACCTCCTGACAGAAGAAAATTAAAGAGAGGAATAGAAAAGGAAGAACGGTGTAGAAATCAATTACTCAAGATCGGTTGCTCAAGGCCCTGCCGAAGAGGGAAGAGACACAGTTGGCGCTGCCACAGGTCTGAGGTACTTGAGTTTACCTTACCAAAGATACTTCCGCACGTGCGTGGTTCGCCTATCTTAGCGCGAAACAATGCCAAGCAAGACCCACCCACAAAGCTTGAAAACGACCTCGGATGGGGACAACCAACCAGCGAGGTGGGGAAAAAGCCAAAAAAGAAAAAAATGGCCCACCCTGGACGGAGTTCCTGTTTAGGTGCTAAATCCAGCCCGCTTCCGAGTTAATGAGGCTCCTAAAACGGTGTTGTCCTCCCAAACAGAGCCGGTACCTCCCCACCAGCCCAATGACTGTTAATCAGAGCACATCCCTTACTCTGAAAATGGGGCCTCCGTCTGGTCTTCCGATGGGCGGCGGAAATCTTTTTATTTGGATAGATACGAGTGACAAAACTTCGGGCTGACACAATCTCAGTGCAAGGCTCTGGGCCCCACCCTACCTAAAAGGGTAAGGTGTGAGCCGCATCACCTCGCACCCTCGTGAATCATTTTCCCCATCACCGTAGAATATCAACTCGACGCAACCGTAAGTTTCTCCGTATGCTATTGAGCCTCGACCAAAGTCTTGCCCACCTCTCCGCCAAGATGTCGTCCCCAGTGGCAGCATCCCCAGTCCGTAAAGCACACAAAGGTCTAGTACGAGATGACTTGCTTGTGCTCCGACAAATCTTCGACCTCAACCACGGCAAGACAGCATCAGATCGCGATCTTCCGAACGATCTGATTCTGGCGTCTTCTTTACCAGACTCAAATATCAAGGATCTGTTGATAGTTAGCTTGGATGTCGAGAACCCTCCCTGTGGTACTGAGCTTCAGAACAACAGTAACTATCAGCTCGGCCTGTGCGTTCTCGATACTCGGGAACTAGGGCCTGGTATGCTTATCGGCACACAGCGAACAAACTCACACGAGCTTCTCCGGACCTTCCAACTCGTCATTGGATCCGCGAAGTACAATAAGAAAGCAGCCCATTCGTATTGTTTTGGCGAATCCCAGCATATTAGCCTACCAGGTCTGAACGCCAAGCTGCAGGAGTTAATACCTCCAGAAAGAGATGCCGTGCTAGTTCTGCACGGCGGAGTTTGGGATTTGAAATTTTTAGAAGCGGCCAAACTTGATCTAAATCATATCTACGTTATTGATACACAAAAGGCCGCCCAGCATCCACTGGACCTCGATCATCGATGCACGATGGAAGAAATGCTCACTCTCTTGGGATGTCCATTCGGAGAACTTGTCCTGCATACTGCTGGTAACGATGCCAACTTCACCCTTCGCGCATTGCTACTTATTGCAAAGACCGATGCCTGCGCTGCCAGCGATCCGTATCCCATCGAAACCGAAAGGCTTCTATCGTTGTTCGAAGAAATTGCACTGGGTCCCGTACCCTTGAGTAACCTACAATCTCACGTCCAAGAGCGTCGACAAATAGAGCAGAATCAGAAAGAAGCTCGAGCACGAAAACAAAGGAGGAAGAGAGCGGCTCTTCGTGCGAAGGAGACTCAGGTCAAGGAAGGAACGTGATTGGCAGAGATATGAAATGGAGCAGATGTCAACAAGTGTATTGTACCTACCTACTAATTTTCAATAGCTTGGTCAATGCTATTCTATTCTACGCCATGCTATCCCATCTCATCCCACCTATTCTATTCTGTTTACTATGTATCTCTATAGACGTTGTCTGGTTGGGAGTTTTGGGGTTTTATACTCGGTATTTTGTCTGCATGTTCAGTAGAAGTAAAATGCAGACAAAACTCCGATAAAGCTGCAGTAATTTTGTCCACAAAATACAAACAAATCAGCGTACTAAGGGGTAGGCCGCTAGCTTAGACTTTATACATTTCGAGTGAAACACGACATCAAAGAGCACACATACACTCTCTATTACCAAGAACACTACATGTGCTTTTAGATTACTCGGAAAAGCGAAATAGAAAAAGAGGGGGAAATAGGGAGGAGGGGCAAAAGAAAGGTGGTAGGGGGTTAGAAGTAGAGAAATAGGAGACCGTGCCTTTAGAAAGACCTTGAGGGAGACCTTACCTGAAGGAGGGAGGGAAGGAAGGAAGGAGGGAGAGAAGGAGTGATTTGCAAGAGAAAACACTGGGAGTTACAGGCAGGGTCCTATTATTAGCTCAATTTAGGGAAAGCCTTGGGAATCAAGGAAATCTCATAAAATTGAAGAGTCTATCCCAAAAAATGCAGATAATTAAGTAAATTGCAGACAGAAAACGCCTATTTACAGACAGTACCGGTTGAAACTGTGCCTAGTCCGTGAGTGCAAAAGAATCCCGTAGAGTAAACCATTTACTCCCTCCACATTTCAACTTTCTCACCCACCTACTCCCAATCCTTCTCAACCCTCCACGCATCGCCCGGCGTCAACCCGACCTCCCAAACATCACAATCCCTATGTCCCCACTTCTCCGCAAAAACCTTCTTGCCATGCTCGATCGTCATCCCCAAAGCCCTCTCGAATCCCAGCGGATCGCGATAAAACGGGTCTCCCTGACCACCGCGCTGTCTTCCTTGCCAGACATTCCGACCGTGTGCGCCTGTTGCTTTGGAGTTCTGCATGGCTTCGAGGGTGCTGATGAGATGCGAGAAGGAGTCGGATTTTATCGTGTCGGTTGGTACGCGCCATGCGTTGTCGTTGAGGGATTTGGGTTGAGGTTGGGAGACCTGGGAGGAGGTTTGGTTTGCTTCGCGTTTGCGGTTGCCTTTTTCCGATCTGTCTAGATTTGGAGCTGCGTGTCGTTTTGACTTTGATTCCGAGTCCACTGACTGTGGAACGAGTACACTCTTTTTGGATTTGCCTTTAGTCGGTCCAGCTTCGGCTTCTGCGGAACGTTTATTCTCCTCCCCCTTCTCTTTTTCGACGATCTGGGGATCGATGAATGCCGCGCGTGGTGAATCCGTTTTGCGATAAAGAGTGTAAAGATCATTGAGCGATTCTCCGATATCGATTAGGAATCCAGCAGGGTCCTCTTTGATCTCCATATTTGCCATGTTGACGCGGGCATCTGTTTATTTACCGGTTAGCGAGCGAGCTGTATGACGGTTGGGGGAGGGAGCAGAACTTACGCATATCGCAATCCGTCATATAATACGGGATCTGAGTATCCCAAGCTCCAATCTCCACGTATGCCGCGACGTTAACCAGAGCTAATTTGTCGTAGTTGAAGAATCGCATAGCCCATCTCTTATCCTCGCCACTTGTCTCGTTCTTTTTCATCGCTTCGCGAAGTGAATGGACGCAGTTCATGTACAAAGATTTGAAATCTTTGTACTTATCCGGATCATCCCTCCTCGCGCTCTTGCCAGCTAGAGCTGCTGCGGGAGCTAAATCTTCTTCCTTCTCTTTCTCCTTCCCATCGTCACTCGACTCCGCATCCACAAACCTATCCTCAGAAGACACAGCCACAATATCCATATGTCCCCAGTAATAATGCTTCCAGCCCTTCTCGATCGAGTGGAAGATGTAGTAGTTCTGCAACTGAGCGAAAGAAAACAGAGCTGGCGTAACGAGGACGTTGACGCCGAGGAGGCACAAACGAGTATGGTTGAGGAAGAAAGGGTTTTGCAGAGAGAGGAGTCCTTTGGCATTAGAGTCAAAGACCCCGGTGTTTTCGACGACGTAGATCTAAAGCTGTCAGTTATGTCCGGTTTCCTTTCGATGTCGAGCTGAAGGTAGGTGGAAGGAATAGGACATACATCTTCAGGTGGCCATCCTGCCGTGATATATGAGACGACCACTTGCTGAAGAACTCTCCAGTTTCGCGTGAAGCCAATGAATAGCGGGGTATTCTCGGGGACATGTTTGGTTGGTGGTTTGTTCCATGGCGGGATTGGAGGTAAGTCTTTGGGAAATTGTGCTGCTGCTGCAAGTGGAAAGTTGTCTATTATCGGATCTGGAACGTTCGAGGGTAATGGTTTATATTTGAACTTGTGAGATGGTGTGGCGCTTGCTTGCGCAGGTGATGAAGTAGGAGCTGCTTGAACATTATCCTTTGTTGGTGAGAGTGAAGCTGGACGAGCTGGAACCGAGGCGTGAAGTTTCTCTGTGGCCGTATGAGATAATTCAGGGAACTTTTGTTGGTAACGAAATATTGATACAAGAAAGACAAGGCATATTGAGATGTAAAGCAGGTATTTGTTCCGACGGGAGATCATCTCGTCAACCAAAACAAAGCTTGTTAGGTTAGAGCCTAGACTGTAAAGACATGTAAAGACTAAAGAGAAGACAATTCTGAGAAGGGATGAGAACCAAGAAAGTTATGAGACAGGGAAAGAAGATTAGGGATGAAACAAAAATATGACAGGAATTTGAAAAGCGGCACGGATACTTGCAGATAGGAGAATATCCAAAGCAGAATGTTGCACCATACGAGGGGACCCATTGACGACCCTAGTATTGCGTACATACAACAAGGCAGGGGCAAACAGATGGGTTCTTCGCCGTCATTTGATGTCTCAGACCCATTAGAAAGCTTGGCTGTTAAGAGTACGGTACCAACAAGCTCCAAAGGGCAACTTACGGGGCAAGTAGCTTAGCAGACGTGACAGCTTATCTGCAGGATCCACGTCGCACCGATGGATCTGAAGATCCAGTAATGGAGACGTATCCAGCCTACCAGAGGCTCCTGATTGGATTCAGGCATCTCCATAAATCTCATGCGCAAGAGCCATGCCGTTCCAACGAGTACGAGGTGATACACATTCTATGTGCTTACCGTTGGTCGCATGGCAGTTCCAACCAGCCAAAGATTTGAAGCCCAACAAGTTTCTCAATGTCACTCCTCCTTGACCTCCGCAACATATCGCCCATCAATGTCGAGATAGAGTTCCAGATCCACTCGATAGAGTTCTGATGATAGACCTCTGGGATGGGGATGGGATTGAGATAAAGTTGCGCTATGGCCATCGCTCGACCGCAAGCTCTTAGAGGGCTGTTTTGATGACGACAAGGCATCTGAGCCACGACTTCTCATGTTTTGGAGAATCATTCCAGTCTTATCTTGACTTGTTCCCAAATTTCCAAAAAGTTGTGACTGTACTTCGGTGGTACCTCTGCTTTCGTCCTGATGTGGATCGGGAATGGACTTCCATGTGTGAGAATGGATCACCTCGGCTGCGCCAGCTAGGAACACAGTCACGTGGTTCAAACGGCCTCGAGTTCTCCCTTACCCTAAAGCTTCAAGTAATCGCAATTAATACTTTGACGATCTGTGACTTAGTTTTGGAAATTGTCTTCCATGCGAACCGGTTTATATTGAGCAGTTGGAAGGCGTCGTCAACCATAGCACGTGTTTTCCATCTGCCGCTCTCGCTTCTGACTTCCATTGTCTCAGACAACTTTGCATCTTGGTGCTGGAATCTATGCTGAACTAGTATGGACACTCCACCTTGCTCAGCATGTCGCAGTACTAGTGATGATATTCTCCCATCTCCTGACTACAGTCGTGCACTTGGACGAGGCCTGGAAATTCAAATTGATGACCTTCTCAGTAATGCAGCCTCGGGATGTCAACCTTGTTCCGTGCTTCTCAGTGCTCTCCGGACATTCCAGAATCTATCACCGGACTTTGAGACGAATTACCCGGACAGATACGTGGAAAGCCTATTTGTAAAACGTTCTAATACCGATACCTTGCTTGTTACCTTTGACTGCTCAGGCACGTACGTGGACCACCTGGAGCTCTACAATGAAAGCGGTACGCGTGAAAGAATAAACGGACAAAGATAGAGGCTGGCAGTATATTAACTTCAATTAGGGTCTCAACCTCCTTGGGCTGGCTTGGGATGTAGTGCGGAGATTCCCGAGGAGATCACCCTGGAATCAGCTACGGCTAAAGTTAAGAAGTGGATGTCAGTATGCGCCCAGCACTCTGATTGTCAGGACTTCGGGTCGGATGAGTCCATATTACCAACACGAGTCCTCAATATCAGCGAAGACATAGTTTGTCTGCAAGAGAATGCTGGAAAGACAGGAATATACGCCACGTTAAGTCACTGCTGGGGCACTTCGCAACCTCTTACCACAACCAAAGCTACCTTGCAAGAGCGATGCAATGGCATCAGCTGGAAATCTCTGCCGCAGGTGTTCCAAGATGCCATTTCTCTTACGAGAAATCTTGGAATTGGATATATCTGGATTGACTCACTTTGCATCATCCAAGGAGACGAGGTGGACTGGACCCGAGAGTCCTCAAATATGGTTGCTATATACTCCGACTCATGTATTAACATCGCTGCGACATCTTCTCCTGGAAGCCACGGCAGCTTGTTTGGTTCAAGATGGACGACTCCGATAGCATACGAGACAGATCTAGCAGACATGCCTCAACGACCAGTGAGGTCATACACGATTCCACTGCCAACACAGAGCTCTACTGTCAAGGCTCGCTACAGCTTACGGCCTGCTCATGAACATGTCAAGAGTCTCCACCTCTCAAAAGAGGGAAAACGATCCGATGTCTTTCAGAAAGGCCCCTTATTGACACGAAGTTGGGCTTTTCAGGAACGCATCCTCTCACCTCGGACCATACACTTTCACTCCTCTGAAATGGTATGGGAATGCAATGAGGCTTTCAATTGTGAATGTGGAGAGTTGCTTCAGATTGATCCGGGAGTGTACAGAGGCGCTCTTATCGTCGGGAAACGATGGCGCTACGAGCTGGAGACAGGGCCGGATGAGGGCGATCCGACAGACTCTTACACGCCACTCAACCGATGGCTTGATGGCGTGGAGCTATATTCACGACTTCGAATCACCGACATTACTGACAGACTGCCGGCTTTGGCAGGATTGGCAACCATATTTTCGACTCGGATTCATTCCGAATACGTGGCTGGTCATTGGAAAAGCGATTTACCTCGAAGTCTTTGCTGGAAGGTTGTGGGAGAGGAGAGAGATGGGCCTGAATCTGGCACGCAGATGATCTTTGGGAAAAGGTGTGTTCCATACTGTGCGCCGTCTTGGTCATGGACTTCTGTGGATCTCTCAAGCACTGGCATCGCCACATCTTTCGAGGCACGGATCACATTCGAACATCTCATTATGACCGACTTCGTCCCCGATGAGCGTTTTAAGCTAATCAACGTCCAATGTACAACTGACCCTGTGTCGCCCTTCGGCAAAGTTACCGAAGGCTCTCTCACATTCCATGCGCCAGTACTTCGAACCGGGCTGTATTTGGACGATGCAGCTTTCGATGCTGAATACTACATTGAATTCCCGAACAGACTTCAGCTCGCGGATCTGGATTTCAGCCATGAGCATCTGGAATTTTGCAACTCGAAACGCTCGTTACAAGGCCTCAAAGACGTCAGGGAGCTTCACATTGTCTTGGCCTTGATAGGTACGACGGAAGGGCTCACAGAATCCACGAGAAGAATTCTTGCCTTGATTTTGCAGCCAGTGGCGGGCTTACCAGACAAGTGGGAGCGTATTGGCCTGCTCAAGTGTCCAGAGGAAGATGAGTTCCTCAACGCTGATATTAGCAAGATTGAGATTATCTGAAAGAGAGAGTAGTCCCACATACACAGAGAAATAAGTACGGCCCAACTTTGCCAAAAGAAAAACACTTTGTTTTCAACAAGGTAATTATTTATGTTTCCTAATCTTCTAGTATGCTACTGAGAAAGTCCTCGTTCTATGTCTTTTTAGCTAATCAATCAGAAGATGCGTGCTATCCTCACATCGAGAGGTCTCCTTTCTGGATATGGATATACCAAGTCTTCAGAATCCGCTAAGACCGTCGCCTACACTCTTTCAAGGCCATCATATACTCTTACAGGGACACAGATTCTACTTTATTCGACGTCTCGCATATTAGCTGCATCTTTGCGAATCCCCAGCTTGTTTGATAAACATCGTTTTTGGAACAAGGTTGATAGATCGCTTTGTTGACTTTGATTTCTTGGCGCATTCGCTAGCGACTATAGCAAGAATGCGGAGGTCCAGAGCGTCCGTAAATTTCTATCAATTGACTCCGAGACTGTAAAGACCCATACATGGGTCGTTTTCTGTATGATCTTGAGGGCAAATAGCATGTAGCTGAGGGCTATTTCTGTGTGGGGCGGGAGGATGGGGTTTAGCCTTGTCGAAGGGTGTCCGCGAGAGGGGAAGAGGGGGGCGATATTGTCAAGTCATTCATGGTTAGAAATTGGGGATTGCATGACATGAGAAGAAAATTTGAAGGGTTCAGCATGAAAGTTGGGAAGGAGAGGGGCTCGGTTGCTCGTTCGTATCGCCCAGAGGGGGCGGAAGCCCACGATCTCTTGTGTTGACTTGGTTGATAACTCGTCAAGCCATGCATGAGCCTTGAACTCTGACGCTCCTGACAGATGGTAGTTAATAGCCAATAATTTGGGAACCTAAAGATGTTAGTAATTTCATGCGACCCTGTTGCATTTCTTCTGGGATGCTGCACCTCAAATTTCAACGGATTCATCGCTATTCGATAGCACCATTGATACTTTTTGTCGCAGACACTACCACTATCATATTTGATCAGATTTCAATTTGAATCTAATGTCATTGTAGGCAAAATCAACTTCAAATGTTTACTTTTCCGGCGAGCATCTGTGGCTTGCCAAGCCTTCTGGCCACATCGTGCGGCTGAGAAGCAGCTGAAAACCTCAACCATTTGTCACCATGCGATGCTTCAACCACAATAACCTGAGATGTCACAAATTGATTAGTTCGGTCTCTACTACGCTCAAAGAAATTCATTGATTTGTCGTAGCACAACACAATGCAATGGTAGATTTGGAGCCCTACCAGTATCGCGACCTCCCCACCGACGAGCAGGGAGGCATTTACATTAGGCTCGTGGAATTCCACCCCACAGAGGAACCAACGGGTCTCCCTCCTCCTTGTTCCATCACAGAACATCCACTATCAGATTGTCCAAAATATGAAGCAGTATCCTACTTCTGGGGTCCTCCTATCAACCAGGGACAGATCTTCTGTGATGGCAAAACCATCAACGTCCCCGCTAACCTGCACGCCTTCCTCTCACGCATGAGACTCAAATCAGCCAAAAGGAAATTCTGGATCGATTCTATTTGCATCAACCAATCCAATGACGAGGAGAAATCTTCTCAAGTGGCTGAGATGCGGAATATTTATGCAAAAGCAGGACGGACTCTAGTCTGGCTAGGTGAAGAAGCGGATCTGAGCACCACCGCTCTCAAATTTGCAGCGCGATGTTCAGTCGCTCTGTCAGATCTAGATCCTGAAACGGCCAAGAAGAGATCATTATGGTACCGGTTACGGACCTATTCCGAGTTCTCAGTATTCAGCAACAACTGGTACGCATTCTTCAAGCTCCTCGACCGAGCCTGGTTTCTCCGGGCCTGGATCGTGCAAGAGATCGCGCTATCAACAAACACCAAAGTCCTATGCGGCTCAGCCCTGATAACCTGGAACGAGCTCTACCGTGCATTGTACTATATCATGAACTACCAGACTTGGATCTTTGAGTTTTACGGCAGTCCCCAGATCGAGGTCTTGACGGCGCTGCAGAGTAGCCAGTATGAGATTTCGACAGGAAAGAAGAGGTTGTATTGGCAAGTGCTTGCGCGACATAGGAAGGCGCTGGCCACAAATGAGAGGGATCATGTGTTTGCATACTATGGATTGTCTTCGCATGAGAGTTTCAACGAGCATGAGATTAAGCCGGATTACTCGCAAAGTGTAAGGAGCATATATATGAATGTAGCCGTATCGACGCTGCAAAAGGCGACTAACTTGGATTTCTTGAGTGTTCCCAGGTTGAAGAGAGAAATTGGCGATGTATTGGACTTACCATCCTGGGTCCCAGATTGGGGTCACGCCACGGATCATTGCCAGTCCTTTCTGCTCTTCGAATCCCTGGAAGCAGCAGCAAATGAGAATTTCAAGCTCCCATACTCTGCTTCCAAAGACTCAATCTACACACCCATCATCGACAAATCCCTCAACCACCTCGAAGTCTCCGGCTACATCGTCGACAAGATCTCCCGCGTAAGTAAGCACTGGAAGCTACAAGACACATCCGGCTTCCAATCCCTCCGCAAACAAGCCCTCGTGCTCAAACGCAACCAGGCTTATATCCACGATTGGGAAGCAACCATCAATCTGCGGACCAACCCAAATGCCATCTACCCCACCGGCGAGACGTTGGAAGAAGCTTCCTGGCAGACCTTCGTCGCCGGCCTCGCAGCAGAAAACAAAGACGCCATCCGCCCCCGATATTATAAATTCCGCAAACGACAGCGCTACCTACTATGGATCCACCGATTCGGACTAGACGATTTCCTGGGCATATGGGTGCTAGTGGTCATTATCGGACACATCCTGCGAATTATCGGGATCCCGAACCCAGAGATGGAGTTCAGGGCGTTGACGGCGCAGATGATTAATCGGCGGATAGCGAGGACGGAGAAGGGGTATGTGGGCTTGGTGCCCAGGCTGGCGGAGGAGGGGGATATGGTTGTTTTGCTGGAGGGGGGGAAGTTGCCGTTTGTGGTTAGGATGAAGGACGGTGGGGTGTGGGAGTTTATTGGGGATGCGTATGTGCATGGGATTTCGAGGGGGGAGGTCTGGGATGAGGGGAAGTGTTCGGGGTTGAGGTTGTGTTAGGCCATGAGTATCAAGGGCGAGGGCAGATGGTCTCTGGACGAGGACGCACTAATGGGCGCATTTCTTGATGTTGGCTCTGGCTCTGGATTCCCGAGTCTGAAATGGGACAGGATATGAAGCGTACAGATAACGAATAACAAACTTGTTTCCCTAAGTCACAGAAACAAAAGTATTAGGTACTCCAATACCCGATACCGCGACTTCCGTGTTTACATATGCTCGCTACGACTTCCCGCCTTTCTCCGCTCCCTTACGCCAGCAACAAAAGTGGCGGCTCGAGGGACAAATATCCTTAGCCACCTCGTTAGTCACGATCAACTTAAAAACCTGAAGCAAGATTTAATGTCGGTGATAGATTAGCTTCTCTTCATTAGAACCAACCACTTATGCATGGTCTTTTCCCCCTACAAAGCGCAGAGAGAAAAAGAACGAAGTTCATTGACCCCGTTCTGCTCGTCGCGGCTCAGACAGCCACTTTTCTTTTCGCCGCATAGCTAGGTACCTAGCTAAGGCATGTACCTAAGCTCGGAAGTCAGACCTTGCACTTATTTTCTCACTACATCTCCAACTACCAGTCATCGACTATCCTCTCCTTTCAAACTTCTTTTTCTTCAATCAGCACGCACACGCACAAAAGAAGGAAATAAGCGATAAGTCACAATCGGGGAACACGGCTTCAAACACTATCCAATCAAATCCGAGAGAAAGAACTTTGAATTGTCTCATATGCATCTCGGAATCGGAATATAACCCATTGTCAAAATCTGATATATCTCATATTCACGACGACGCCACAGGCGGCTGTGGCGCAGGATCTCGACCTCGATGTCGGCTGTGGTTGGTTGGTCGATCTTGTTAATGCTAATAATAGAGTGGATGAGTGAAGGTCTTTATGTACAGGGTATCACTGACTATTGAGGATCAAGTTGACAAGACGACGAAGGAAGCAGAAGTGAGTGAATAAATAATATAAGTATTAAGTATGATATAGTATACAACTAGCTAAAAATAAATAGACAGTATACAGTATAGTCGACTGATAAGACGTCGACCCTTTAATCTTGGTTCATCCCAGCAAAAGGTAACGATAAAGGTATCATATCCCAAACCAAACAGGGTATCTCTCTTTCCTTTCCAGCTCCCCCTTTTGTCCCTCTCCAAACGAACCAAACTCCAAACCGACGACAGACAGACCGTAGACCGCAGTCCAAGAAACATCCAAATCCCAAATAATGTAGAAAAAATCCAGCACCCAACCCAATCTAAGCAACCACGTCCCCAGCACCATACATCCTCCCACTCAACAAGCCGAGCAATTTCAACAGCGCACTGGTAAGGAGACTACCGTCCTCGATCTGCTGTCCGAGTCCGGGGAACTTGCCCTCCAACCACTGCTTGAAGATGGTCAAGTCAGGCTGGGTGAAGGTCTTCTTGGCAGCGGGGAGGACACGCGTGCACTCGGTGAGCTGGTTGATGTTGTTGACGCCGAGGAGACTCAGGCGGACGTATTCCTTGGCGTAGTCCTACAGACAGCATGTTAGCAATCTTGTTTATGTAAATCTGTACAAGGGGGGTATCAGAGTGACATACCTCGTCCCAATGCGACTGATCTGTAGCAAACTTGGTCCACTCATCGGAAATTTTGGGGTGGGCAGCGAGCTTGACGTCGCTGGGGAATTTGAAGACTCGCTTGGGAGCAGTGCCGGTTGTCTCGCTGTAGAACTTGACGTCCCAGACACCGGGGGTGCTATCCTGTGGGTCGAAGTTGCGCTTTGGGTCGACGAAGTGTTGCTGGCTGGTAGTGTGTGCGCCGACGAGGGCAGCCAGTCCATGGGCCTTGATGGTCTTGTTCTCGAAGAGCTCGATCAGGGAGTCGGCGTCGGCGAAGACGCTGGGGAGGAGGTTGTCCGCATTGGGGACGTTGCTGTCTGGACGGCCGACGAAGGTGCGGACTCGTGGGCCGAGTGGGCAGACGACTGTTGCGACGTTGGCGCCCATCTGGATTAGGTCTGCCATGCCTACTCCGTACTTCTTGTAGCTGTTATACCAGGCTAGTGTGACTCTGGAGATATCTTGTAGGCCGTTGTTCTCTGGACGGCCACCTTCGTTGGCGAGGATTATACTTCCGTCTGCGCCGCCGAAGCCTGTCGTTTTGGACCAGGTACCTGCATCATGGAAACCGAGACGAACGGCTGCCCGGGCGAAACGATTGCAACGACCTGCAGTGCCCTTGAACTTGGCCTCCATATCTTGTGCGATCCATTTCCAAATACAGCAAGTATCCTTTTTGCAAAGTGCAGAGCCTTTGGGTGGAAGGGAGCCTACCCATGGCTCATCCGTGTAAGGGTCGACGGTGCCAAGCAGAATATTCTGGACGGTCTGTCCGACTGGAGTGACAGCTCCGACGGTAGCAAGGTCTCCAATCATTTCATCTGAGTCCCCGGCTCCAGGCACATCAACAGCTCCAGGCACATCGTTGGCTCCAGGCACATCTTGTCGAGCCTTGAGTTTCCTCTGAAGATCCGCCATAGCCTTTTCCTGGCCTGGGCATGCTATTGTGGAGGCGACGAGGCTGGCGCTGAGAAGGAGAGTTGCGAACTTCATGGTGGAATGATGTGAAGTGAAAGTCTGTATAACGAGTGTAGTGTAATAGTGACAGTGGCTTCAGGAACGGATGCAAGCCACAAGTGAAGCCACACTTTTTAGAAGGTAGAATGAGAAGAATGTGGGAGAATGATGATGCTGGGAACCACATCATGCAGCGCGACAGCGTCCTTTTATGAAGTTTGACACATCGAGACCATCATGCTCTGAGAAACAAACAACCGAGCTACTCCGCGCAATTGGGAAGTCGTTCGATAGTCAGGACCCCAGAAGCCCTACACTGCATGGCCGGGCCGCCCAGATACGAGCCGCACTGACTGACTGATCTAGAATAAGACAATACATGTCAAAAAGAGAGAAAAAGGCTTGGTATTTGAAGTCTAAACCCTACAGATTCGGAAGTCTTTCATTTAGTGGTGACACTTGGGGCGCCGACGGGGCGACCGTGTGGCCAGAAAAGTCCCTTGTCCGCAGTCCCAAGCTAAGAAGGGGACCTGACTTGGGCCTGGATTGCTGTCAACAAGGTGGTGCTCTAGCGAGGGTGGGCTTGCCACGGGCCCAGAGCCGCTGGGCTTGGCGCAACTTCTGAGCCAAGCAACATCAAAGCTGCGATGAATTAATACGATATTTCAACCCCGAAGAAGGAAAGAATGATTTGGTATTCGGACAGGGACAGGCCATAACGGAGCACCTGACCAAGATGCAAAATGTGATTTCTGAGCTCAGGCCGAATAGCTTGTATCACCATCGAGTTGCTCGAGCTCTTGACTGAGATGATCGCCAGCGAAGCGACAAAGCGAGGCTATTCGCAGATGTGGGGATATCCCGGAGAAGGATCAAAGAAAAAATAGTATGACATGCGGCCAATCATAACCAAAGGATTGACAACAAGAAGCCAAACTTCATCCTTTCTCGTACCCAAATAATCCCGGCCTCGGTTCACTGTCTCAGTCCCTGAGCTGCACTGCCAGCTCGAAATTGGGTGGGCGAGAACCGAGAGCCTGGTCCAGACACTAGTCTAGCCCGCCTCCGGGAGTGGACTGGCCAATGGAATGATGTTGACCTGATATCAGAGGGCTTGGGGACTACTGCAGAGCTTAACCTTAAAAGCACAAAACGACAAGCTTTCCGGGTTGAGCTGAAAATAAGACGGCTGGCAGGCCCTCCGAAAGAAAAAAGGACTCTTGCGCTCGAGGACTTGGATTATCTCGAAGAGGAGCGAGCACGCGGAGGTCCGATTCTGTGCTGTGGCCGGATATCTTTGTAGCATAGCAGGAAGATTCGCAGAATTTAGTAATCCTCGTCTTGACACTTTGAGTCCGTGGTGAGAATTAGTGTCTGTCAGACTGTAAAGTCGAGAGCACAATGCAGGAGAAGTCTCCGTATCTGTACAACAAGTAGGCGACCGCTGCTTAGTAACAGAAAGTCTCCGAATAATGGGACGAAGTCGAGACGCTTCGGTTGGTACCGAAGACATGCTCCCTCAAGGCTGAAGATGCGAAGGAATCTGCAGACTTTCGGAAACGGGAACGGGGTGCTGGGTGAGATTTGTATGTGCTGGCACGATGACTGAGGTCATGCATGATGGAACGTCGTCGAGAATGATCTCTGATCGACAAAATGTCTCAGTTGGTCACCGAGGAATGCTGATTGAAGGTTTCTGTAGCGAACTTGGCAGCCTGACTGCCGTGTTAGTGGTCAGTTGACATGGGCTCGACGGATTTCCCCACAAACAAAGACCAGATCCTGGAGGTGGTGCTCTCACCCGCAAGACAACCAAGACGAGAATAAATCTGCGGGAGAGGAAGCGCTCAATACTGCTCACCAAAGTAAGCATTTGCATCCAGCGGTGAAGATGCGCCGATGCTAGGCAATAAATGGATGAGCAGCAGTATGCAAGGCTCAGCATTTCGTATTCCAGCCGTGGTCAACAAATCCTTCGGATGGATGTCACTGGCAATTACAATCGCCACATCGTACACAATCCTGCTTGCAATATTGGTCCTCTGTTTCTTTCAGATTTCAAGCATGCAGGTGGAAGTAGGCTCATGATTCTCAGATCTATTTCGAGGTAGGAAGCGTACGGTGGATTTAGACCGAGAACTCACCTAGGTTTCTGGATTGTCAACCTCTGAACCCACCATTCATTGGACCCCTGGCATTCTGCCCAGTGCAAGCATTTGATATTTCGAGCTCCGCATCCTCGTTGCATCGATCCGCTTTTCGATCCCGTTTCGAATATGCGCAACAATGTCACACTTCTCTACTTCTCTCTATCAATTCTCAGCCACTTCTTCACTTGAACTCGATCCCAACTCCTTATGTCCAAGACCCAGGTGCACATGAAAAGGCTGGCCAAAGGCTAACCACCTTGACACCTATTTGGCCCCCCGGACGGCCAGGACAATGAGTTGTATAAAGTCCACGAATTTGTTTCTCCCTCTGCAGCTTGATATAATCTGCAATTCTTCGGCTGCGTTCACACATTAGAAGACAAGTCTCCTCTATGCGACGGTCTTCTCGTGGCTACTTCGACAGCCTCCTCGAAACCGCCATAGTTGCAACTCTTTCGGTCGCCGACACGTCTGCGAGAACACCATCGGGTACACAAAGCAATCGACCCGTATCAATGAGCTACCGAGGGCAAGGTGCGATCGTCTCAGGACAATGGCGCGATACTCCTGGGGATAGAGAGGTGATCGTCCAAAGCGTCATGCGTACGGAAGATTCTCTGCGGTGCGCCACGCTCTGGCGGTGGGGGCAGTGTGCTAGGGCTCGAGAACATGGAAGTAAGTTTCTCATGCAGGAATATCGAGCTCAATCGAGTGCTTCGAGTGTGGATTCAAGGATGCAACGGTGGCTTCGAAGCCGCCCCAGCATTAACTGCTGACGGCCTGATCCGATGCCTCAACTTTTCTCCTTCATATTTATTTGCTTAGATTTCCCATTGTGCCATCAATCGACGCTGCAGCTTCTGTCTCCTCTAGAAATCGATGGCGTGGGAACCTGCTTCTCGGCGAGAAATGCTGCCGTGTGTAGACCCCTGGCGTTTGCAGGCAGTATTTCCGTATACGCAAGCGTAGCAAGTGGCTTTGTTGATTCCATCGAATAATGCTGTACTTGAGAAGGACTGCTTCGAGGTTGAGATACAAGTGCATCAACGATGCAACGTCGCTACGGAGCTTTCAAACGTGCTTTGAAGAAACCGTGGGGTGCGCGTCCAAGCCACCTTGTCACGATGTCACGCCGCCACGTGTTTTCCCTGTCATGGTCTTCCTCCCGTCCCATCGCTTGCATGCTCATCCAGACATTACAAAATCTCTTAATTGAAACAATCAATTGGTTGCACTCTCTTGTGAGATATTATTCTCATATGAAGACACAACTGTCAGGTGCCAAGAGATGTAACATTCAGCTGCCAAGCTAGGTAAATCCTCTGAAAACTCTTCTTATTCTTGACCGTCCTTCCTGAGGATGGTCTCGGAGCAGTTTTCATCGTGGTAAGGAGATGAGATGGCAGAACCTCATGATACACTTCCCAATGTGGAAGGACTAACCCTAGATCAAGGCGTCGGTGATAGCACCGTCCCCGTCCCAGAGGCGCTCCCCGCCATAGCAAACTCCAAATTCTGCAATACCTGCCACCTGCTCTCAATCTACATCACAACGCTCGAATCCTTCCTCTCACAGAACGTTGACCTCCCAGCACAGTACTCCAATAACACTACTGCCTCCCTTGGTCCTCGCTCAGAATTCGAGGAACGAGCTGAAGTTCAGGGTTGTCGAGGCTGCAAGTCCATCTTGAAGGCACTGGATTGGTATTTGGAGAGCGGGGATGATGCTGAATTGAAGAGTGGTAATGTGAGAGAAAAGATTGGTGAGGGGAAGGATTATGAGATCAATCTGGTGGTGAAAGTGAGTAATAGGGACAGTGCGTGGGCGAAGCCATTGAGTATCACTGCGCTGGGACTTCCGGTATGTGTGGCCATTATTCAAGCTTGACGTACTTAGTGAAAGAGAAACCTCCATCTAATAGTCTTGTAGGGTCTTCAACTCCAGCCTACAACAAAATACCCTCCCAGGCAAGAACTCGGACGAGTCTGTGATCCAGACCGTCTCGATTACTCCTTGCTCAAGAAATGGATATCATGCTGTGAAGAATCTCACGATTACTGCAAAGATTCAGTGCTCTCTACACATCTTGGTCCTACCACGCCAGTCAACTACATCGATCTCGAGCAGTATTGTCTAGTAGCTTTCTCCTCAGCACCAAGATATGCAGCACTCAGCTATGTCTGGGGCCGAGTCTCGACATTGATGACAGTGAAAGATAACCTCGAGGAATTAAGCCAGCCCGAAGCTTTTACCAAGAAAGCAGATCAGATTCCTAGGACGATCCGAGATGCTATGGTTCTTACTCGTGAGCTCGGGATTCGATATCTCTGGGTTGATGCACTGTGTATCGTGCAGGATGATTTTGAAATGAAGTATGATCATCTCCGGGGTATGCCATCGATCTACGCACTTGCGGTATTTACTCTCGCTATAACAGACGGCATGGATGCCAATAGTGGGATCCCAGGTGTAGGAATTAACCCAATCCTACGAACTGTACCGTCTGTCATAACATTACCTACAAAGACCGTAACGGTCTTCTCATCCACCCACCACGCACGGCTCAAATACCTCACAAGAATGGGCTTCTCCTCCCGCCCCATCTGGTCCACACGCGCCTGGACAATGCAAGAACAGATCTTCTCTCTCCGCACCCTTCTGCTCTCCTCCTCCTTGACCGCCTTTCTCTGTCCCTCAACGCAATATCTCGAAGAGGTCGAACGACCCAGCGAATCGCATTCCTGGGCCAAATCAGAAAGTTTCAAGCCCGATCAGAGATACGACCTTGTCCTTCCACGGACAGTCAATTTACGTCCGCTGGGGAGATTGGTGCAGGAGTATAACCAGAGGGAATTATCCTTTGAGGAGGATGTCTCGGATGCGTTTCTAGGCATAGCAGAGTTGAATGAGGAGGTTTTCGGGCCGATGTTTTGGGGTATACCCGAGTCGTTTTTTGATGCGGGGATGTGTTGGTTGCCATCTCCTGGTTTAAGGCTGAGAAGGCCAACGAATCCGGAGAGAAAGGTGCCGAGTTGGAGTTGGATGGGGTGGTTTGGTGAATTGGATCTGAAGCTATGGGATGTGTTTCAGGATCATATTCTGGAGAATTTTGGGGACGAAAAGAGGATTCCGGTCGTAGGGTTTGGGATGCGAGTTGAGCCGTTAGTGAAGTATCACAACTCGTGTATCACTTGTGGGAAGAAATTCCCTATTTCGAATTCTTACCATGAGTCTCGGAGCTGGGCTGAGTCTGAGTCCAGAGCTGGGAGAGCAGATAGGTCTGGAATTGAGGATGGCATCAGGAAAGGAGAAGTAAACCAAATCCCAGAAGGCTGGACACGACACAGCTCACCTCCAACATGGCCAACTACACTCCCATCCTCATACTACCACCGCGATTCCGAACCCTCATCCTACAAAACCCTCTACCGCTACCCACTCGTTCATCCCCCTCGCAACCCAGCACACCACCACACTTGCCCCACACCTCGCTTCTCCAGCACGCTCTCCTTCCGCGCCACTCGACTCTTCCTCACCATCTCCGTCTCCTCATTCTGTGTACTCGAGCAAGACTGGAAGAAGGAACACTCGGTGGTTGAAGGGGATATTCTGGATGGACGTGGCGCAAGAATAGGGACTGTGAGTGTCCTCGATATGCCAGTTGGGAGTATGGTGCAGGGTTGTGAGTTTGTGGCTATTTCGAGGGGGAGGTGTCCAGTGAGGAGGGAAGATGGCGAGAAGTGGGGTGGGAGTTGGGTTGGGGGGAGGGCACATCCTTTAAGGGGGGATGTGGATGCTGATTTGAAAGGAGGTGGGGATGGTGATGGGGAGGGGATGTATGAGTGGGTTAATGTGCTTTGGGTTGAGAGTAGTGAAGGAGAGACGGGTGGGGTGGTGTATAGGAGAGGTTTGGGGAGAGTAGGGAGGAGGGAATGGGAGGTTGGTGTTGAGAAGCTGGGTGGAGAGAGGGAAGTTGATATTGTGCTCGGATAGGAGGAAGAAGATATACGCTGTATATGTATGTAAGTACCTTTGTACCTTCGTACCTCCTACACGTGATACGCAAGGTACACAGGTACTTAAGGTAGATACCTAGCTACCTATTCACATGTCCACCTTCCTCCTCTTTCTCTCCCCTCACCTACCTACTTAGGTACCTAGGTATCCCCTACCCCTTCTCAATCACATGAAAACAGATCACCATATTTCACGCAACTCACCTCACCCCAGTCAGCCTCTACTCCGCAGTTTCCCCATCCAAGCACCTGCAATGCATTACATCACATCACCTCACATCACCTCACCTCAAAATCACAAACTAATCTATGAAGGTAAATCCATAGCACGTGTATTAAGGTACAGTACAGAATGCGTTGAACTGCATGCATACGTACATGTATGCATGCTGCACTGCATTACACCATCCAGCGAAAATTACCCATACCTACCCGGTTCCGCAAGCGAGAGAAGACACGCAGACACGACGCGATAAGACGACGGGAAGGAGCTGAGAGAGAGAAAGTAAGATTGAGGATGGAGTGGGATGTGAGTGTGAGGTGTGAGGGGTGAGGCGTGTGATCTTGAGCCGCAGGAACTGTCGTTTATGAGATATGACAGATTGCTGGATGATTAGAGATGCACCAAAAAAGAGGCCTTTACAACAGATACAGATAGATCAAAGTGAAGCCAGAATACAGCGGGCTTCATTCACTCACAAACTCTTCAGAACTTTTTTGCAAATCCGAGAACAAGTACAAGAACAACATCGTACACAGGGGAGTTAAGAAAGAAGAAAGAAGATATCTCTTCTCGTTTCAGAACACCACTGGCTGATGTTTTCACGTAAATCTACATTGCTTTTCGTGAGGTTTCTACGACCAAGACCAGGTTTGTTGGAATTTACTTACCAGATGATACGATATAAGTTGAGATGAGCTGAGAAGAGAAGAGATATCTGCCTCATGCCATCCGCCATACTCATTTGTCCTTCCGAGCATTCATTTCCTCCCGTTCCTCAACCTCACCTCACCTCGAATGCAGATTTGGACTCGAGAAGACATCATCAGTATACAGATAAGTCGAGATGGATAATAGAAAGCAAAACAAACAAAACAAAACAAAACAAAACAAACACCCCCTCCCCACCCCCCAACCATCCCCCTTCCTATTTCCAAGTTGATACGAGATAGATACTTGTACTCCCGACCCCGACAATAAACCACGATCTCGACTAGTCCTTCCTGCCTGAGTGGCCTCCTCCGGGGTGGCGGCCCTTTTTTATTGACCGGCAGGCAGGTAGGCAGGTAGGTAAATACGAAATAATATACGATTCGTTCCGTGCCGAGAAAGTACGTTCCGTGCAGGGTTTTGAGTTTGAGAGTTTATTGTAGACAAGTACCTCCGTAGAGGAGAGCAGAATAGAGTAGTGGTGGAAGAGAGGAGATGGAGTAAGGTAAGTTAGAGCGGGACGGACAGACGAGCCGGGGAGCCGTGAGTCGTGGGCTGTGGGTTTGTCTTGCCTTGCCGTGTTGTGACTTGTGACTTGTGATCTTTGAGGGGGAGTGGTTGAGTTGAGTTGAGTTCGCACTTTCTACAAGCTGGAGGTGGGTAAATTTCCAATTCTGAAGGGGCATTAGGTGTTAGAAATACCTCAGCGCTGAGGTGAGACCTGTGTGTGAAGGTTTTTTTTTTTTCGGTTTATCGAGGAGAGAATTGGAGAGAGTAAGTTAAGTAAGTAAGTTATTTATCAATCAAATCAGACGATTCAGATATAGATGAACTGCGAGCCTCCCCTCCCCTCCCATACTGCACTGGGACGGACGGACTGCACACACTCTTACAGTAGCATCGACATCGACATCGATATCCAGATCCAAACCCCGATCGGAGAATTTCTCCCTTCCCTTCCCTTCCCTTCTCTTCCCGTCCGTTCATCCATAAGTTACGAACAAGATGTTGAGCATGCATGCCCATCCCAAACAAACCAGCCATGCCGTATTTACCTAACTAGGGTTGTTGGGACACACAGAAAGCGAACTTTCACATGTCAATCACTGTACTGTGGTGTGGTGTGGCTGGTGAGTTCCATTTATTAAAGAGGGCACGGACTAGGCGGGTTGCGGGCGGATCGATCCAGTCCAAGCTCAGGGGGCAGGCTGTGGATCACTGGATGTGGATGTGGATGTGGATAGGGTAGAGGGGCGAGATTTTGATAGGGGTCTTTGAAAGAAATAATGCATGTGAAAGTGGGCTGGGCTGGGGAGTGAGGTAGGTAGGTAAGTAAGGTAAGTCAGTAAACAAGTCTCGTATATGAGAGAAGAGGTTGTATTGTGTCGTATCGTACAGGAGTAGATAAACCCACCTGAGAATAGACCAAGAACAGATTCTTCAACGAGCTCCTCGTGTACAGGCAGTACGTAAGGTACGAGAACAGTGATGAAACCCCGTTTATGCATGCCATGCACGATTATATCTACCTACCTACCTTACTGTAGCTACAGCATTAGACTACCCCAGCTATGTAACATAAAAGCCAAAAATCTAACCTTGGAAAACTCTCAACAAGGTCAGGGAATTGAGGTTTGAGTTTTTCTCTTCGGAGGAGGAGCAAGTGAGATGTAGTAGAGGTTATTGGTTGGAGTGAAGGGCTAGGAGGGAGAGCTCCGATGGGGGAATCGAGATCTTTGATTCGTGTTTTTGGGGATTGGGGGAGGTGAGTTCAGGTGAGGTGAGATGAGGTATGAGGTAATGGGATTCAAACACTTAGACTAAGATAGGGGAGAGGGAAGCTGGTTTTGAAAGTAAGTCCTACCTTAGGTGAAAGAGTGAGTGATGATGGATGGATGAGAGCGGGAGGGAAGAGATAAGCAAGCGAGGGGAGCAAGGCAGGGCTGGCGATAAGGGGTTTGATAAGCCCATGCTGGTTTCAAGTTCTTAGGCATGAGGACTTGCCACATTCTGGGAGGATGCAGTAAATGTCTGGCTGAATAGAGATGGGTGGGGATGATTTATATCTTCAGAATAAACTCCGCGAAGAATCAGATAAGAAGAGAATGACTTAGATTTCGAAATGAGGTTAAATGTTGAGAGCAGACCAGAACGTGAACATTGAAAAAAAGTTCCAGAAATGACGACAACTACTTTCACATGTCAAACGCCAACAATGGAAGACCCCCCCAACAGCTCTAAATCAGCTCCATCCCTGCACGCATCCAACCAGATCCACAAAAACTCTCACGTCGTGCGCGCACTGGGATCCTCTCCTCTGTCGCCCTTCCCAAGTTCCCTGATTCCCACTCTCTCCTCCCTCCCTCGCCTCGTCACCGTTGAGTGCATGCAGGGGATGGAATGAAGATTCATCTTCTCCATTGGCTGATCCTCACCTTGGGAACGTGGATGCCAGCCTGTGATTGGGAGGGGGGCTAGAGCAGCAGCGCAATTCCGTTGAATTGGATGTCTGGTCGTGGGCCCGTGGACACGCCACATGTTTGCGACAGACCGCAGGAAGGGAAGGGAAGGGAAGGGAAAGCACCAAACTCCCGAAGGGGAAGGGGACCAGAGCAAGGTACTCGTAGGTAGACCCAGACCCAGACCCAGACTCACATGCAAAAAAGGACATCCCTCCTTCCCCTTCCCTTCCCTTCCCTTCACTACTACCGTATGAACAAGGCCAAGCTGTGGCGCACACATACCATGGCCACCTCTCCCACGTCTCCTGCCTCTCCCTACCTTTCCCTAGCTCCTCCCTTCCTTCCCTCTTATTAACCTCTCCACCACCACCAGCTTCTCTCCTCTTTGACCTTCTGACCACCCGAACATTTCTGCCAGAAGAAAAGAAGAAGAAAAGTCAATCCGTGCACACACATCCACATACACTTCCACATCTATACATTGCTACCAGTGTAACCCTGACACCACGGGAGATATCGATCGATCCATCCATCTATCACAAGTAAGTGTGTTTTTTGTCTTCCGTTTGTCTGCTGATAGGATGTTGTGGATGTGGACCCCGCGTCATGGGGTTGAGGGCTATATGCAAGGCACAGCAGAGGCAATCAGCTGCTGTGCTGCATCTGCGACGACAAGACACAGGTGGAAATGATCAAGAATGAAGATACTGTCAGAAAAGAATACGAGCTGACTCTCTATCATAGAAGCTTAACCCCCTACACACCCACAAAATGGCACCTCAAGTCAACGGCGAGGCTCCTTCCTCTGCATTCCTCAGCGTACGTCTACCTCCCCAACTCCACCCCATACCACAAATCAACCCCATACTAACCCACCCCCCACAGCATCTCATCTCCTACCCCGTAATCAGCGACTCCATCTCCACCTTCAAATCCAACCCCTACGGCGCCAAATCCCTCTCCCTCACCACGTCCATCTCGCACAAGCTCGCCGACCCCCTCCTCCCCTACCTCTCCAAACCCTACCAATACGTCTCTCCCTACATCACCAAGGCCGACTCCCTCGGCGACTCCACCCTCTCAACCATTGACTCCAAGTTCCCCGTCGTCAAGAAGCCCACCGGCGAGCTAATCGACAATGGCAAGGCGATTATCTTCTTCCCGCTAAAGAAGGGGAGCGAGGGAAAGGAGTACGTCGTTGGCGTGTATGGCAGTGAGTGTAAGAAGGTGGGCGGCGAGGGCATCGTTACGTGGGGGAAGGCGGCGATTGCGACGGGACTGGTGGTTGGTGGGGATGCGTATGGCTGGCTGAGTGGGGTTTTGGCGGGGAAGAAGGCGGAGGTTAAGGAGGTTAGTAATGAGAAGTTGAATAACTAGGGGGTGTTTGATATTCGATATTCGATATTCGTTGGGTGCAAGAGCTCATGTGTAAGGAGAGGAGGGGGAAGACAGCGGAGGTTTGTTGATAATTGACGGTGGATAAACGGACGGACAAGATGATACCCCGAACGAGACTTTAACGGACTGTTTGGAGATTAAGATAAGATACGAGAAAGAAAGACAGAACGGATGGATACGTGGATTAATTAAACATTACTTTTTTTTCTCGAGAGCGTAGGGTACTTGAGGCACAATGGAAGCGCGCTGATGGTAAGGAAATGGAAAATGCAAAATACAAATGCAAATGGGGTTGGGTTGGGTTGGGTTTGATTCGGATTGGAGTATTACAGACGGACAGGAGAGAGGAAGAGGGAGACAAAAAAAAACACATATAAATGACTTGTTCCTTTTCTTATTACTTACTTACTTTTACTTTACTTTTATATTATATTACACTTTTTGGAGAGGAAGACTTGGCTTCTTGGAGTGAAAAGGATTAGTGTATCTTGTTCATCTTCCTTGTTATGTCATGTCATGAAGTAGGTGTTCGTCCTCCTAACTCATTCACTCATTCGCTCACTCACTCACTCACTCACATGCATTCCTCTCTCCCTTCTGCTCTGCTCTTTCTTACTTACATCCTTCCTTCCCGTATCCTCTTCCTTCCCGTATCCTCTTCCTTCCCGTATCCTCTTCCTTCCCTTATCCTCCCTCCTCCTTCCCTCATCTATCCTCCTCATTCTCATATGATTGAGTATAAGTTATATCATCACCAAACATAGCTACATTCCAAATCCCTGTTACTGCTTCAAACTTCCACCGGTGTTCGGAGCATGGTATCTAGGTAGCTAGGTAGCTAAGTAAGGTAAGTAAGGTATCAATGGATCGGTCGGTTCTTTCCTGAGATGTATCTATCCCCTCTAGAGTAATAAGGGGTAGTGTTGTCTAGGTACCTACCTACCTAGGCAAGTACCTACCGTAGGGGGGAGCGCGGGACTGAGTAGGTACACTATTATACCTACAATTGTTGCGCAGTCGATAAGGTAGTCAAGTTACCGTCTGGGGACTGTTAATATTTTTCTAGGTAGGTAACTGTTTTTTTGGCGATTAATTTTTAATTTGACTGTTCTAGGACAGAGTACCCAGGGCAGGCAGCACTTTCCTTCAAGGCAGGTAGGTTAAAGGAACATGTACACTCACGTGACGCGATCATTCGACATTGCCCAGGTATCCCATTCGTCACTTCAAGATATTTTGGTTATGGGTTATGGATCATGGAGTTTTATCATCAAATATAGTTTTATGCTTTATTTGAGCGGTGAGTTTATTGTTATTGTCTGGGAAGGGACTCTGACCTGCTCTGAACTGGTTGGTTTCTGATCTGGAGTGTCTTACCTCATGGCGATTTGGGTTTTGGTTTAGGGGAATATATTGCTGGGAGGGAGTCTTTTGGGAAGGGAAGCAGGAGGACTTGATCAGATCAGATCAGATCAAAACAGATGAAATTAGTTCGTTCGTTCGTTTGTTTGTAAATTTGGTTTTGGGAGAAGATAAAGAGCGTTTGGGATCATTGTCCATTGATCGTCGTTTGTGGGTCGGCTCTAATACTGTATATATTTTTGTTTTGGGATTTCTATGTTGACAGGCGGCAATGGTATGGTTGTATTGGCGGAGGGTGTTTTGATGAGCTTTTGGGATTCGACATGCAAGTGTTTGAACAAAGAACGCACTCCAAAGGCATACATACTCCTGCGAGATCCCCCCGTGGAAAGTGCGTATCCCTACATGAGTTTCAAGGTAACCTGCAGAAATCTCCCACATTTCAGGAAGTTCAGTCCATTTGGTTCGCTTCCTTCCTTCCTTAAAGTGAGAGCTTGCACGTAACTTGATCCCTAGAAAAAAAGCTCCAATTTTTGAGACTCAAGGGAAAAAAAACATGGCAGCCCGTTCTGCTAATCAGTCACTACTTCCGTGCGGCCAATACAAGAAGCGGTAGCCAACCCTTCACCGTGTAGCAAGACCGCTACAAGTGTCTGCTCAACCTGCCATCTCGTTTCAAGTAAGAGAGCTATATAATTCAACTATCATCTGAATTGCCAACATCCTACTTGGAAACTCAACCTAACAAAATCCATCACAGTACTGCAGCAAAGAATGTCTATGCGCACACGGGAGAGTCCACAAATCCGACTGCCGATCTTCCATAACGAAAACAAACCTGGAAGCCAGCCTGGGAAGTCGAGAAGCGAGCGCCCAGCTTCATAGCTGGCAACAATGCCCCACTCATGTCATCTCATGGACAGCGCAAGAACCACTGGGGAAAAGCCCCTGCTTTCTATATCTTGAATCTCAAGCAGAATGAGGGACTGGATATTTCTGCCGATTTAAGATTGTTCTTCGCAGGTATGTGAACGGATCTTTTTTGTTTCGTTTTGTTTGTTCAGGCTTGATTTGGTCCGATCTAATGTTTGATATTTCAGCTTCCGGAGACTTGAGAAATGTCGTCAAGACAGTCACGGAGTTCCGTTTGGCTTGGCTCTCGGAAAATGTCTCTCTGTGGCCTCGACACATTTGAGTAGTTGTAAGCGCGATATCGATTTTGGACGAATGAGAAGTGTCGGGTCGTAGCGAGCTTAGTGTTTCTCCTTGGCTGGTAGCTCGTATGCGAGAGTGACCTATGTCAGGAAGGTAGGGCTGACAGGTCTTTACTGTTCTTGTTTGAATCTCAGTTTTGACTGGGTAAGCTTCCCGACGGAATAGCCTACTTCCTCAAAACAATTCTTGTACATTCAAATATTGCAAAGCTGAACTTCTTTCTGTTCTTTCATATGATTTTACTTTACAGTTAGACCTTGGATTTCTCAAAATCATCGAAAATGGCTACTCTTGATCTCCCTGCTCTTTGCTCTCTCGAGGAATTCCTCAAGCATGACTATGACTTCATTGTGGTCGGTGGTGGAACGGCTGGGCTCACTGTCGCGGCAAGGTTGACAGAAAATGCCAATATCAAAGTTGGTGTTCTTGAGGCAGGGGCAGCTAACATTGGAGACCCGATGATTATGATGCCAGCTCTATACCCCAAGATTATTGGAGATCCAAAATACGATTGGGTGCATTATAGTGTTCCACAGGTAGATTGACAGAAACACTTCTTCATCTATCAGAAAGACTTGCTGATCCATGATGCAGAAACATCTGAGCGATCCAACCCCCTTCCAGCAACCTCGTGGTAAAGGTCTGGGGGGTTCATCTGCCATCAACTACCAAATGTACGTTCGCGGCCATGCCTCAGACTACGACGATGTAAGTTTCCAGTATCCAAATCACTCAAGACTTCAGCTAACTAAGACTTGCAAGTGGGCAAATCTCGGCAACAAAGGCTGGTCATTCAAAGACCTTCTCCCGTATTTCAAAAAGCACGAACATTTCGACGATCCCGCAAACTACAAGAACAAGTCCAACATTCCACTTGAAACCAAATACGATGCCGGATTCCACGGCCGTGATGGCCCAATTCACACCAGTTTCTCGACTTGGCGTCTCCCACAAGAGCGTGAATGGATCGCGGCAGCTTCAGCGCTTGGTGATAAGATGGGTAGTCCTATGAATGCGTGGAGTGGCGATCATCTCGGCACGTATCATTCGCTGAGTACTATTGATCGCAGTGGTGGAGAGGCGGACGGTACGAGAAGTTATGCTGTCACGGGTTACTTGCTTCCGAATGCACAACGGCCGAACTTGAGGGTATTGACAGAGGCTTTGGTCGAGAGGTTGGTGGTTAGTCCGGATGGCACTGTTTCTGGAGTTGAGTTTGAGCATGGTGGGAAGTCCCATAAGGTGAATGTGAAGAAAGAAGTTGTTCTGAGTGCTGGTGTGGTAAGTTGACTTCCTATTTCAAGCCCCAAGTTTACTAGTCCGCGCTCGCTACCCCTATCATTTATCAACAAAGCCACTGACACACGAGAACAGGTCAAAACACCTCAAATCCTCGAACTCTCCGGCATCGGAAACCCTTCAATCCTCACCGCAGCCGGTATCAAACCCACCGTCGAAAACCCCCGCATAGGAGAGAACTTCCATGACCATCCAGTGACAGGCTTCGGCTACGAACTCGCAGAAGGAGAACAATCACTCGACGCAATGCAGGATCCTGCATACGTCCAAACTGTCATGGCCGAATACGCATCCACCCGCAATGGGCCTCTCTCCACGGGTGGTGCAGCCATGGGATTCGTCTCATACGCCGACCTCGCCACGCCGTCCGAAATCTCCGCTTTGCAAGACCTGATACTTTCCCCATCTCACGGCGGACACACCGACGAAGCGAAACAGCTCCTCGCCAAAGGCATTGCGTCGAAAGATGAAGCGAGCATCCAAATCGGGTTGATCCCCGCGAGTATAAACCTCAAAGAGGCACGCGATCAGACGAAGGCTCTCGCCCCGCCGCCAGACATGGTTGGTAAACACGGATTTATGTTTTTCGTGAGCATGGCGCGTCCTCTATCTGTTGGGACCGTCCATATCAAATCCTCGGACCCAAAGGTTGATCCTGAGATCGATCCGGCGTACTTGTCTCATCCGGCGGATATCGAGGTCTTTGCTAAAGGCATGGCTGTAGCGGACAAGATTGTCAATACCAGTCCGTTCAGGGAGAAGATTAAGCGGAGGTATCATCCTGATGGTCCGCTTGATTTGAGTGATAGGAATGCAGTCGAGATGTATCTGCGTGGCAATGTTTCGACGCAGTATCATCCTTTGGGCTCGTGTGCGATGGGTAAGGAGGGTGTTGGAGCTGTGGATGATAGGTTGAAGGTGTATGGGTGTAAGGGGGTGAGGGTTGTTGATGCAAGCGTGATTCCGCTTCATGTGAGCGGAAATATCGTTGCGACTGTTTATGCGCTTGCTGAGAAAGGGGCGGATCTGATTAAGGAGGATTGGAAGCTGTGATCTTGATAAAAGTTGGAGGTCGTCAATGCGGCTTGTAGCTTGTACGGAGATGTGGAGCTTCGATCGATGTTTTATGACATTATCTGCCTTTCAGTTGTTCGTGGTCTTATTTCACCCTGTTTACTGGACGTTTGAGAAAATACCTTCTACTCTTTTTTATGTCTCCTGATCTTAGCTTCGTATCTTTCAATCATCTTTCAGTTTTTCCAGAGCCAGCAACGATGCCCGTTGAAGAAACCTACACATGTTTCCTAGATCGTGTTTCTCAGGAAGCACATGCTCGAGATCTTGCAGACTTTTAATGAGATCCACAAATTTAGCTTCTCCGCAGTTCCTCACTCTTTTCAGCTGCTCGGCCTACGAGTATATCCGCCTTCTCGTATATAGCCTCCAGCTCCTGCATTTGAATCGAGTTTTGATCCTCCATAGGGAGATGATAACAAGCTTGGTGTCCACAGTCGCAACTAGTCTGTTGAGGAACTACTCGACTTAAGATAAATCCCTTACAAGCACAACGAAGCCCTTTGAGCTCTGGGTTCAGCATAATACAGCGACAGCGTCCTTGTGGCAGATGTGAGGTATCCGCCAGGGCCCGAACTGTCTTACGGCGCAAAACAGAGTAAAATGTTTGTCTATGCATCCGGCCTCAGAAAATCGCAACTCATTTAGCGACGAGAATCCATACACTAGAGACATCGTATTTGCGGCTAATTTGAGGAACAGAGACAATCCGACAGTTGGTCTATCCTAGATTGCCTCCTAAAGTCGTTATGATCAGAGAGTTGTGCTTGCAACGGGCGATATTAGATCACACAACAGCGGTCGAGTTTGCGGGGTCATTCTCCTCGCCCTGAAGGACCGTTTCTGGGCCTCTATCTGGCTCTTGAAGGACAGCTTCCAGGTCTAAAATCTCCATCGGAACTAAAGCACCCAAAACAAATGGTTCGCACTCGTATACGCTCAACGCTCCTAGCAATCCGTGAATCGAGGAGAATCGACAACATTGACTGATTCCCAGATATCAAATAACAGACAGTTACTGCCTGGTATAATATAGCCATCTGAGGACTTCCGGGTATAGAGCAACCTCACTCTTCTAAATGCTCTAATATCTTCATCTCCTAGATCTACCTCTTCGAGTCTTCTCTTCTGTGGTCCGCGTGTGGATGCGTCATGTTCGTGGCTCCGCTTGCCGTCACTGCCATCTCTCATTTGCGGGCACAGACCATTAGCACTATCAAAACCACCTTCACCAGAAGGCGAAGAGTCAAGGTCGATAATGCGCTGATACCAGGTTCCACACGTGAGACTAGCAAGCCATCAGCAATTGACTTCGTCCGGTTGGGACAATATATCTACCATTCGATCTCCGAGTCAGAGTTGACATGAGACGTCATACGGCAACTTGGGCAAGCATAGTCAATTCGCTCATCCAAGGCGTTGAAAATCATGCTCATTCCCAACCGGCGTCCAGGTAGGAAGCTAGACTCGAAGGATTGAGATCGATCAATCTCAAGTTTGAGGCTTGTTTCTTGGATAGCGTACTCTCTCGGCGCTATCTTTCCTTGTCCCGTGAGCTGTTTGAAACGTGCTGCCAGGACACTTTCAAAAACATCCCAGGAATTGATTAACTCGAGATGGATTGGCGCAACTCTTCCAAGAGCGTCAGTCAGGATTAACGGTTCTTGTATCCAACAAGGTTTGAACTCCCGTGGGACTCGCGTTTGGAGATCTATCACTGCTTTGTACGTCTTGAGTTGACAGTCCAGATGTTGAACATAAATGTCTTGAGTTCAGCTCCAAGCTTGAAGAAATAATTCCTAGTACTTTGTATGAGCGGCGGTTGAAGAGGGACGAAGAGAATGAGATGCCCACATTCGCTCAACAAGCCTGGAAATGTTTGTTCCATGCTCCATGATATTCTTCTCACTCTCGTTCAACTTCTCCCGTATCATGTCTAGTGCCACGTTTTGTTGCTGTTGTATGTTGTCTCGTCGCTCCTGAGCACTGAGAAGATGCGTATTGATATTTCGTTCAGTGAGCTTCGTCAGATTTCTGTCATATCAAGTTAGCCACGTCCTCAGGCTTCAGCTGTTCATTTCCTACATGCTTGCTGTGATCAATAACATATTTATCGTAGAGCTGTGCCCATTGATCTCTGTTCTGAATTTCGCAACCTCTTCCCTTTGCGTCAAAGCCCACTTGATCTTCTTTCCTGCATCGCGAATCCTGTCGCCCGACCCGCCTTCCTTCAAACTGCAATCATATGTCCTCAACTTTCGTTAGAATGTTTCCATGGACTCTCTGCACTGATCCACCACCCTCCTGGTCGTAGAACTCAATGCATTTAGCTCGACCGAAGTACCGCAAGTCTGTGACAACAGCTCGACTTCTAACCGCGCACGATCCAGGGACCACAGCTCTCGGGACAATTGTCGGTACTCAGCCGATGCTCCCTGAGCGTCGTCGAGAGCTTTGATGACATCTTTCACAAGGATACAGACGGCTATCACATCTCCAGCAGAGAATCCAAACGGCACTGGTAGAGCCATCGAGCAAACTTGGTGTCTTGAACAAGATTTAGCAGTGTCGAGGTTGGAAGAGAGGGAAAAGACGTTGGACAAGGCTGGTGAGGTCCGCCGTAATGGATATGCAGTGACTCGCCTCAGCCACCACACTTTTGTTTTCGCGAGTCTGCCTTGTGTTACGATGATACAATTCGTTCGGCTGAGCGACCAGTCTGTGCCTCTCAATCGATTTTCAGCTCGAAAAAATGCCTTCGCACCACTTCATGCTTGTGACGATGTTGTATTGAGGGGAAGATCCAGCAGATCCTTCAGAGAATGGATACGTGGCGGACTTGAGTTCCAAGCAGCTTCCCTCGTTTCATCAAAATGAACACAAAATATGCCCTCTGCCATTGCAGGCTTCATATCTCGCTCCTCACTATCACCAATGTACGCCATATCTCGTGCCGAGATGCCCAGATGCTCCAGAACTCTGGAGAAAAGTCCATCAACTTTCGAAACTCTAAAATGATTCGTCGTGGCAAGAGAATCGGTGTGCTCATCGATTCCGAGCGCTTTCACCGTTCTCTCCTGCGCATCTTGTGGACCTTCTGTAATGATGACAATTTTCTTGCCCAGCTCTTTGAGCGTAGACAGCAGGTCCAGAGCTCCTTCTTTTAATGTCAATGATGAAATCAGAGTGGTTTCATACGACTCCAAAAGCTCATCCATAAACTCCTCATTGTATGGAACAGAGAATCTCGCAAGCAGCGAGGTGAATCTTTCGCGTCGATAATCTTGTGATGTCTTGCCGTCTGAGAAAGCATTCGTATTTGTTTCTCGCAGGATACGAGAATACTCCTCTTTCAACGCCGTGACGGAGATTTCGTATCGCAGAGAGATTTCTTCCAGGATCTGAGATGTTGCGATTCCTGCACTGCGTCGAAAGTCATGCAGGGTGTCGTCGAGGTCGAATCCGATCCATTTTTTCTCCCTGAGGTCCCCCAGCCAGGCGTCGCTCCTTTTCTGAACACGTGCAGCTGTGGCTTCCATATTGTGTCGAATTCTTCAGTTGTGCTGTTTCTTGGCAGCAAATTAGGATATCCGTCGAGATCCGCTGCGATTTCTGAGATGTGAATTGAAATGGTGAAGGCCTATAAACCTACCTCGCGAGCTTTTAGCTCCTAACTAATGAGATTACTCTCACAAGCTTACCACGAAACTTCATGGTCCCCAAGCCAAAATTTTCCGGGCGCGGCTAACGATCCTTTAGCACTGGTCGCACTTTTTTTTTTAAACGAAAACATTGGCCTGGCAGTGTTTGTCAGGATGTTCATGTGATGTCGTCGAGCTCAACCAAAACAAATCCTTAGACTTTAACTTGCTGACTTAACGACAGAGCCCCTTCGGAGCAGCGGCCCGAATATGAATCGATGATCTGGAGATACGCCACTCTCACGGTTAATCGTCGGGCGCCCGGTCTAACGCTCGCTGCAACTTTTAAAAGAACACCTGATGAGCAATTTGTTATGGAAGCCCTAGCATCTCTCCGGAAAAATCATATGAGTAACTTTAGAGCGTAAAACAGATGTAGAAAGTATGAAAGCTTTCTGCGCCTCAGCCCAGCGTGATGTCAACGAGGATTGTTTTGATGACGCTTACTGTTTGGACTAAGCGAGAGAGTTTCGCTACTGGAAAGGGGCAGATTCACTTTACCGATCTGTCTGACATTGTTGCTCCCGGGACTCCGCTGTCAGCATTTAATCTTTGAAGCTACACGAGCAGCTGTGTTGACTGTTCATGTGACAGCTGCATATTCTAAATAATACAAAATCGTTTGTACAGGTTGGCACTGGGTGTTTTGGCTTGTCTCTGGCTCGGACCAGGTCGACTTTCTCCCTGTTGTCCATCAATCAAGTTCAATGAGCTCTTCAAGGCCACAGCTAAATCGCCATACGGAAATTGCTAAACCGCCATACGCTAATATTCTAGTAACTTGGCGAGTGTCATCTATCAACCTTGCCCCGCCATACAATTTTGTACTCTAGGGCAAGGACAACTTATATTATTAAAGACAAATGTGTATGCTTGCCGATTACCCTTGGAACTAAAAATTGAAGCTATTCCGGCTACCAAGGGGATACTTTAATACAACTTGGTCTTTGCCAAAAGAGAGAGCCTATATTTCATCAGTAAATCAGCTAGATAGTATTAAAGATGCTACTCTAGTTACTGCTGTGATAGTGCAACAAGACGTAATTATTAGGCTTAAGGTATGCACCTAAGATACAAAGTCTGATTGAGATTTTAATGAGTTAGCATAAGTGCCTATTGTGCATTGTACATAGTTGTTCATACAAATTTTGGTAGTGATAAATGCACTCTTCATTTTGGGCTCGCTTGATTAGTGTATAGCGGTTTAGCGATTTTCATATGGCGATTTAGCTGTGGCCCTCTTCAATTGTTACCTCTACCAAGATACTTTGAAGTTACCTCTAGTCGAAACACTCTTGAGGGAAGCGGGGTTGCTGGACCGGGCCCACAACTAGTTCTCGCGCGAGCCCGGCGAAAGTCCGGTTATCACAGACCCACAAACCCAGCCGGCATCCCACTCTTTCTTAGAGCACGCCACTTGGAAGTTTATAAGACGGCGTTGCTCTGAGCTGAGACGAAGTCCTGGATTGATTATTGTTCTTTGAGTGCGGTCAGATGAGTACGCCGATAATCGTCAAGAAAGTGCCAAGAACCAGTTCGCCAACCATTTGTATATTATCAGAAACTTTAATTGCTCAATTTAAATCTTCATAATGGCTCCAATTGCTACTTCCAGTCTTTCCCCCTCTATCCCAGAAGTTGCTACAGTTTTGGAGAAGTCGTAAGCGAATTTCAGCGAACTGATTAGGGAACATTACTGAAACATTTCCTCCAGATTCAAAGCCCAGAACAGCACCTGGCTGTCCGACTTACAAAAGAATGGCTACGTCGTCGTCAGAAACGCCATCCCCCGCGAGCGAGCCATCGCCTACCAACAAAAAGCATTCGACTGGATCAGCTCTCTCCGCCCCGGCTTCGATGTCTATAACCCCGAGACATGGGTCAAAGACCATCTCCCCGTCATGAGCAAAATCAATACTTTCTCCACATATGGAGTTACACATGAGAAGTTCATGTGGGATGCTCGCATGGAGCCAGGTGTTTTAAAGGTTTTCGAGGAGTTGTGGGGGACGGATGAGCTACTGGTTAGCTTCGATAGCTTGAACGTCACATTCCCGAACCGCAAAGACGTGCCGAGGAAGCCGACTTGGGAACACGTTGATCAGACGCCGCTGAGAAGAGGACTGCAATGTGTGCAGGGCATTATTAATTTGTCGAATGCTGGTCCTGAGGATGGTGGGTTGATGTGCTACCCCGGCTCCCATCTGTTAAGCGATGAGTTCTTCGATACACAAACGGACAGGAATACGTGGGAGAAGAAAGATTATTACGGGTTTAGTAAGGACCAACTCGAGTGGTTCCATGCCAAAGGACTCAAGCCATTGAAAGTCTGCGCTGAGCCAGGAGATCTGATTCTCTGGGATAGCAGGACCATTCATTATGGTGCTGAGCCAACGGAGAAGAGCAACACGATCCGTACCGTAGTTTATGCGGCATACACTCCTGCCAAGTGGGCGACGAAAGAGGACTTGGAGGTAAAGGCAAGTATCTTCAAGAGTTATCTTGGTACGACACACTGGCCACATGAGAATTTTGTGTGGAGAGCCGCGGGGAGTATTTTGGAAGATGGGACGCAAGATCCTAAGGATAGGGAGGAGCCATTTGAACTGCCAGAGATGACGCCTGCATTGTTGAAGCTTGCTGGAGCTATGCCTTATTAATTACGCACTCCAACCTGTGTATCAATCGTTGCTGTTGTAGTTCTTCGATTGCCTGGTTTGGACTGCATTTGGATATTGAAGCGAAATCTGAAGTGACTGTCTGTGTGTGTCAGAATTGCTTCTAATTCAGCCACATTTTGATGTAATTTTGCGCAGCGGGAAATATGAGAAGGAACCTTTTGCATCATCACCTAGGAGCCACGTACTATAATCTAGACATATCGACTGAACGACTTGCCTGATGCGAGCAGCTTTCACTTGAAGAAGGTTGAGAGAAAGGTAAACAAATACCATCCATTTCCCCAAAATGTGACAGCGTCACAGTAAAAGCAGCCATTTTCAACGGGGATAATAGTAACACACAGGTCTGAAGCGCTTCTTGGCGAAGGTTGGTGTGACTTATATAGGCCTCGATAAGCAACATAACTGCAGCAAAGGTAAGTGATATTCAGCTTCCTGTTGTTTCGAACGAGAGCTGTGTGGTCCTTATTCGACCAACAGTTTCTCCGCGATTATGAACACCAGTCATCTGGTAGCATCTTCAGATCCGGCGACTGGAAGATGAGGTATTCGTTTTTCCCAATCAGTCTTTGCTGAGTGGTCTCCGTGGTATGGCCAAAAAGAGAGGGTTGGGTAAAGGAAGCTAAGGACAATTGGGGAAAGCTCAAGCGGCCGCATGCACTCCCTTTTGGGAGTTCCAACCTCAATTCCAACATCACCACTGCACTTACAATGTGACTTCATCATAGTCCTGCCAACTCCAATGTCTTCCAGGACCTCCGATGTCAACTTGGTAGCAAAATTCCTTGCTCATCCACAAGTCTCTTTCATCTCAGCCACGGAGCCAGTGGACTGCATCGTCATATGTGCTTCTGCAGTACTTCACCAAGCCACAGCTCTCTTTCGTGCCTTGGAATCTCGACCTGACTTAACCAAGACTTTGGCTCTCTGTGGTGGTATTGGACATTCCACTCCTCTCATCTATGCCGCGGTTTCGAAACATCCAGCCTACCATGAGCTCACTACAGCTGTCCAAGGAAAGCCCGAAGCTCGGGTTCTAGAAGCCATACTCAAAAGGCATTTCGATGTAGACAAGATTACTAGTCAAGGCTGTCGGATTCTAGTTGAGGATGAGAGTACCAATTGTGGTGCGAATGCATCCAAGACGAAAGAACTGCTCTTAAGGGAAGGGATCCCAATCCCAAGCACGATGGTAGTGGTGCAAGACCCGACGATGGCGCTCAGGACCGTAGCTGCTTTCGAGAAGGTCTTTGAGGACGAGATTTCTGTAGGACGACTAGTGGTGAAGAGTGCACCGATATTCGTTCCGAGAATGAAAGATGACGGTGAGGGGAGGACAACACGGGATGTTGATGGCATCGAGGCAGAGGAGCTTTGGGATGTGGACCGATTTTATGATTTAATTATAGGAGAGATACCACGACTAAGAGACGACATTAATGGCTATGGGCCGAAAGGGAAGGGCTTCATCGTGCATGTGGATGTTCCTGCGGAGATCGAGGAAGCATGGAGCAGGCTAAGAGAGAAATTTGGTGGGAGTCGGTGACGATTGCGGAGCGCCTCGATGTATCGTTTTCAAGGATATAGTCGGTCATGGTGGACAGATGAGCTATGGGCTCCAAGCTTTTGGCACCTTCGAAGTGGATCTGAAATGCAATCTGCTGGTTCTGGTGGAGGGAGAGGGAGATCAATTTTAGCCATTCAGCGACGTTCAGGCTGATGGACATGTGACTTACAGTATGATTAACGACTTGCAATTTTGCAGGAGACGTGGGGGCCGGATCCTCATTCCACAACGATACCCCTTTCGAGTCAACAACCTCAATTTTAGCTCAAGTACAGTCAAGGAAACGACATCGCCAAGTCCTCGGATATTTGAAATGACGCATTCTTCTGGTCTACCTAGAAGGTAAATGCTGGGTTTTGGGAGCCGCTAGGGGTGGACTTCAAGTACTGAGCGAATTTTAGACTGTTAGCTAAGGGTCAATTGATAGGGATCCGAATTCGTTGACGATTACGAGGTTATCATTTTAGAAAAATCGTCCCCCGTGCTGTAGGAGCAAACGTGCCTTCTCCATTGAGGTATGATTCAGAGGTACTGAGACTATACAGCCAAAGGAAGTCATTTCTACTGTACGCCTTGCTCGAAGCAAGAGGTACCTCAATTTATTTCGCAGCTTCAAGTTTCTACTACCGATTACCCAAACTCACTCAACGGATCCAATATGCTGCAGTTTCAAAGGGATGATACCCGATATTCGGTCACACATGATTTCTGCTTCTGATCCTCAAAACCGAGGAGGCTGGTGCAGGTGGGCGTCGTTATTCTTGTCCTCCAATGTCGGGCGTTCAGGAACACTTTGAAGCCCGAGGCTGGCATCTCAGAAACCTCCCTGGGGCCGAGTCATTCATATGGGCGGTGTACGAACAACCTTTCCCTATTTCCCCTCAAGCTCATACTCAAAAGCTAAGAGACCACACCTGATGAGGTTCGTCTAAGATGCTCCCTCCAAACTTTCGATCATTATTTTACAGTTTTGCACGCGATATCAGATTCCTATCTCAAGTGCGTGGTGAAACGAAACATCAGTCATCTCTCCTGCGGACCTCTGCCTAGATCTCAGCCGGGCGCGACGTTGGCAAGAACTCTGATCAGGCTGTGAGTTGCCAGCAAAGAGTATTGGGCATCACGGCATTGAAGCCAAGCTGGCTTATGAACCTTGTGACACCCTCCTGCGAAAAAAGGTACGACTTTGGTGCCGTCTGACTGCCTTGCAAAATGCCTCAATATTCTCATGCAATTCAGCAAGTGTGCCAGCCATGGGATTTCCTGCCGAGAAAACAATCGAGATGTCAACTCGGTCGGTGTAGGACTTCAAGCCGTGACTGGTCACACCGCAAAACCGTTGAAGAGCCAGAGCCTGGTTCTTTCGGCACGATGTGGTCTCGGTGGTGTGGGAGACTCACGACCTGGGCGAGAAATTGCGAACCACGCTTGCCAGCGTGCTCGACTGGGTGGAACGTGGGTTACGACTCTTACGAGTCCGAATCCTTCGTGCTGTCGAATAACAGCCATCCAGAAAAGTGAGGCGGACAAGCGGGTTTGCCTCACTTCTTTAGCGGTACATCCGGAGCGAACCGCAAGGAGAGGCCAAGCACGAGTTGCAAAGCTGATTCGTCGCTTCACTGTGGGAAGCTTGATGTTCTGGCTTTCGATGCATGGAACCCATGGCCCATGGCTTCTTCGTTGCGCTGTGGGTGGTGCGTCAAAGTCGTGTTCCCAGCATCACACATGCACATTTCGCCCGACGAGGGTGTCTACAAGTAGTTGGGAAATAATCGCTGGGTGGCTGCCTGGGAGCTGCAATTGTGATAGGCTCTAGTGCGCGTGCAGCGTGCTGGCACTGGCCATTCAGAGGGCATTCAGGCTTGACACGCTGTACATCGAGCCACTAAAATTCCCCGACAGGGCACTGTGACTTGGATCGCGACCACTAAGATCACTGTTCGCACTCCACTGCGTCCTCTAATCCAGGACTCTGATTAGTCCAACCCGCCAAAAAAGCAATGCAATTGGCCCCGGCCAAGCTTAAACTGTCGGACAGAAACATCACAGCTTCCACTTCGTCATCCATCCATCTCACCCACCCTACAGTACAGCCAACATCTTGCTAAAGCCCTCATCATTCCAGATTGGGTCCGATAGCTGGCAGAGCCCCATGCCATGCATCCCGCTTCTTGAGCAATACATAGTTTGTCGTTCCTCCCTGACCATCCTTCCTTTCGCCTTACTTTCACGAATCGCCAGCACCTGCCAGCGCTCATCATTACTCCCTCTAAAACACCACCACGAACGAACCTATCTCCACTCTCTTTGTTTACGGAAGAAAGCTGTCCATCTGTGAGTTTGCAGATCCCAATGGATCATCAATCTGCTACTGTCTAGCATGGAGTGGTCTGTTTACTGACAGTGAGGCTGCAGACTCTACCGCCTCGAAACCATTACGACTCTGACCCAAGCACAACCAGTCCCTCGAGATGTCTTCGAATCTAAGAGTCGATACCTCTGTGGACTATGAGCAAGATGAATTCGATCCGGAGCAACGAAGACAACGACTTCTGGCCCAGCGGGCCGAAATGGATAGGCAAAGAGCACAGCTCGATGCCGAACTTGCTTCTCTTCAACCGTCTACTTCTCAATCCTCCTACCAGCACCATCACCGGTCTCCCATATACAAGCAGAGCCAACAGCGTCGAAGCAGCAATGTGCCACGAAGCATGTCCAGCAATGGAGTCACTGCCATGTCTAGGCATCTCTCCTCTGTAGGACATTCCTGCCAGCCATGCCTACCTAGCTCTAATATCAAATAGGAACGGAACGATATGTCGCAGCGACCAAGAGCCCTCTCCCAACGGTCGGCAACATCGATGGGACGCTCAAAATCGAGAGGCAATCCACCGCAACGAGTCAACGTACCCTTTACCCAGAATGGTGCTATCCCACCTCCCCTCAACTCCGATCCGCATCCACAGAACCATGCCATCATGGAATGGGTCTCTCAAGAACAGCCCTTGACAGCCTACACATTCTCCCACCAGACTCCTCAGCTTCAGCAAACAATGTCCCAACGCAGCGGTCTTGAACAAGTCCCAGAACTCCACTCTGTTGGAGAGAACCCAGCCGACTTCATCTTGAGAACGATGGGCAACGACCTATCACCCACGATATCGATTCCATCCTCAGCGACTATCAACAATCATCGGCTTTCAACAAGCTCTTACAATATGCCTTCGACGCCAACATCCGACTCGCTCACGACTGCGACGACACTTACAGGCGACATGAGTCGGCAAAATAGTCTTTGCAATGGTATCGAAAGTATGATGAAGTTCAATTCGAACAACTCTTTCTCTGCTGATCTAAATAACGATCAGTATATGTATGATCATGTTGCTTCATTTTCTTCTTCTCGTATTAGTCGTCCTTCAGATGAGGAGCAGTCTCAGCTTCTTGTCGGTACTGGTGCAAGTCACGAGTCTCAGTTTTCAAATTCTTTTCAATTTCCATCTTCGAACTCATTTGGTGAGAAGATGGAAAAGTCTCAATCAGTTGAAAGTACTTCATCATCTACCTCGTCAGCATCGTCTCGAAACGTCAAGCGTTTGCAAGATCAAATTGCTGCAGGTCAATCTCGACCGCTCATGCCTAAAGGTGGTAGTGACGGCATTTCGATGTCTCGAGATAATTCATCTCAAGCGATGACTCGAATCGAGTCGAAAGACGGTTCACAAGACAAAGTTGCTATCTCGAAACCAAGTTATCAACGACCGAAACATGATCGGGTATGTTGCAAACTATGCGATAATCATCCTGACGGCTTTCGCGGCGAGCACGAACTTCGTCGACATGTCGATCGTGAGCACAAGGAGATGGTGAAGAAATGGGTTTGCATTGAGCCAACAGATGGGGGTAACCACCCGGTTCCCATCGTACCGCTCTCGCGATGCAAGGCATGCTCTCAACAAAAGAAAAAGTATGGAGCGTATTATAATGCGGCTGCACATCTTCGACGGGCCCATTTCAACCCTAAGACAAAGGGAAGAAGCAAGAGTCAACAAAAGGTTGAGCCCGCTGGAAAGCGCGGCGGCAAGGGAGGCGGTGATGAACCACCGATGACTGAGTTGAAGAAGTATTGGATGAAGGAAGTGGAGGTACGAGCTGATTTCACCACTGATGCCCAACAAGAGGCAGCCGACGAATCCGAAGAAGAAATTCTCGATAACTCCCTCGACGATCAACTATACTCCCAGCCAGACATGTCAACCATCACCAACAACACATTCAACACCACGTACCTCGCCGACACCAACCCCGCCATCGTCGACTACTCAACCAACATCGCCATCAACAACAGTGAGATCTACGACATGCCAAGCATGTCACTCGACTTTCCTGATTCCAAACAGCAGGTGTACATGGATCAAACCATGTACACCCTGTCGAATCAGAACATTTCCCTTTTCTCTTCAGACATGTTCCAGAATGACCCCATGGCTTTCGCCAATGCGGGTTCATCCCAAAGTTATGACAACTTGGATTGGAACTTGTCATCTCATTGTTAAGATCATTCTTATCTTATCTTCATGTACCAATTTCCTTCTCCCCTTCTCTTTTGTTTTATTCAATATGGTAGGGTAGTAAGGTGTCTATGATCTCTTCTTTTCTATTCTGTGCATAAATTTGATGACCTATGTGTTTAATAGATATATTGATTGCATTTACAGTTCATCGAGAGCGTCGATGAATTGTGGCGTTTGGGATTTGGAGATGTCTTGTATTCCTACTATACTTTCTCTTCTTGGGGTGGAGAATTGCCTTCGAGCAGTTCAAACATATGGACATGATTTTATGAGATTATGATGTATGGTTATGGGTGATGACTTGCTCTTTGGGATGGCTACGGCGTTCGTGTCATAGGATGCTGCAGACTTCTTCAATCAATTCTTCGAGGGATTGTCGTTTTATGATACTATAGTAATGATATATACAAGTACACCATCTACTGATATTTTTCGTTTTTCTTACAAACATATATTGTAACAACCCGCTATGCTTACAGATGGAACTGTTTCCTTTCGGCTGTTGTACGAGCTCCTTTTGCTCAAGTCGATGGTTGAGTTGTGTTGACTAGCGACGAGGAGGACTGGTCATTTCGCAACTGCTATTCCGATCATCAGCTAGAATTCGACATATGTAATAGACAACCTCTTCTTCTTACGAGCACTTACGAGTGCAGGTACTTAACTGGCAGTTCCAGCGTCTCGCTGGAGTGGCTAGACTGGGTATGAGATGCTGAGTCAGCCTCCACGTCAATCTTGGAGATCCACCCGATTTTTCTCACCGCTAGAGGTTCATCATCCAAACAGAGTCAGCCTGAGATGGATGAATTTTCCAGGTGGAAGGATTCAAAAATTGATGTGACCTTTAACATACTGTAAGTATCCCAATTTGAATGCTTGCGTTCAGGATGTTGACGGCTTAGGGGGGTGGGAAGAACACTCAGATCTCATGCCATACTTCAGACTTACGAGCAACATTCGGTGGTGCTGAGCCCGAGATTTAATTCTTTGGATGCCAGTAGTCTATAGACGACTTTCAAACACGATTTTAGAACCACCTTCGCTGTCGCTGCGGACTGTGGAATTAAGATACTTCGCTAAGTATCTGGTCCTCTTTCATAAATTTATTGGGCGTGTGCATCTACGTCCTCAGCAAAATGCGCAGGCGGAATTCGGCCCCAGCTCAACTTCCTGCGAAGCATGGAGGGCATGATGCGGACGGACTAGAAGCAGAAAATAGTGAAGACACTATCCGTCCCCATCCTGGAGGGCTTCAGCCCGACGTTGTACTCCCACGTGATGGACTACGAGAAGATGGAATGGATCGTTCCACTGTGTCTGATCTTACACAGGAGAGTCCCCTTCTACGAGGGCCATACCAGTATCAGCCTCTACAGGCGGAAGCGCGCGAGATCAGACTAATGACGCTACTTCCTGGCTCGATCGAATCAGATATTCGAATAACGCTGAAGCCGGTCACATTTACCAACGAATCTGTTGTTTCCTTTGAAGCACTCTCATACACCTGGGGCTCGGCAGAAAGTCCTGTCGATATATTCATCGGTGAATTCGGCTACGCCACCTTGTCTGTTACTCGGAATCTCGCCGATGCCTTACCGTATTTGAGATATCCTGATAAGCCACGAGTCCTCTGGATCGACGCCATCTGTGTGAACCAGCAGGATGTGGATGAACGCAGCAGCCAAGTGAAGCGCATGGCGAGTATCTATTCTCATGCTACGAGGGTGCTCATTTGGCTGGGACCTCAGTCAACCGACAGTGATATAGCGATCGATAGCTTAGAGCGGATTGCCTCAAAGTACCACGTCAACTGGATGACATGGGAGATCGAACCCATCGACAAAGATGGGAGTTGGTGGGCCACCCCAGAAGAGATGCTACCGCTTTCGGATGTGCAGTTCTGGTCGATTCTCAACCTCATCAGTCGTGACTGGTTTGAGCGTCTCTGGATATTGCAGGAGGCTCACTTGGCGAACAAAGACGCTTTGGTTGTCTGTGGAAAGGATACTATGCTCTGGAACAGTGTTCGGAAAGCAATGTTCTGTATTCGGAAGAAGCCTTATCCATCGTATATCTACGCTGAGTTCTCTGAACGACTAGGTCATATCCTTGGTGTTTTCTTGGAAAAGGATGTCTACCGCTTCTGTGCTCTGATCGACGATACGAGATTCTGTAAATACACTGATCCGCGGGATAGGGTGTACGGGATTCTTGGATTGCTCGACGAGAAGCATCAGCTCGGAATCGAGCCAGACTATACGAAGACTGTTTGCGAAGTGTACAAAGATGCTGCCTGGAAGCACGTCGAGTCCACGGACACTCTCGAAATACTGTGCAAAGTTGAGTTTCACAACACGGAAGGGCTGCCATCATGGGCACCAGATTTGAGGAAACCCCGAAAAGCCATACCATTCTCACTTTGCAACACCTCTGGTCACTCATTAGCAGACCACTGCGATGGGCCTGATGGCCTGCTACGAGTGCAAGGAATACCAGTCTCCCGAATCTCCCGAATCGAGCCCTTCAACTTCGCCGAATTCGAAACAGACGGATTATCCGTCATCCCCAAACTACGACTCGTTGCCAACAAGCTAGGCCTCCTCGACAATCTTCTCACCTGCCTGAAAGCCATCCCAGCACTCTGCGAAGTCCTTTGCGCAAACGACTTCACCTGCAGGAGACTACCCAGACGAGATGGCAGTTTGGACTTGCTCACTACAGAACAGCTACTTCGACGGATCCTAGGCTCAAAACAAGATATGCGAGAGGCGTACAGGAATGAACGATTCTTCGCAAAAGTCCAAACTCATTGCTACGGTCGAGCTCTCTTCATCACGGAAGATGGCCATCTCGGACTCGCTCCTGAAGCTACCCGGCCAGGGGATCTCGTCACCGTCCTCCTAGGCTGCGATAGCGCTATGGTTCTTCGGCCTGTTACCTCTCCCCAATTTCCCCCCTCGTCTCCTCCTCCTTCTTCACCAAGGCACCAACACCAAAGCCAATACAAAGTCATCGGCGAATCCTACACCCACGCCCACATGAACGCCGAAGCCATCCTCGGACCCCTCCCAGGCCTCTTCGACGCCATCAAAGCCTATACACCCAACCGGGGCTTCACCACTCAATATCTCGATCGTGAGACTGGCGAGATTGTTGCTGAGGATCCGAGGTTGGGTGAGTTGCCGGGGGTGTGGAAGAGGGCTGGTTTTGCTGGTGATCCTGATGGTGCGAAGGGTGAGGGGGAGGGGGAAGGGGAAGGAGATGTCCCGATGTATGTTAATGGTGAGACGGGGAGGAGGACGGGGAATGATCCGAGGATGGGGGCGGGGTGGTTGTTAGGGAGGGGGGTGGGGTTGGAGGTTTTTGATTTGGTTTGAGGAGGGTGAGGGTGATGATGTGTTTGGATCTGGTGAGATGGCGGGTTTGTGGATAAGGAATTTGTGGATTGTGAGGAAGGAGGGAGGAGGAAGCAAGAGGTGGGAAGGTGGAAAGTCCGTCTGAGCTTGGTATTTATAGAGCGGTGTATGTCGCGCTGTAGGGCTGCTAGAATGTAAATAAACTCATCCTCTATGACTGCGTTAGAGCCATAAGGTCTCGAATCTGCCAGACTTGCATCCGGCGCATAGGTGGGCGTCCCTTCGGTATGGGCGTCGCTTTGGTACTGATAAGTAATAGATAGGGAGGTACAATGGAACCAATTGTAGGGGACTGCATTGTCTGGGAAGATATATCAATTTCACAATGACTGTAAGCGATAATAACAAAAGTACTCCAAGCACAGAGACATGCCTATCCATTCTGGGAATCATCTCATCTCATCTACCCTACACGAGCCCCTTTCATACGCTCATTCCACCATAAACAAAACAAAAAATGATTTTCATTTCCAATCTCAATGAACCATACTCTTTCCAATCTCACTCTGCCAACCCTTGGCCCGTTCAAATCCATTCGAATGTGTCTGATAATCCATCAATGCTTTATAGACTTCTTCTTGGCTGTTGAGTACGAAAGGTCCGTACTGTACGACTTTTTGGTCGAGAGGGAGACCGGCGACGAGGACTGTAGAAGAGGATTGTTAGTAGATGTTCATCCAAAGTTTGAAGATGCAGAAGACAAGAAGACGAGAAAGGAAATAAATGTAGGGAGGTTTATCGAGTCATGCAAGTCAAGCTAAACATCGCATCTGACTCTTTTGCCGAGGCCGAACTCGGATCTCCTCCAGAAAATTCATTGGCTGGCCACTCGCACAGAGCATCCCTCTGCAGATCTGAATATGCTGCAAAATAAGAACTTCTCCTCCATAAGCAACTGTGGATCTTCGACCCCAGCTGGCTAATGAGAAGCGTTTGTGGTTTAGTGGTAAAATCCATCGTTGCCATGAGACTGTGATCTGAGCGATCAGAAACGCAGGATTCAGTATCGATGGGCCCCGGGTTCGATTCCCGGCGAACGCAATTATCTTTTTGTCCATTTTTGGCCTCGATTTGAAAACTCTTGGAAGTGTTGTTGTTGTTGACTTTGAGATCCCAAGTCCAGATGTTGGGGGTTTTTTTTTGCTAGCCGAGCGAGCCCCGGTTTGCGTGGAACCGTTCACTTTTGACGAGCGAACAGGAATATAGAACATCTCCTGGGAGAACAACTACTTCCGCAGCTCGATGCTAACGGATGGGCGAGAGAAGGGGGATGCTGAGAAGTGAAATGGATATAGAAACTTACAGAAACGGCCATTCTCTTTGGCTCCCTCCTCAACTTCGGCATATATCTGGTCGCCCTTCTGTTCGAAAACAACATTATGAAACTGTCCTACGGAGGTCTTGTCGGCTCCAACTCCAAAAGATGTGCTTCCGCTCAATGTGTAAGCAAAAGCATTCCATCCCTCAGGCAGATTCTGGGTGATCTTTCCGCCAGGCTTGATATCAATATCCAAAATCCAGACAGGTGTATATGCCAGTTCCTTAACGCTGTCCACTCCGTGACTTTGCCCAGAGATGACTTTGATGTGTACCTTTCCGTCGTCGATGTCGATATTTGGGATTTCGGAGGCTCTCAAGTCGCGGTATCGAGGCTCGCATTTCTTCAGCTTTTCTGGTAGATCGACCCATAGTTGCATTCCGACGTTGGCAGAGCCATCTGGGTTCTGTCGAGGCATCTCCGCGTGCATTATGCCCTTTCCTGCTGTCATGAACTGTAGATCGCCCGCCTCGATTGTGCCCGCGTTTCCTGCGAAATCTTCGTGATCAACTGCGCCTTCGAGGAGGTATGTGATTGTTTCTTGTCCGCGATGCTTCAAGAGAGTTAGCGCTGTCAAACAAATTATAGCTGTAGCATGATCTGGGGCTGGAGAATACAATCCTCGGGTATATCCTCAGATCCAAGAATTCAGACCCGCGGAAAGGAAAACTAAGGGGAATACATACGGGATGGTCTGGAAATCCAGCTCCTGGCTTAATGGTGAAATGGTCGAGCATGAGGAAAGGAGAGAAGTTCTTCAACTGAGGGGTTCCGATCGAGCGGCGAACTCTTGCGCCCGCACCCTCTGACTGCTCAATTGCAAGGAACGCCTTGCGAATAGCTCTTGTAACAGTCATATTTGCTGATTTCGGTGCTCCGTAAATTGCGCGAGGTGGTATGAGTGGAAGTCCTTTAAAAGACGATATATTAACGTTTGAGTATTCGGCTTTGAGGAAATCGATAGTTGTGGCTATTGAATCTTTGTATGCGATCGAGAGGAATGCGATTGTGATGGAAAATAACAGGAGGAGAACCTTCATTGAGAAGGATTGGGAAATTTATAGGGGGATGCGACGAAGGAAAAGGAAGATTCTTTTGGTTCTAGGGGAAATCATTACTTATGGATGAGAAACCACAGCCTTGGAATGAGTGGGGAGCTCTGATTATGTACCGCTGAGTAAAGATTCGTCAGGGGTGGTTTAGGCTCAGCCTCGGCTCGCCTTCAGCCTTGTTTCCAGTGTGGAGAGCGCTAGGCCATTCCCGGAGTAACAACCCCTCTGAAGTAGTGGATTACCAAGCATTTTGCGAACTGTCTTCGCCCAAAATTTTCATTCTCAATAACTCGTCATTGAATGATGAGCAGAGATCTTCCGCTAATAGTGCATCTGTTGCTTATTTCTTCCTCCCTCAACTGTTGTTCTGTACAGTGTGAGATGTATCGCTTGCGGAGACTCAAGTCGAGTATCATCACTATGCACAGAGTACTTGAGGCACAAGATTACAATCACATGGTCCGCTTTGAGACTTCATAAATCACAGATATTGGGAATCGGAAGAGACTTTTCTCGCCAAGTCTCGCTAACCATGTTTACTTCGCCACAGACACACCTTCATCAGTTCAGAAGATCAGAAGAAATCAAAACGCTTCAAGAAGTGAAAGATGAACGTGGTATCATTTACGAGAACAAGAGATCTATACTTCACAAAAGGTCGACCAAAACCCTAGTCTATACCTTCATCAACATCCACCACCTCCACCCGCAGCACCTCCAGCTCCAGCCGCCGCCGCCGCACCCCCTCCACGTCCCCTCCTAGCCTTTTCCATAATCGCCAAAATGGTCACCACGGCCATAATCTCAAAGTTCTCCCCCAGCACTTCTCTATTTAGAAACGCCATCTTCCCCCTCTTCCTCGTCCCAGAGTTCGGCGGCGCCCACGCCACAACCACCTCTCCCGTCCTCACCCTCACAAGCTTCATCCCATGACTCTTCCCATTCAAACTCCTCACCTCATTCCTCTTACTACTCTTCTACTCGAACCTCTCAGGCGTCTGGTTCCCTCCTACAGGAACAGTGAAGAAATGACAAGCGTGTTGGTTGTGGTCTTTCCTCATTGATTCGGCGATGATGGATCGGCCGGTTGATTGTGCTAGGATGTTGATTTGGACCTCGCTGCTGAAACTGACGAGTTTGGCGGTTGCTAGTTGTGGAGAGGAGTTCAGTCCGCTGGAGTGGAGCACGATACTGGGTTTGCTGCTCCAGGCGTTGTGGGTTGTTATGTAGACGAGGGGATTGGGATCGTGGTTGTGGTGGGCGAGGACGAGGTCGGAACTTGTTCCTGCGGCGTGGTATATGCCGAGGATTGGGGGAAGCGACCTTGGTGGTGAGGCTTGGTCGTCGAGTCATTTGTAGAGGACAATGTGAGGGGTATTGAGCCGCCTTTGAGGGAGGGTTGGGTATATTCAATTGGAGATGTATCGGTGTTGATGTTTGGGGAATCAAAGACGAGAGCTATTGATCCCCCATTGAGAGTTCTCCGTGCTGGTGGAGGAGCCTCAGAGTATGGTGGTAGTGTTTCGCCCATTTTGATTGTCGTTGTTATTGTTCGCTTGATAGATGATGATGAATGGTTGGAGACTCGAACTGGAGATGTTGTTGTCGAGCATATATAAGTATACAAAAGATAGGAGTACGATATTTATCAACGGTCTAAAAATCTAAGCCTTGCGAGGATTTATGTCATTGACAGATGACTCCAACTCATTTCTGGGTAAGATTCTCGCTAGTTTTACCGAGTGTACGAAGCGACCACTCAGCGTCTGCACTGATGTTACGACAAGCCTGTGGGGAAGCATAATCTCGACTCAGCCCTGTGTTGGTGGCTGCCTAGCGTTGCGGCGCTGCTGCAGATCACTAAACCTTTGCGTGGAACCTTAAACCAAAGTTACATGTGTAACATCGAGATGGTCTTGCTGGTGCCTGAGCAGGAAGAGTGGAATTTGATGGTGCGGAGGATTTGGTTTTCCAATCTCATTTGTGCGAAGGCATCCAACGAAGACCTACACATAATGACAAACGTAGCATGAACTCCCGGCTATGGCTCTGAAACGGAGATGTAACTATCGTACTAGATTGATGGGTTCATTTCCAATTACGAATCATCTTTGTAAACCAAATAAGCATCGAGGAATGAATGCTTGTCTACTTTGACTGGGTCATCGTGGATTGGATTTTGCCGGCTGGCTGCGAGCTGGTGGCACAAAGTCGCAAATTGATTGAGGGACATGAACCTGCAGTCAAAGGAGTCTGAAAATGAACAGACAGTGTCATCTATCGAGTTTGACATCTGCCCATTCCAACATTCACCGGCTCTAAATAGGTGGGTCACAAAAAAAAGAGGGGTTCAAAATCCCGAAGCGAGTCTGAAGTAAACACAAGGTTCGTCACCCAAAGTAGTGGTGGCTACCCTACCACTTTTGTATATCAGATTCAAGCATTTAGGAGAGCTTTATTACGAAATGTCTGGCTCCTAAAGACCAGCTTCATAAACAATACCTCCATCATGCAAATATCGGACCATCGATTGTTGTTACCCCGCCATCCCGGACAAAAGACCACATACAATGTCAGCATCAAAATTTGTGACTTTCGAGAGGAATGATAATGTCAAAAGATTTTCAGTGCTATTCTATAATGGAAGCATTTCGAGTCGCCCGTAATCTGAGGAGAATTCAGGAAAGAAGGGACACCCGAGAGTGGAGAGCGGCGAGTTCCACCCCCCACCTTCGATATCGGAAGTGCCGATAACGATAAACAGTTCATAATTCTCCAACTCCTTCCAACACTCGTGGACTGTCAACGAACCCGCAGGCAACAAGCAATTCGCACGATGGTAGCAGTAGCAAGTCCTCCCCAAACAGGAGGTATACAGAGCTCCCTCGAAGCAGCTCTCGAAGCTCAGCAATACCTTCAATCCCGCCTCTCGACTACCACCGAAGCCCCCTCCTTCCGCTCTATCCCTCTAATCGACCTCACTAAATCCTTCTCCTCTTCCCTGACCGATAGACAATCCGTCGCGAAAGAAATAAACGAAGCGTGTACAAAGGTGGGATTCTTCTTCATCACCGGACATGGAATACCACAAGGGGTTTGCGACGATGTGTTGAAGCTGGCAAAGCGCTTCTTCTACGAATTATCAGATGAACAGAAAGAGGCCATACATATGAAGCAGAATGATTATTTTCGCGGTTATGAGCCAGCGGCTTTCTCGTCGGTCAATGATTTCACGAGTAAGGAGACGAAGGAGGCCTTCAATTGGGGGTATGAGTCTGGTCTCGATCCAACCGGAGGGGATGGGAAATACGTGGAGCTGGATGGGAAAGCAGAAAGTGCAGTAAATCTATGGCCCAAGGAGTCTGAACTGCCTGGATTCTATGAGGGGATTTCTAAGTACTACGGACATGTACATCTATTTCTGGTTGATCTGGATCATGTACTAACATCCTCAAGGTTCTGCAGCTATCAAGACATCTCTTCCGACTCTTCGCCTTGTCCCTCGCCCTCCCAGAAGACTACTTCGACCCCATGATGACCCATCCCGGAGGAATAGCCCGTCTGATTCGTTACCCACCAAGCACAAACCCCAAGCCCCTCTCAGAACTCAACGAAGACGAAGAGATCGGTCTCGGCGCACATTCCGATTACGAGTGCTTCACCCTCCTCCTGCAGGACTCCAATCCCGGCCTCGAAGTCCTCAGTCCAGACGGAAGATGGGTTAGTGCCGAGCCCGTAGAAGGAGCCATCGTGGTCAACGTTGCGGATTTCCTGATGCGGTGGACGAATGGTGTTTACAAGAGTACGATTCATCGGGTGGTGAACAGGACGGATAAGGAGAGATATAGTGTTCCGCTATTCTTCTCTATCAACTATGATGAGACGGTTGAGACACTACCTTCTTGTGTGAGTGAGGAGAATCCATCGAAGTATCCTCCTATCACTGCTGGGAAATATGTGTTGGATCGTTTGGCGTTGACGGTCAAGACGGGGAAATATTGAGTTGCTATCTACTCTATTTATGCAATTTTGGCTCAGCGGTTATGTCTAGACTCCAGAGTTATTGATACCACATCTGAATATCCATGTCGCATCTTTGAATCCTTCATTCTGTCACTCTTGAGTGCTACACAACGACTGAGAAGTGCTGAGTGTCACCAAATGCTTCCGGTGCAGTACCTTCCGGTTTTACCTCCGTAGGAAGCAGTCCAAGAATCCACCAGTTACAACGACCTCCCCAATCTTTACTATCTCTTCAAACTCCCCTAATTCCCTGTCCCCTCCATCATTTCATCATTTTATCGCCTCCCAATCGACTCATCTCCATCCTGCCACAAAATTCCATCCATCAAGATTCCATTCACCACATCCCATTTAGCGGGGTAAGTCTACCCCGCACTTACCTGAAAACCTCCACTCACAGCACTGAAGAGCCTGAAAATTTAGCGAGCTTGGCCTATTTTCTAGGGAGGTGGCTTAGCGAGTCAGGGCAGCTTCGTGGATAATCATCGCTGAACACATCAGGGTATTGGTACTCGTACTTGCATGCTCATGATCTTCTTATTTGGCGTATTGGAAGGTTTTATGAGATGAGGAGATGAGTACTTGGGGGGTTCTTTTTTTTTATTTAGTGAAGATAGAGGAGAGTAGAATGTTTGAAGAGGAGATATGCTAGGCTAGAGAAGCCTATTTGAGGATTTTGGGGAGGGGTTTTGATATAGATTCAGGTATATCTGTTTGTGATCCTCTCTGCCATTTAGATTAACGTCCTGGGTATATCTTGTAGTAAAAGCGTTTGAAAGGTAGAGTATCTCGCGACAAGTGGTTAGTGAGAGGGATAGCTCTTGTGGTTTAGGCCTCAGATGATCTTCTATCTGGGCAGAGCTCTTCCTAATCAAAATATCATTTCATTTTCCCATTCCATTGCGTTTATGTGAGTACTGTCTCGGGATTTGTTTTAAGTTGAGAAGTTGGTTGAGCATATTTATACATAACAAATCGTCGATTTCGAGTCTGGATGATGACGCTTGCTGCGAGTACGTCTCTGTGCTTGGGAAAGTGTCTAGAAGCTGCCCAAGCGACGACATGATATTGAACTATTGATAAAATGTGCGGTACTGGTTCTTGTAAAAGATGTTATATCATTTGCTTGCCTGTATTAGAAAGCTTCGTGGAGTTTTGATATGAGCTTCATCTTACCTCCAAGCCCAGCACACATGGATAGCAAATTAGGTGAGTAGTCCTACATATTTATTTATTTGTACTGTAGACTGTCTAGGGTAGAACTAATATCTATTCATCGAAAGCAATTCCCAGAGCATTATCCAATATGCAGGTCTTCGACCCTGATACTGTCGTAGTTGTTTAAAGTAACCCAGTGAAATGTCAACAAAAGGCTCACAAACTTTCTATGCGTATCCAGCAAGTGGGATCTCCTCCAAGATATCTGTCTAGTACGCAATACAAGTTTGATACATATGTTTATATGTTTAGCTTTAGATAAATAACGTTGAAAGGAATTTGGCTGCGATGGAGGTTGGGAATCGAGGTCTGACAATACCGTCAAATTGGTGGCATTGATGCTAACAACACGTTTTAAAAAGAGTACTTGACAGATCATGGTATTTTAGATATCGATATCTCTGTGGTGTAAACTACGCTAATGTATCCTGCCTGCAACAAGACACTCGAGGTGAGCGTTCTGGTGATAGGTATTGGGGTTACTGAAATTGACAGGTGTGGAAATCAAGAAGACCGCGATGTGTTTCCCGAAGTTCGGCGAGAGTATTGTGATTATCTCGAATATGCAACTTTACTTTTACACATAAATTCAGGGCTGTATAGCAGTTGGGTATTCTGCTACTTGCGTCGCTTGTCTTGAGATGTGATTCATGTCAATAACATCACTTCCCATAATTCCGACAAAAGGTTTCAGCTCCATTATGACATGACCGACATTTAAGTGGAGGGTGTGTTTCTCACTTATTTTTCAATGCCGTTGTATGCGTGCAGCTATTTGTAAAGTGAGGTAAGCGTAGAGTTGGAAGATTTCCCTTGTATCCTTCTCCGAGCCCAACAACATGTATGTGGTACTGACAGGAATGCTTCTACATAATAAAAAATATACACAGACACATCACTAGTGTTTCTTATTTTGAGGATTTATTGAGTGCTGAGATCAGTGGTGAAAGGGGAGGATGGGATTTGGGGACTTCTTACAGGCCACTTTCCCCCTCGCTTCGTTCCCCAAACCGCAGACACTTGAGTAATTGAGCAACCTTTACCCAAACAACTCTTCTGATGCATTTAATGCTTTATTACTTGATCATACGTAGTTTTGTGTCTTGGGAAAGTAATTAGAGTCCAGTTTCGTACTGTAGGACGAGCTTCGGGTGATAAGTTGATAAATATTGTTCTCTCCCCCACAGAATCAAAATCAAGAAAATTTTTCCTAGGTCCGACAGGTTGGTAAAAATAATTAAAATGATTCAACTTTGAGCTATCAGAGATGGTGCCATGGTATATCTACTGTTGTTGTAATGTGAGTCAAGTGCTGGTATCGGGAGTGGGTACGAATGTTGAGCAACGTCCACCAAAGGATGCAACAATCGCAACCCAAGACCACACCTTCAATCCTATCTATGACAGTAAGAAAAACGGTATTTTATATCACGGCTCTACCATAGATCGGGACTATTGAAACTAGGTCTGGCAATCAGATGGAATGCAGCGATTTCCAGAATGTATTCGATTGTTTGTATGATCACAGAAGCCGAGGGGATCCGCATCACGACAAGCAGCTTTAAGTCCATTGAATATAGGAGCCTCTAATCACTGTGCTTTTCGGGATTTTGTTGAGGGTCTGTCTTTACATTCAGCGTCTATTCGTACAGTGCAGCTGCGAACTCAGAATGTATGCCCTCGCCGGAATAGTCAAACGAGGACAAATGTGTAGACAAGTCATTTCTTCTATATCATTGTGAGCTTTGACATTGGACACGAGAACGGAGTTAGATGTTTGAAAGACTCATTTGATTATTCAATGTCATTCACACACATTCTTTCTCTACTCCATCACAACCACTGCGTTTTGCCGGAATTGCGGCCTGAGAAGGCGGATGGCTTCGAAGCGAATGTAAACAAGCAAGCGCTGAAGTTCAGGCTTTTCACCACTCGAACACATCGCCCCGAATATTCACTCAACATGTAGCGTTCCCTCAGTCCCAGATGTCTGAAGTGCTTTACCATCAGGTAGACGAGCAAGCCGTTTCTCTCTCCAGCACCAGACTTCCATGACATCACCAAGATGTGACAACATGCACCTGTCTGCAATTCACGGGAGATATCACAGAATCAGAAATGACTGCAGAAAAAGCAGTTATACGTGATCGCAAGATCTACTCAGAACAGTAATTAAGAAATAATGCTGCTGCGAATACTTTCTGAATATATTTAATCTGAATAAATTCAAATTCGAATATAAAATTAATTCGAATATCCTTTGTCTGGCCTGCTGCGAGCAACGACACCTGCATCAGACCCTGTTGTCTGACTTAGCGATGCTGCACCGTTTCTCAAACTCAATGCTTTCTTCTTCTGTGACGTTCCCGATATGTTATTTCGCAGGTGCAAATATATTGTTACCCGCCGTCAGTCGCATCTTCTTCCATTCGAGGAAGTGATGGGCTGAACTCTAAACCTGTCAGAAAAGTTCCGCGGTCCTCTTAGACAAGGCGAATTTGTTTTTGCCGACATGCAACCAATTGGATGCACCGGGTTCAGAACGCCACTTTTACTATCAAATCCTATCATAAGTTTCAGCTTGCAGGTTCCAAAATCTGAGCGATTCCCAGACCCAGACTAGGTATGCGAATCAATGGCAAATGTGGATTGCCAAAAAGTAAACAAAGAAAACGAGGTGCATTTATCTTATCATCGGAAACATGGGTAAGATTACGCGGCACATCGAAAGCCCTCCGTCAAAGATGATCAGCTCGACTTGATTGACTGCTTCAATTTTTCCCCACGATAAATCCACGAAGACTAAGGTGGTTGCGGATAATCTTGCGAGAAACGTGATGACAGAAAGTCGAGAACTTGCCGTCTGTCAATTCCGATATGCAACCCTCAGCATGAGGAGGACTTCCTCCGATGCAGAGAGACGACATGCAGGAGATGATGCGACAAATGAAAACGCCCGCACGTTTTGCAACTGCTTCGCCGCGCCTGCAACTAAAGAGAAAAAAGAAGGAAATTCTCAACGGCCGCTCCAGAAGTACGGCAGATCATGTCCACACGAAAACCACGGACTTTGGTTGTGGCAGCGGCGCCTTGGGGAAATGTCAGTGTCTTGTTCCCACGAAATGAGGGTATAGAACCATCGTATATTTTGTTCATGTACGGCGGTTATAGCGTTGCAATGCAGAGAACTGGTGCAGCGGCTTGCATATGATATGTTGCTTTTGGTGACACTTGTCAGTTCTCACCTGTCAAAACCCCTCGTATCTTTCCACACACACCACATCCCTTGTTCCTGAATGGCAACCCGTTGACATGGAGTCCAATCCAGACTCTTGGAGTAATCTGATAGAATCTTGTGTCGGACGTAGGTAATGATATGAATACGATGATGATTGTCGTGATAGGGCCGACTTTCGCTATGCCACAGCCAATGGCTCTGTCACTGATCACCCCAGGTCAATATTTCAGCCTCTCTATGAACCAGGTAGACGGCGCCTTGGATTACTGGATGGTGGGCTGTCTGTTGATGGTGGCGATAAGAGAGGGAGAGTTCAGAATCAGATCCTGAGCAACAAGGCTCATACATTCATTCGGGCTGCAACTCTTCCTGCCCCGAAGCCCTAACAACATCCCATCCTTCCCCTGTCCACTCACCGTTGACTTCTCACGACACATCAATCATCAACATCCGTGCATTGCATTCAAACCCACATCCACCTTCCTCCAACTGCTCAGCGTGCATCCGACCCGGCATCACGAACATGAAAGACATCATCACTTGCCTCGGAATCGGGGCAATAAAGCTGCAAACCTCAAATCCCAGTCCTGGTTCGATAATATGCAACGTCTATCCTATCTCTTACCATACGATGAGAATATCCATGGCCATGGATCCATCCCACTGCTGGAATGTCCCGAGACTGTCTCCTGCATCTGCCCGCTGCCAAAGCAAGCATCCAGCATGATGCAGCGAGTGGATTGCAGCCTCACCAAGCAGCAACCCAGGAGCGCAGCAGGGCAGCATCACCAGCAAGCATCCCATCACCTCCACGCCCGCCTTCCTCCACAGTCTTCCGTTCTCCTCGCATTTCGTGGCACATGGAGATGAAGTGCCAGAGCGGGCGCCGCAACGGGTCGGCCAAACAGCACATCCACCACCGAACCGAGACATGGGCTCCATGGGCTCGACAAAAACCCTAAGCTGAAACCTCTTATGAGGCGATAATATATGGCTTCTTCAGGCCCAGCCATGGGCTTCGGCAGCTCGTGGTTTAATATGGGGAGCCCTGGGGCCGCCGCCGGGAGAGCCTGGCTGGCCGAGAAGGGACATAATCGGACGAATGAGTGAGAAATATTGAGAATAATCAATTTAATGATCGACCCAAAGTGGGTTGACTGGTTGTGGGCTGCCTGCTACAGCTGGATATTCTTGGCAAGAGGCAAACTGCAACTGCTTATGCAAGGCCGCGCCACGATGCTGCAAAGCCCTGCACTGCCAGTTCCCGATCTGTTCGAACAAGGTCATCCGTGGCTCGTCTTCTCGGCATAGGCGACCCAACGACCACTCAAATATTATTGCCAGGAGCAGGGAGCGGGCATTACACAGTCAAGAAGTTGCTTTTTCCAACGTCGTGTTGTACAAAAGAAACGCGGTGTTCCGGGAAGAACGAGTTCTATCAGATATCAGATTTCGCATTTGAGAAACACGGACTGATGACCGCGGCTGTCAAGATCAAAACAAGTCACCGCCAAATGCACACCCGCAAAGTCAGTTTACAGGACTCGGCAGAGTTTTTCTTTTTCAATTCCTGTGCCGCGGCCAAGTGGAAACTCAATTGGACTGACACTGCACTCCGAACCCTCTTTCTGCCCCGCTGATTATCACGTTCGCATCAAACGCACAAGGGAAAACGGATGGGACGATAATCATTTCGCAACGCACGTATTAATTAATTGGAGCAAGAAAGGAGGGGTATTCCGCGAAAAAGAAAGAGGGAACAACGTCGACCGGTCCGGCTTCCTGACAGGATCCTGTCAACGCTTTGATGATACATGGGTGTTCGAATGGCCGTGCAACGGCTCCTGAGGAAGAAAGACGTTGCAACAAGAGGACCTCCGACGAACTTCCCATGTCTTACCCCCCATTCCCATTCCCATTCGCTGATTATTCTCAGGAGATAATCAAATAGGACCCTTGTTGATATCAAATACTTCCTCGGAGCCTGCCAAATCAAATCGACAAGGAGCAGCGAATTTCAAGAAAATTTGAGCAAAAAGACCCCTTTGGGCAAATTCCCCTTTCGGTCATTATTCAAAGAGTTCTACTTGTATTGCACCCTGGACCTGTCTAGGTGATCTCCAGTGCTGTAGGCGTGCAGTAGACCTAACAACCGGTGTCAGACATCGGAGAATATACCTGCAGAAAAGCGCTCTCTGTGCAGCGCGAGCGTGCATGCGTGCGTGGAACCATTGTTTTGGCAATAACAAGAACGGAATATTGATTGCGGACTCGAGGAATGCAGCAGCAGCATCTCGCATGCATGGCATGGCCGTTGCAGGAACCATAGCGGTAGGCGTAACCAAGAGCTCCTCGCATCTAGAAGTGTTCTGGTGCTGTCTTGTAAATTCTACGAGTGCAGGCTTGACCACCAGCCAGCCTGGCAGCAGCAAGTGCCAGCCAGGGCAGGGCATGCCTATACAGCTAACTGCGATCATCATATCAGCGCTTGGTCGTTGTTCCTGCTCCCAAACTCCTTTTCCTTCAGGGGGCTGAGTGAGGTGAGATCGCCAGCTCCGAGGAAAAACGACCCGCACAGAAAGAGAAGGACAAGAGACAAGAAATGGAGCCATGTCTCAACGGCGGCACTCGTTGCCTGATAATGATTGAAATGACAAGCAACTCGGGGACTGAGAAGCGGCATGGAGTGGCCCTGGAAATCCTCGACGACAATCAACCAGGGACGGGTGATGGGCCTGGTCAAATGGGCGCGGGATTTGGAATGAGATTTACATTTACTCAAGCAACCATCAGTTCATGTCAAGGACATCTCCGGTGTAGCTGACGACTCACTGGAGTCACAGTGATGCGAGTCAAAAAAACAAGCCTGCGTGGGGTTTCGGAAGGCCGGACGACGCAGAGGAAACTTCGCACCACCAACTTTTCGGAGAGTGAGGCTGTTTTCATAAGACACTTTCTTAACAGACGTTTGATATAACAAGTGACCCGCACGCAGTGTCTTACGGAGTCCCCGTGTCTCCAGCGTGGTGGAGTCCACGAGTTCATGAGTTCTGGCCAGCGGTTCGATGGGTTCGAAACCAGCACCTCACCCCTTGAAAGCTCACCACAACACGCGAGTGGGAATTTTCCTATCCGTCCATTCAGTGACTCCACTGAATGGATCTTTTCTCTTACCAACTCATGCGTCCTGCCCGTACCAGGGAAATATGAAGCCGGTGCTGGGACCTGGCAGTGTGCAGGCTGGGAAACAGATCGACGAACCTCCCCAACAGACAAGCGAAGTCGGTTAGCCAGCCCCTGAAAGAGCGTCTCTCGACAGAGGAGAAGGGACAGCCACATTCCCAAGTGCAGAACGTAAAAGTCAAGTAAACAAGCCGTAAATGAAAATGCTGGTCTGGAAGTCTCGGCAGTTGCGTTCATACGATTGATGGACGTAATGCTCAGAGCCTATTCCCGCGGAAATTCCTGTTTCGTTTCGTTGAGAGTGCCTAGCCACCGAACCAGCAAGAACCCATCTATCCATGAAGTCAAGCACAACAATAATCTGCAATCGCTTAGATTGGCGATGAGGCTACGACCAAATTGCCCAGTCGAGAAGATCGTGAGGTACTAACTTAAGAGATACGGAAGGACATCCTCCGCATAAAACTACAGGAATAGTATGAAAAAGAAGCGAGCGAAGCTACTCATGGAAATCAATCATCAGTAAACATAAGCCGTGGAAAGACAAACTAATCAAGTAAACTTACGTACTTATGCACGGCACCAAGCTAGATGGTTCATGCGCGTAAGAAGGACTACTGTACCTTCGAGCGATCGATGTCAAAGCCGTTTGCTCTAAGATAGATAGACAGATAGAAACCCATGGTACTTCTAGACTGATCACAAGCACCTTCTAGCATTAGAGGGGCTTGTCATGACAGCAGACACCGTCGTCGCATCATCAAGCCAGGGCTTGCTGTTCCTTTAAGGTAGATAGGTGCCTTCTAGACTGAGCACCAGCACCTTCTAGCTGGAGAGTAGTCCCTTCCAATGATCAGTGCGCTGGCTCGTCAATGACAGTTGACGCCGTCGTCGCAGGATCAGCCCCAATAATCGTTGTTCCCTGATTAGTATCACCAGCCGGTAATAGAGCAAGCAGGGTTTAGGTAGGTAGGAAGGAAGGAAGGAATCGCAAGAACCAGACCAGACAGACACCTACTCTAGAGAAGAGACGGAGAACGACGCCGTCGTTGCCCATCGTCGCCACTTTCGTTATCCCAAACCGCTGTCGCAAGTGTCAAAACCTCGCCGCCCGCTGTCTTGCTAACTTAACTTATCTTAAAGTAAAGTCGAAATTTAACTTCGAGACGGTGGGGGAGTAAGTAGTAGTATAGGCATGACAAGTGTGCGGGGCAAGACTTCTTTCTGTTTATGGGCCCTCAAGTAGTAGAGATAGAGAAGGTGGAGGGAGGCGAGTGAGCGAGTGAGCCAGCCGACTTTAGAGTAGGATCCCTTTAGGATGGCGACGGCGTGTGTCAAAAGACCCATTGCGCCATCATTGATCGCCTTGCCAAGGAGCCAGACGGCCTGAAGAACGTCGCCAGAAGGAAATGGTCGGTCGGCTAGATGGCCTTAAGAAATGTCCCACATGCGCGATGTGGGATGCATTCATTCTACTTGTGGGTTTTTTTTTCTTCGTGATGTAAATGGTCGTTACCTATGGCTGTGCTATTATTCTTTGCTCTGAACCGTGCGTGGGTTGTCGATCTGGATTTGGATGAGGGCGGGGGATGGCTGATGGCTGATGGGTAGGGGTAAGCGAGAAATCGAGTGGTTGTGAGGTGGTGAGGCGACTCGCTGGTGCGGAGAATTCTCCGTTTGGGGGTGGGCTTGGGGGTGTGGGAGAGAGGGATTCCTTCGCGGAGATCCGCCGAGGGGGAAGTGGGAGGGAGGATTTCGATGGGGAAGTGGAAGTGCCGGCGGGCTAACTAACGTGTTCTTGGGAATACCTCGCGATTGTGGGACGGGTGGAAGATGCGATTTGGAGATATACTCCGAATGAACTGTGGCGGTTCGTCTCAGCTTGATGGCGAGTTGTGGGATGTAGATTACGCTACCTGGATTTGCTGTAAGATCGTAATCCCACGAACATCCTGCCTGCCGTATCTAGATAGGAGGTTGAACGGTACGTCTTGACCGTGGATCTGGACTCGGGGAATTTGTCAAAGATATCTTGGTGGAGAGTTGAGTGTGGTGATGTGGTGATGCGATGGAGAACGGGGGCGGGTGGCACAGGTCATATGATGCCTTGATGATGAGCTCCCCAGCCCGTACAGTGAACTAAGCGCCCAGTGATAAACAGAACACTACGTCGCACTTTACATCTGGCTCGTCCAGAGATATGCAGGGAGAATTGTATTGGGACAAGTACTTCACCAAGATGTATGCTGGCTGACTCGTGATTGACATGACATCCAGCTGCAAGAGTATGGTGGCTGTGATCTAGGTCTGTATCCCGCAGTTCGCTCATAAGGAACCATTCTCGAGGGAGCAGCCACATCATTCAACGGGGTTGAGTGCGACCACGTCGGGCCTAGCTGGTTTCGAGTATTTTGGAATGATACAGAGTCCTGCTCTCGGACTTGCACTGTCATGTTCATCTGCTTTCTACCACTTGGCTATCATCAATGTTCCTAATTCCCTCCCTTCCGTGTTCTCTGAATTGTTCCTAATGTCCTAAACCTACGACCCGAATAGATAAGTAGTCAGTAGAGTTTTGGAACGCGGGGACATACTTTCGCCAGCGTGATACAGAGTTTTGTCTTCCGGATAATCCTTCCCGATGTATAATGGCAGCACATGCTATTTGGGAACGAATGATACCACAATTGATTGACATGAACTGAATGATACGCATGGAGACCCTAAATCCTCGGTACTTTGGTCGCTCCACGACCGTTATCTGAATTACTGAACACTCCGTGATCCGATGAAGATCAGGATCATGAACGCACCGCAGGCAGTGCTCTACATTAGACAGAGCGGCTACTGTCGAACTGCTGCAGATTACAAGCCCCTCCCATGACAGGAAGGGAGGAAGGCGGCTCAACGAAAACGCAGGAGGGGTTCCCCAGCAAGTTGAAGGCTTGTGCAAGCACCAGACGCTGCGATGGGAGGTTGACTACTGGATCGAGATCTCCACAGGGATGTCCATGAGATCGCCGCAGGGGTGAGCTCGTCACAGGTTTAAGCCTCCTTCCCAGATCCAGCTTCGACCTCGCTGGGGCTACCTACCCATACGCCGCCACCACTGCCACTGGCCATCGCCAGCGAAACCCGTGCGACTGGGCTACCCTGGACTTCGAAACGTCTTAATTCGATCTTCCTGTCTCCAAAACAGCCACTGAACGGACTTGAAAGAACTGAAAGACCTGCAAAAGTGACGATGCCTAGTCTTCTAGACATAGCGGTGGTCAAGGCTCTGCAGTAGGCAGTCGTTGCTGCAGAATCGAAACTAGAGTCTAGCTGCAGAGGCTACGAGACTACCGCGCTACCGTCTGCTAGACAGCAGACAGCACAGATCTACATGTGTCCTCAACGGCAATTTTCTAGTGATTGAAATTATTATCTTATTATTATCATTCGTTTTAGAGTTGGCTAGAGGCAGGCAGACAGAAAACCCTGACCCCGCTTTTTGTTTGCTTTCAGCGCAAGCTCACTTGCTGGCTCGCGCTTACCGTTGGATCAGCATAGGGATCGCCTGCGGATGTCGTGCCTATCACACTCCTCGTTGCCTCCCGCCTACCGTGCTATTCCCTTCCTGAGCCGCCTGGATACAGTATTTCTACTTAACCGGATCTGACACAGGCATGGTTCCGGCTTGTTGTGTATATAGTCCGCGATGATACCTTCTCTCTCTAGCCAGGGTTTCCCTCTAATTGAAAATCATATGAAAGCAGATATGGGCTGGCTTGGGATAAATCCGGGATGGTGAAGTGACATGGCTGCATAATCTTATTCCAACGCCACTACCTCATTGTTCCCTTTAGTTAGTGCCCTTTTTTCGATCAGAAATAATAGAGTCTGCCCCATGGCAGCAGAAACCGCCTCCGACTCTGTAACGGCTCAGGCCACGGTCCAGTGCCTGCCGAGTCAAATAGCTGCATCGCGGGGAGGGGAAGCCGGATCAACCGACGTCGAGAGAGATGCAACGCATCGGAAATTTTCTGCCTCACAGTAGTTGCTCGAGAGGCCGTGTATTCTGTTGACCAGAGCCCAGACGAACATGTGTCTGCTTCAAGACGAACTGGTTGAATTGACTAGGAGCATTTTCGTGCTGTCCATTGAGGTCGTTCCTGACCGGGTAACTTTGCATCGTCGTCGACGTCGACTACGACAAACTTTGCCGAGCAAAACTTTACTTCTCAAGATTGACACAGTCCATCGGCATGCCTGTGCATCCCCCCACAAGGGCCGGCATCGATATTCGCATCATGGATCATCGATAACCACTTACTCATGTTACTTTCAAGCTCGCCCTCGCCTTCGCCTCGCCTCGCCTCGCTTGCCCCATAACAAAAGTCCCCACTTCTCCTCCACCGAAGATCCCGCAAAAGTCAACACGGCACTGCGGCGGCAGCAGCAGCAGCAGCACGAGCAGGGCCAGGCATCGCGGAGAATGGCTCGTAGAAAAGGGTAGGCAGGAAAAGTTCCGCAACCGCAGTGCAGTGCAGTAGAAGGCAGGAGGAGAAGATGCAGCAATGCAGCAAGCAGATCAACCCTCCTGAGATAAATGCTCCGCTGCAGCACGCACGCAAGGCGTTGGTCTCCGGAACACGGAAGCCCTCCATAGGGATGAAGGCAAAGCAAAGCAGAATTTCGAAGCAGGCTCGAGTCAGTGACAGCATGCCCACCGCGTGTTTCACGAGAAAATGGTGAGCAATGCAGAGAATAGTGCAGCCTCGCAGAATACAAACTTGATAACTTTCAATGCGAGACGGGTACGGGTAACACTGCCGTGGTCTTTGCTTCTCACTTCTCCAAAAATTTCTGTTTCCGTTATGCGTTCTCGTTCTCGTTGGGTCTCCTCCTCTAGTGGTGAGAATCATACGACGAACGCCGCAGGTTCCTTGATTTTTTATTTGCTTTTTTCCCTCAACATGCATGTAGATGGCGAGCTATGAGGAGAGATATTCAGGGACAACCGCTGCATGCTCGAGCGTACTTGCATGCATCGAGGATTTCGAAAAAAAAATATTCTCTTCTCCCCCGAGCGAGTGTATCCTTTTTCTCGTCCTTGTCCTTGTCCTTTCCTTATTCTTCTGACTCTCCATGTAACGCACAAACGATAATACCTTTGCGAGTTTTTCAAGGGAGGAGAGAGAGGGGGGATTGGAACTTAGAAGGGATCACCCATTCCATTCCGTACTTCAGGTAGGTTTGGAGCGGGGAAAAGGCAAATGGCTCTCCCTCCCGAGACAGGTAGGGGAGACCTGGCTGCAGGCTTGTTTCTCCTCTCTTGATCTTTCCGTTTCCTGTTTCTTTCTTGTCTGCACTGGTGCAGAGCGTTGAGAATTTGAGACAAGAACATGTGGACGCTGCAGGATAGAGTTGGCACATCGTTCCGAGTAGGGAACCCTTCTCTGAACTGTTTCTATGATTGACTTTATGAATAGCTTGGCTGCACTAGGAACAGAGATCGTGGATAATCGGTTTATGAGGGGTCCTCGAAAGTATGCGCCAGAGCCCAAATAAAAATAATACAATTCGGTTGGAAGCACTTTAAAAGTATGATAAGATTTCTGGGGGAGTTGCAGGACAAGCCGTTCGGAAGCCGGAAAACCGTCCAAGAGCATGTACCTTGTCTCTACACACGTGCTGCAGGGTTGAAGTCCGTAAGCCCAGCCAGCCAACAACTGCATCAGACAGGCCACTTTACCTGCAGCCCGGCTGGTCCAGTCATGAGGGGATTCGGGAACTCAAGGTCGCTACTGGCCGCCATCTCATTTTATTGATTTCTATCCTGTTCGAATAATTGGCAATATGATCGACCGGTTCCGTACCTTGATTTTCCTGGTCTGGGTTCGAATGATTGGCAACGGGATCTTGGTAGCTGGCGGAGGTTTCCTGGTTGCGCTTCGCTTCATTTTATTGCTTGATAGCGCTTACTTACAAACTGGCAATCATACATCCAGGGAATTTAGGCGGCCGATCGTCGCTGAGGGCTGAGCAGGGCTGTTGCTTACAGCGCTTTGCCTCTAGGCACGTCCAGGGCATGGCTCGCTGGATGGCCTGGCTCGCGGGGTCCCAGGAAGCGACTTGCCGCCAGTCAGTGCGCACGTCTCTTGGAGCCGCCACAGTGCTATTCTGAGTTCTGTAGCTCAACAGCTGTGCCAGCTAGAGATAGGAAGGACTTGGTATTCAACAGCACCCAAATATCTAAATTAAATTTACTTGCTTTCGAAGACACTGAGTCAGTGGCAGCATAGCATCGATCAAGCTAGAAATGAAGCATCACGAAAGTGGCTGAAACTGGAAAGCTGTAAGCAACATGCTTTCTCTGTGATGCAGATAAGAGGGGATTTCCGTGCGTTTCCTCTCCTTGCCTTCCTCTTGTAACATGTCAAGATCAGAGGGGACCATGTCAACCAATGAGTATGAGGGAGAAGATACTTTGTCATGTGAAAAGGAAAGGCATGCGAGCAATGCAAGTGCAAATGCAGATAAGCAAGAACAGAGTTCAACAGTTCAACAGACTTCCCCTAAACTATCCGCAAAAGATCAATCGCATCTCTCGGTATCCTCCCGAGACTCCATCTTTTATCATGTAATGGTTTCAACTCCGTCTGAAACCTCATTTCCCCTTCCCTCTCACGCTTGCGTCGGGGAATAAACCCGCTGTGTTCCTGACTTAGTGTGCAGCCAAGTGATATCCCTCCTCGAGGGGAGGAAAAGAAAATAAAAATGGAAATAGCCGTTCCTTAAAGCGTTGCGCTTAACAAACACAGAAAGAGCCGCGAAATGAGCACAACCCAGAAACATAAACTCACCCACAAACCCCGCTCTTATCGCGCTATCTTGCCAAAAAGAAAAGAAAAACCATGACGATCCAGCCTTTCTGGGGGCGTCGAACAGACTCGAACTAGATTCTGCAGGAAATTGCATAGAGTTCACGGTACGAAGCTTGAACCGAAACAGCGACGGCATGGTAGTTTGGAGGCGTAAAAGTGAAGTGAACTTTCGAGTCATGTCCTCCTCCACGAGTAGTAGTCTGCTGCCATCTTTCCTCGATAGTTTTCACTGACGTCAGAGGCAGGCAGGAAAGGAGCTCGGGGTTTAGAACGGCTTTAGCACAGACAAGCTAAATAGATACTCTTGGAAAATGAGGAAAAGCAATTTCAAGCAGAGAGGCGTCTTGAGGCTTTTCGAGACGATGCTTGGAGAGCGAGCCTACTTGACTCTGTAGACAAGTGTGAGCCGCGAAACTTGACTCGCAAAAAAAAAGAGAGAGAGAAGAACAATTGTTCATGTTTGCTCGTTTAACCTTTCGTTAACAAAGGTAGTAGACGACGAACCTTGATAAACAGTAAACAATAGAGAAGCATAGAAGCATAAGCTCAAACCATACACAACACTAGGAAAGTAACATGGGAAAAGGCAGCAGAATCCTGATTTTTGAAAATCCAAATGCAAAATCCAAATGCAAATCCAAATTCTCGATATGAAATGCAATGCAATGCGATGCGATACAGTACTGCCGAAGGTTTCGCAAGGAATTCTGACATTTTTCTTGTTTTTATTTATGATTTTTTTCTTCGTCTTCCCCGGCGAGCCCATCAAACTCCCCCGTCTCTCTTCTTCTTCCCCTCAATCCTCAATCCTGAATCCTCAACTCATGCGCAGAGAGAAAGTCAAAATCCAGACGGGAAAGCATCTTACTCTTACTCACCTCTGGGACCAAATGATGACATGCCACGTCAGGTTTGTTTAAAACTTCCCAAATTATAGCTCGTCGATAGATTGAAATCTGCATGTATACTGGCTGGTAGGCAAATAATTAAATATTGTTGCGGGAAAACCTTGATGCTTGCCTTGCTTGCCTGTCTGGCTAGCTGGGAAACGTGGAGAGCTCGATTGATGGATGGATAGATGGATGCTGGAAGAATTGGTATTGGGAAGGGAGATGGAGATGGACGATGCACGAGCCGTCCCTCTCTCCCTCCCTTTCCCGCATCTGCAGATAGATAGATAGATAGATCATCATACCTATCTGTCGCGGTACCTAGGTATGCTGCGGGGTTTTGTGGTGTTGCAGCACATATATTATTGTGTATGCATCTATCTCCTCAACCCTACAAGAACACCATAACCAGGCAAAGAAAGGAACGGGATGGCAGCTAACTGGGTCGCATATATCGCAAGCTGATCTAATGTACTGTACATCTAGCACGCATAAAATTCGATGGGTGATGGGGAGGGGGGATAGAGATGGCAGACATGTGAATAGGTCATATGTGTGTGGGCAGGGAGTGAGGAAGCGTCGTATGTGGGTGTATGGTGCAAATTGCCGTGCGAAAACATATTGATTTTCAATCCTTCCCATTGCGTCACGTCCCTTGCTTTGACTCTCCCTTCCTGGATTTACTTCCTGTGTATTGTTGTTTTCTCCTATCCCTTGATATCAAGTACAGCGCAGTGCAGTTACCCCGCCGGCCGGCTGAAGCGAGGCAAAAACGCGGGGGGGAAGTTTTAGGGGACCTCCCGCGGTTGAATAATGTCCAAAACCACGGACGGGGAAGCGGTACGTTACCATACTTTGGAAATATACTTTTTCTACGAACTCTGCGTTCTTTTCTGGATTGTTCTGCTGCTGAAGTATATATGTCTTATCAAGCACTTGCCTACACGAGAAGAGAAACCTACTTCCCGTGTCTCTTTGTTGAGGATCACATTTACTCTCCGTATTGTGATATAGGTACCTGGTGACCTGTCACTTCTTCTTCTTCTTCTTCACCGCTTGTACGGGTTGTGATGGTTGCACGGAAATTGAAGGTTTAAGGAAAGGATAGGCGGTAGGTAGAGAAAGGTGCATGACTTATCTATCCATTTGCGAAAGTTGGCAGAGGAGGTAAATTTTTTATAAAGCCATCTATTAGTATTTTGGTAGTGTTTATTTCACTGGTACCTACCGAAAGCTTCCGTAGGTATTACTCAATGAAATCTGTTTCATGGTTTAGTGAACGAGAGTATCTTTCAATTAGATACCTTCTATTGAAAAAAGGCAGCAAGAGACAGACGTCTCACAAACTTGACTCCCTCGCCCAGGCCAGCCAGCCAGCCCGCCGGCCCAGACCTCCCGGCGCCAACTCCATCCAGCTTCGACGCAGGGCAAAGGCAAAACCACCACGCCTCCGCCTCCCTCCTGCACAACCAGCACGTGCCAACCCCAACAGACATACCAGCGTAAACACCTGCATATGTAGGAACCAACCTTTTCCTTGGATATCATCAAATAATGTCTCTCCTGTATGTGCAGCGGTTCGGTTCGTAAGCTGCATTGTGCATTGCAGTGCAGCGGGATAATATATTAGAATTTTACGAATACGCAGGACATTTCCAGCGAGGGAAATAATTTAAATTCATGTAATGCAGTGCAGTGCGGCGCATTATTCACTGTGTGGGCGGGGAGTGGAAATGGTAGAACCCAGATCTGGCGCGATGCGGATGGGTGCGGTGTGGAGTATTTTCGGAGGATAGGAGGATAAGGGAATAGGGAAGGGAGGAAGGAGATGAAGATTGGGGAGAGTTTGGTGAGATGTTAATGTAATGTCACGTACTTTAGGTCCTGCGATGCGGTGCAGCTTCGATGCGCTGATGGTTCGGACTTGAGGATTTTAGGGGCAGGAAAGGTGAGGGGAGAAGATGGCTGGCAGGATGACAGACGGATCCTCCTCGATGGAAAACTTGAAAGGATCAGGCAGCTAGGTGGTTTGAGCGTGCGTCTAGGATGTGACTGATCCGACGAGATGAGTTCACAGCTTGCAGGTCGATACAATACAGGGTGAAGCGGAGTGGAGTTGAGGAGGAGGAAGGAGGGCGAGCGTGCGTATGTGCATGGTACATTGACGATACACACAAAGCAGGACCTCAGAAAAGTGAATAGATGTCACAGCGATATCCCTCATCGGGAGATACACGAGCCTTGGATTGACGATGAGATGGGATGAAAGAGACGGTGAAGAAAAACAGTGTGTATACCCCACACACACAGTTTCGGGATGACTTCTCGGATGGGAAGTCTCTGTCCGATATGTCCTGTACCTACGAGGTACATGTGATTCGGCTGATCTGATCAGTCCCGTCGGTCGGACTCGCCTGTGTGTGTGAGTGAGTGTGTGTGAGCCGAGTAGGAGTGAGTTATTTGTTTATTTACTTTTCACCTGAAGCCGCCTCTCGTCACCAACCGATTCGAATCGTGCATACCTACCGTAGGTACCAGGTACTTAAACGGGAAGACCAAGGCAGTAACCTTAACCAGGAGAGAACAAGGAGAGAGAAAAGAAAACAGAAAAAAGTCAAAAGAATCGAAAAGGGGTCGAAGCGAAACTCTCTTCTCTCCTTTTTCTCTTTTTCAAACATAAAATGGAAACCATCCATCCCATGGAGGAAAAGAAGAAGAGAAAATGGAGAAGAATAATGTTCCCACTCTCATACATCGATTCTGCAGCCAGGGGGTTGAGTTTCCAGCATGCACGCACACCCACCCAAGCGAAGGCGAAGGCGCAGGAGTAGCATAGCAGCGCAGCATTAGGGCAGACCGAACCGAACCCAACCCAACCCAACCCAACCCAACCCCACCTGTTCCAACTTCCCACCTGCTGGTTCGTATGAAATCGAGGAGGTACAGAATCGTCGAAGTGACAGATTGTACTTGACTGACAGATCAACGACAAGACCAAGAAAAAATGTTCCTAAACGCATGCATGCATGCATGCGCTGTGAAGCGCAGTGCAGGCTCGGAGATTAATACTCAGGAGTATTGCAGCAAAAACCGGTGGGTGGGCACTAGGCACGCTGCAGGGCATCGCAGCCACGAGCCTCCCCTTCCCCTTCCCCTCCCCTCCTGTCGCTCACTACTCGCGGCCGCCCGCCGCCACCCAGCTGCATAAGGTAGGTACAGACAGGATGCAGGTCAGGGCAGGGCAGGGCAGGGCTAGCTAGCAATGGTAAGCGAGCCCACCATAAACGGGTTCTGGTATATTGAAGTGCATGTTATTGCATATGTACCTGTATGGAGTACCTATGCTGCAAACTATGCGTGCGTGCAGGTAAGGCAAGGTATCCACGATCCTGTTTGATACCTTGCTGAACTAGGAAAGAGGATGGATCAGTACGAGGGAATGGAATGGAATGGAATGGGATAATGGATCATCGAGTGAGGAGAAAAGGAGAATAGGGAATGTCTTAGGAAAGGAGGGGAGGGGAGGGGAGGGAAGGGGAGGGGAAATCTCCCGGCGCATACAGTATGCGAACTGCTGGTCAAGGAGATTGTCAGTTATCAGTTGATTGATGGCTTAGAATAACTTGTAAAATCTCTGAAGTGGTGTTTGGCTTATTAGGGCATCGCATCGGCTTTCTCTCCGTTGTGTCTATGGTACGGAGAGGTCGGCAATACGGTTGGACTTCTTTACATTGTCAAGGAATAATAACATCGCGGCATGCGATCCGATCTGCTCAGCACGACTCGGTATACACCCTGATACTTTTACTATATCCTTTATAGCATCCATAAAGTTCAATTATGCCGTACCAAATAATGTATATTTCGACGTGCTAATCAGTGGGGAAAGGGAATCAGAGATTCGGGATCTTGGGGCTGGTAGCTGGTAACTG